ATACTTGCACGTGTATCTCCTATCCTATCTTATCCTCACATTTCCCAATCCATCACTTTAACAAACCACCAGTATACTAGCCCTCTATCATCCTATCATCCTACCACCTTATCCCACAAGCCTGAACCCATATTCCAGCACTCCGGCTCGTTTGCTGACATGCATATCACATCACATCTCACATCTCATCTCATTATCATCTATCCCATCCATCAATCCCATCCCATCCCATCCCAACAATCAAAAAGCAAACCCAAAGACGAACAACCAACTAACCACTCACCAATAATCGCTGAGTTCCTCACCGCCAAAACAGTATCCCATATCTCGTATCTCCTATCTCTACAGAGTACTATCTCTAAATACCTAGGTACCTAGATACCTATCTATAGGTAATAATATATAAGATCTAAATGCAAATACAAAGTATAGCTGTAAGAAGCCGTCGTTTATATGATTGATAAGCACATATACATATAGGTATATTCATATATCTCACCGCTTAATACAAGCTCGGCTCAGCTCAGCTCAAGCTGCAAACGAGGGAAGAGAAAAAAAAGAAAAAAAGAAAAGAAAAAGAAAAGAAAAAGAACAAGAATAAGAATAAGAAAAAGATGCACTGCGCCATGGACTAATAGACAAATTTTGACAGGGCAGGGAGTGGGAAAAGGTGGGAGGGGAATAGGAGAAGAAATAAAGTCCAGCAAGCAAGCAATCCAATAGATAGCAAGAGCAATATATGTGTATGGATAGATTTTTGATCTCATATGCATCCAAGTACCAAGTACTAATTCTTTTGATGTCATAATACAATAATTTACAACCCCACCGCACGAAGCATGCCCATTCCCATATCCATATCCATTGCCGTGCCCAATTTTGTAACCATTTATTTTCTCCTCCTACTATAAAAGGTCAAATTTGCTCTCGCGCTTGTACCAGTCTTATGTACCAAAAGCCTCTTCTCCCAAATCGAACTCTTGCCCTCTACCACACTGATAATCTCATCGGCGAATTTCTGTGCAAACATGCCTCGTCCACTACCTCTAGATTGTTTCTTACTGGCCGAATCTAATATCCATTTGATTGCTTGTCTTCTTCTTTGTCTGACACCCAACGGTACAGGAATTTGAAGAGATGCTCCACCTCCTGCAGCACCTTTCTGAGAACGAATACGTAAAAGAGGAGCTATGGAGTCGATGGCGGTAGTAAGATACAGGACGGGGTTTAGAGGGAGGTGAGCTGCGGGAGGTGTGCCCGGAAGGAGGGGTTTGGCGGGGTTGGGCGTAGGTGGTGGAGCGGTGCGGAGATGGTTTAATATGTAGGACATATTCTGCAATAGAGAAGAATGGTAAATTAGCAATTTATTCTACAATATGAAAAACATAAATCCCATGCGTAGCAAGTAACGCAAAAGGAAAGAACTAACGAGCCTACCCTCTGGGCAACGCTCTTCTTGCCATGCTGCATCATCATATTCGTAACCTGCGAAACCACTGGATCATATCTATATTTGAGATTGTTGTTCGAAGGAATAGGTAATTCTGGAAGTCCAAATTTGTGTCCGTCGATTGTGAGATCGGAGGGGATGGCGCCGTCTTCCAAATGACCGAGACGGCCAAGAGCCATGAGATTGGCGAAGGAGATATCTTGGGACAGAGCAGCTGCAGTTTGTGTGTCTTTGATATCCTCCTTGATAACTTCTGGGGCTTTGTCCTTTCCTTCTTGATCTCTCTTAAGAATCTATGAACATGGTTAGTAACTGCAATTCTCTACTTTCACAATTCTTCATTTCTTTGTAAATATGATTGGTAGATTGATCGCCAGAAATCAAAGTAAATACCTCTTGAACATTTGTGCTTTTCTCCATATCAGGAGGAGTCTCTCCAGTAATTTCAGCCATATCTCTTGCCTCCTCACTGACGTGGCCAGCTACATCTTCATCAGAGCCATTTCTTGGAGGTTGCTTCTCCTCAGCGAAACCTCGACGTGCTGCCGGGGTAATTTTGAAGAAAGCAGGATTTCGAGGTGCGACAATTATTCGTGGTCGAATGATCAGTGACCTGCTTGCGCTGTGGAAGTTCAATCGTGGAGGCATGTTTGTGGCTGTTGCGGAATCAAAAATGGTTTCTCCGCATTTGATATCAACATCAAGTTGATGCGCTAGCCAAAAATTCAGATTAGCTCTAACTGCCTGAGGCCACAATATCATCTTTTGGGCAGTGACGATCTTTCTTGGGCGGAACCACAGAACCATAGCTCTGGGTCTAAAATATTCCTGTTCAACAACATGGATCAGGGTTGAAACAAAATATTTTTACTCGTTCATGAAGTTTTTGAAGTGTGCTACGTACACCTACCTTGATGTTGAGCTCCACTTGACGACATTGACTACTTACTTTTAGGAGGCCCATGGTTAAGAACTCCTAATGAACACCGACAGCGAAATTCAAAGTGGATGTGAGAGTATTAGGTAGTCTAGAGCAACATTTTATTAATCCGAAGAGAATTGCAATCTTAAATTCCATTGCTAATAACAAGATCTGGAGCCAGCCTATGGTTCAAAAAGGATAATCCGCAACTAAAAAACTTTTCCACACCACCTCCCAAGAAAGAAAGAAAAAGTGTATCAAAAAAATGTTGAGAGTATATTTCTGCATTCAAACTCCAGCGCCCTTGCTGTCCCTGTGAAAATCCACCGCAAAACCATCCGACGCCTGAAGTATTATTGGCATTCGCCCATCCTTGCCTAAGCCGCGGCAAATGGCAAATCACCCTATTATCGACTCTTATCCTAGAGGCTAAATCGAAACCATTGGCCGCAGTGTTGATGTTTTTGGTTGTGAGGTTGAAATTACCACCCGCCTCGACTTTGAATAGGTGAGGTTGGGCTCGATCCCGTCAAGCTTCTGAATGCCACTTCTGCCGCATCCTCTTTCATAGTGTTGACGTTATGTCCATCGTACCAGTATCGTGCAGGAATATTCTGGCCTGACACAAATACTGTGCTAGACCATGCTGTTCGTCCGCCTAAAATAAATGTTAGACTCGTATATTTTCGAGGGAAGATCGAACTTCAGGGAAGGTGGGATAACTTTACCTCTTTTATCGGATACGATCTGGAAAATTGGGGGTTGAATCTGTGCCTCGCGACATCTTACTTGAAGAAATTAGCAAATTTGATGTTAGGGTTCATAACATGAATTGCTTACGGTCGAGCTTCTCCTGCCATGTAAGTGAGTCAGAGTAATATGATGAAAAAGACATCTTGGATATTGTTTGTACTGGAAGGTTTGAAAGTGTTCAAAGTCTTGAGCTAGATCGATCTGGAATTGAGTGCTAGTGTGGAGGAGAAACAGTGGGGAGCGGGTTCGGGAATGGCGTTATACTCCGCAGGAATTGAAGCTGGTCTTATAGATGATCCGCATGTACCATTAACAAGGGAGGAGAAGTATTGAGAATGATATGAAACTCTGAGGTGGCAGTCAGATAAAGTTAGATGCCTCTGCATTTGCATACCCATGCAACACGACAGCTTGACCTTGCGATTGTCTCGGCATGATGCATTGGATGATGAGAGAAATGGATTTCAAAGAAGTAACGTCGATCACCCGTAACTTAGGGCCGTGTGTGCTGTCTTCATCGGTGGCTAGGACAACTCATGTGCAACCTCCTACTGATGACTTCGGTAAAGTGTAGAAAAAGCAATTTGAGGCTTGAGACAATGGCAGTGAGTGGAGATGCTCCGGCCAGCACTGGAGATACTTGCAGCAACTTGCAGTCTCGCATCGTCATGGGGCATTGGGAGAATGAAACGAAAGCTGGCAAACGTATGTATGTATGTGTGCGTAGTGTGTATGGAAGTATGTGGGGTGGAAGGTAAAAGGTGCATATAGAGGGGCGGATCATATGCGAGAGGGTGACGATAGAAAAAAAAAAGACTCCCCATAAAAGAAGCCCAATAAGAGAGCGAAATAGTGAACCTTGCCAGAAAAAATTAACGAGCTGCAGGACGACGTATCCGGGAAATCAAAAGTAACACTACTTCTGTTACTAGTTGATTCCAGACCAAGTCGTTCTGTATTGAGACTTGATATATCTCCTGCCATATTTTGTTGGTATTCCTTTGTTACTTATTCCTAAAACAAAAGCAAATGTAAATTTCTAGGAACCCAAATCTCCTACCCCAGCATCCTTCATCTTCGCAAATACAGAAAAACTATATTAGAAAATGCAGCATCTTTCTTGGTACTCGTACGATGTGATTGGTCAATTCGGAACATAAAAAAGGGCAATGGTCTACCAGAATTTCCATTATCAAATTTGCCTTCCTTTTCCACTACTGTAGATTTCCGGAGAGATGAGATCGAGGTATCTGCAGGAACGGGTGCTTACATACATATCTATACATATCGATCAATGATCTTCAGGGTAGCTTCTGGGGTGAGAGTATTTGGCGAAATACCCCAGGCATAGTAACGGATAGGTACATCAGAACATTCCAAGAATCAAGCACTCAACTCTCAGCCCTGCAGCTTCTTCAACGGTGAGGCCACCGCTTCTTACTTCACCGCCCTGATGTACTAACCGGATTCCAGAAGCTGGGCTCAAACATCTATAGAAATTAACAAAATGGGTGTGTCTAGCTTCAGGTGATCCTGGGAAACGGATAGATACTTGCATTTCGTCTATTAAGACCTTGGGAATAACGGTCGTACAGTAAGCGTCCTCAGTTGGTATTTCTCAAGTGGACTGATCGTGTTACCTCGAAAAAACTTGGTAAAAGATACAGCTTGAAGCAAAGATGGCTCGCAAAATTCCTCAACAAGACACGATGCCGCACCCCGTCGGATGCTCCGCTTACTTAACCACCATAGAGTTTGTTGGATCTAGGGACATGTTCCGTTTAACAAGGGGAGTGATGATGAGGAGAAACGGCGAGATACACAACCTGATAATGAAACACTTTGTTCATAAAAATGTTGCGTGGCGGCGTGAGAGATGGACAAGTATATTGAAGCCTTGTCCATCTCAACACCTGAGCAGCCCTATTTTCGACAGCGCATCGACAGGATCTAGAATCTATTGATGCCCAAGTGATCGAATATTTGAGGATGAGTGAAGAGTTGCTCGCTCCATGGCTCCATGAATATCATTCTATTGTCGGACGACATTTATTAGGGTGTAATTTATATTACTCGGCAAGTTTGACGATCAGGAACAGTTTTCTCCGTACCCGTCCCAGCAAATTGTATCACCATGTGAAATTGGTTGTGCTTCTTTTTATGCAACTCACACGTGATTGTTTGGGTATATGGGCATATGGTAGTGGTATTTGCAATTGGTATTTGGTATTTGGTAGAACTACATCACTAATAATCCTGTTCGTTATGTTGAACTGCACAGTGAGACTGAGTGAGTGTATGTCACTGAAGTGGGAGGGCAATCGTGAAGAAGAGGAGTAAAGCGGGGAATTCTTCATACTCTGTACTCTGTACAAACAAGGAAGAAGAGGGAGGAGGAGGTTCCAGGCTGCTTGTGTTTGATGAAATAGGGATTTCGGTAATCTCTGAACACCCAAATGTACGGAGTACGGACAGGACTGGTGGGTGTACTAGGTGCGGGTTAGCCTAGGCCCCACAAGGGAGTTGCCGTGCCTCGGTCCAAAGAATGTGGGGAAAGTAAATTGGTACTCGGTTTCAGTACAAGTTATTATCTTCCTAACATATTTATCATCAATTGTTCGAGTTTAATCACAATCAATCTTTTCAATCATTAGAAAATATAGAGGGATCCTAGGATAGACGCCTTCTACACTTCAATACGCTCTAAAAAATAGATAATTCTACCGCCCGTCACATCATTCGTTAACAGTCTTCAACATCATGCCTTTCAGAACGAAACTTACCAAGGCGTTGGGTATCGAATGTAAGTTACACCCCCTATGTGCTCTCCCGACCGACATATCATTGACTCGGGATTGTAGTACCTATCGTCCAGGGTGGTATGCAGTGGGTGGGATATGCGGAACTAGCAAGCGCCGTGTCAAATGCTGGAGGTTTGGGGATTTTAACAGCTCTCACCCAACCTACTCCAGAAGATCTCCGTAAGGAGATCCGAAGATGTAGGGAAATGACAAATAAGCCGTTTGGTGTAAACATCACACTGTTACCCTCGATTAATCCCCCGGAGTAAGTTCCCGCAGATCTCAATCTCATCTCATGTTGATTCGCCGTTTTCTCCGCGCCAGTACAACATGATCGTCAAGCCACGAAAAACTTGCAAAACCAGACTGACTCGTGATTTCTTCCAGTTACGGTGCATACGCACAAGTCACTATCGATGAGGGAATTAAAGTTGTCGAGACTGCCGGGAACAGCCCGGGTCCTATCATAAAGATGTTGAAGGCTGCTGGAATAATTATCCTACATAAATGTACGACCATCAGACATGCAGAGAGTGCAGTGAAGCTTGGGGTTGATTTCTTGAGTATCGATGGTTTCGAATGTGCTGGGCACGTTGGTGAAACTGACATTACGAATTTCATTCTCCTTAGCAGAGCCAGACAAGCACTGAACGTTCCTTTCATTGCATCCGGAGGATTTGCCGATGGTCAGGGGCTTGCTGCTGCCCTTTCTCTAGGCGCCGAAGGCATCAATATGGGTACACGATTCATGTGTACTGTTGAGGCACCAATACATGAGAACATCAAGAAGGAGATTGTCAAGGCATCCGAGGTTGATACACAACTCGTTCTTCGAAGGTGGAAGAATACTTCTCGCTTGTATAAAAACAAAGTTACTGCAGAGGCAGTAAAAATTGAACAGGAGAGCAAAACTGGAGAATTTTCAGAGGTTGCTCCATTTGTGAGCGGTAAGAGAGGGAGGGAAGTCTTCACTACTGGAGATCCTGATTACGGAGTAAGTATCAACCTTTCAACATTAAAGATTCGAAAACTAACCCTCCGTTTAGGTCTGGACTGCGGGCCAGGTTATTGGTCTTATTCATGATATCCCCACATGTGAGGTACTTTGCAAGAGAATCGAGAAGGAGGCTGTGGAGACTTTAAACAAAGCTTCATCTCTCTTTCAACCATCAAGCAAGCTCTGATTGTATAGAAGTTTCAAGTACGTATTTTAGGATTAGCATAATGATTGTTTTGATATCATTTGTGGTTTATTACCCTGTGATATGTGACTGGTGAGGTGTGTATAACTGCAGGGATCAAAAAGCTGCTTGGCTGACTGCTTAGTCTGTCTCATTGGCAAGTAGCCCAACGAAGCATGTCAACTAGGTAACTCATAAATGACTTCCAAATTATATTCTTGTTCTCATCAAAACTGGTTTGATCTCTCTTCCCTTCACCCTTCATAAAATCTCTCCATGCGCACACGACACCAACATATCTCCTGGGACAACACTTGTTTGCTATCCTTGTGTGGGTTTTTAATCCTCGCCAATAGTTTCTGAGACAATCTTCAAGATTGAAGAGAAGAGAGAAGAGAGAAGAGAGAATAGTACTTTACTTGCTCTGGCCGTGGCGGTCGCCAGCTTCACGCTTTTCAACTCCACTCGCCAATTCCGATCATCGATGGTTTAAATATCGACAATCCTGTTCCTCATGGAAGCAGATTGTAATACTTCTAGTATTGCTAGTTCTGAAAACAACAACGGTAGCCGCTTTTACGGATTCTAGGTCTTAGGATGGACAAATGTGAATGGGAAGATGTAAGATTACATGTGTAGAGATTTGGGGGGAAGAAATATAGGTATTAGACTTTCTATATGGTTATAGACGAACTTTATGTAGAGAGGATATAAGCTTTGGATGATTAGAGAGCGGAAGATTGTGTGGTGGTCTTTATTCATTGTATGATGTGTGTTTGGGAAGACTTATTGCGGTAATTGGGTTATGGAGGCACTTGGGCGTTTATGCAAGATGGTTGATGTAAGTACAAGCATTAACGTCTATGGATAGAGCCGTATGGGCCTCTGGAACTCTATAGTTTAGACTAAGCGAGAAAGCGCGAACTCCATGTTTAAATTTCTCCATTAGTCTAAACCATAGAGTTCCAAATCGTATCATTCGGGATTTCTCCACGTTTTCTCGCAATTAAATCCCCAAAGTACTGAAAGGTATGAAATAAGCGGCCGTAATGAATTTGTTTCATGTATTTCTACTTTACAAGAATTACAAGTTGTTAGTTGTTCCTGTAACTTCAGCGTGCATGCGATACTTGAGATGTGGTGACTGAGAAGTTAAGCTGGGAGGTTGACTAATGGAGAATGAGTAGGTAGCCCCTACCGAAGTGAATCGATCTCTTATGCGATGTTATAATGTAACTAATCGTCTCCTTATTAGTATAGTTCCATACTACCTCAGAATTAACTTCTCAATGGTTCAGTAGGAAAGACGATAGATATATATGAAATATCTTTCTCTCAACTACTCTAAAATATGTGAGGTAATTAAGCCATGATTTCTCGCTCTTCTATTCGGGACTCGTTATTAGTCCTACTCAGATTGAATATGCATCCATTTTGAGCTTTAGGTATCAATTTGCAAGGATAAGAAAAGTCTAATATCTCAGAAAGGGGGATCGCTTAATGTGCCATGGAAATTACCATTATTGTTCTAGCATGACGACTTATGGATCTTCCTGGCTTCATCACTGCCTGGGATAAGAAGTGGGAAATTCAAAATTACGAGCTTTCGTAAGAAGTACCTGGAATGCATTGAGCAGACAATCATATCATATATTCTTATCAAACTCCGAGTTGCTGTAAATGTTTGTGCACGATACTATCGGTTTTATCATTCGCTCATCCCCTATTTCCTCGTCCTCTCGGTTGACTTACTCTGGACCTCGTCAAGAGTACAAGGTACCTTACCTATATTCCTTTAGCGAGCTTTGATTCTGTTTCTAGATCCTAACGAAGTACTCGCAACTTTCAATCACAAAGCATCCACGAAAAGAATTGACGAAAGGGAATGAGAATCCTAGCTTCATGATGCTGTAATCTTATTTGGGTTTAAAAGCTATAGTACATATATGGTGAATAAATGATAATCTTAAATTACCCTGGGAATACATTAGGAAATCAGGTAAAAAGTCAGGCAGTAATGGAGTGCTGCGATATCACGGGGTAACTTAGAAGCATAAGGTGGAAATGGGATGTAAGATTACAATTTGCAGTGTATTGCGTGTTATGTGTATAAATACCACTGCTTCATAGTTATTTATATCAATGGACATACATGAAAATATTAAAAATCAATGTAAGCTTTTAAGATTATGTTACTGAGTTAATGAAAAGGTAAAAAAAAGTTGGCGATAGTAGGAAAGAAACGACAAATGATTGAGTGTGTGCGCCGGAACCCCTTCTACACATGATGTTCACTAGTGGTTAGGTCGATGAACTTCTTTGGCACATCACATCTTTAGATAATTTTGCAACACACATTAGCCACGGCAAACAATCTATTTCACAATAGAAAGTCTGTATGAAGCAACGAGAAATCTCGGATTTCATTTATGCGGTAATAACTCAAGACGATACTTTAAAAACTTTTTCCACCCAGATAACCAGCCCCATTTTCCCCTCTCCCCGATAGCATACTGCAAACTTTGGCTATCCATAAAACTACTTCATGCACTAAGCTCTTTCCCAGAAATTCGTCATAACCCCGCAGAACATGTAGATAGAACATCATGTACCCATCAAAAACCAAAGCGTTGTCGATTTTCAAACGCACACTTTTTCCTCGCCTGATGTGCCTGCATGGTCTCCTTCTTCCCCATATTCGACCAATACCAACTAGACTGACTATGAGAAATTCTACAAAGTCTATCCCAAAGCTTCAGTTCATCATTTTGGTAGTATACGAATCTCTCTTCGCTTTCCTCACTAGAATTTTCCATGCAGTTTAAACAGAGGCCTCCGAAATGTGTTTGAACGGAATATCGAATGTGGGCAATAGCGGACGAGCTTAGATGCGACCTGCATTTTAAGCAAGCATTTTTTCGGAACCTCGCAGACGAATTTGTCAAAGTTGTTTAGGATTTCTTGAACACTCTTCTTGCTGCATGATTCTATAGGCCAGATACCTATCTTTCTAAGCCCGGAAGAATAGGCAAAGAGGGAATCTGCCATGCACTGGCATTGTTGAGATAGAAACCAATCAATGGGATCGAAGAGGCCTTTTAATAGCTTGGAATGGAGACTGCCTCTGGCGGCATTCAAAGCACCTGTAAAATGTGTTAAAATCGCCACATTAGTGTCGAAGAAGAATAAAATGCTTGCCCATAACTGCGTGTGGTAAATGAAGATGCCTATGTTGGGAAGGATTATCCTCCTGAACATGATGCGACATTCCATACGCCAACTTTCTCGTCATGGCCTGGAATTCGTGGATGCGATTGAGCTCTTTTGCCAGGTATAAAAGTGATCTCATATCGTCAAGGTCGATCTTCTGTATCTTCTGATTCATGAACCACTTTGGTGACCAATCTACCAATATTTGAGAATATTCCTGCAAACTCTATACATTGCGAGGGTAGTGACTACTTTAGACTCTTTTTCGGTATCGGGATCTATTGTAGTCTCTACATCGATGAGTCGAACAGTCAAATCACCTTCTGGATCAATGACTAACTTGACAGGCATCTATCAATCTCATTAGTAAAGCGTCACCATAAATCCGAATAGAATTACTTACCATAGGAGGTGTTTGACTCGCCATTGCTGTCTCAATTTTTCCTTTCTTGGATACAATGGATTGCTTTGGATATGAAAGTGGGTGAGAAGGATAGAAAGATCGGAGGTGGGCAGGTTGAAGAGGATGGATCGAAGAGTGGAAAGTAAGAATTTAAACACAAAAACCAAACCCTTCCCCCTCCCCCTAAAGCAGACTCAAAAAAATACAATCTAAAAACCACCCTCTCAGAAAGCGGGCGGGGAAGTCCAAATCCGAAAAGCTACAAGTGAATATTCCATTATCCAATATCGAGCTAGAGCGATAACGAGACAAAAGACAAAAGACAAAAGTAAAAATTCGAAAGAGAAGAGACTTAAGTGAATAGCATAGCAATACCCCCCTAGATAGGTATTGAGAGTGAATAAACTGAGTGAATAAACAGACAAACCAACAAACCAACAAAGCGAAGCGATCAAAGTTTCTCCGCTGGGAAGAGGGGATAACTCAGACTAGGTAGTGTACAGGAAAAGGAGAGAGAATCCATGAATTTCATCAATTGCAAACTAGACACTTTATTAACATCTGAACATACAATATATGATATAAAGATAGATCTAATATCCCATTCCATCTCTATCCTTAATCCATGATACCTAACAATGATACCATACATAAGACTTACCTATAGCTAGGTAGCGAAAAGTAAAAACTGATATCTAAATACCTAACCATACCAACACGCCGAAATCCTTCTTAAAAAATCCAAAAAACAACAACAACAACAACAACAAAGATACAAGGCTAAATCTAGCAATAATACAAACCAATTAATCAATCTTCAAAGCGACTATATATGTAGTCATCTCATCAATATCAGGGTATCTCAAACACATCCATCTACCGAATTTCCATCATGAATTACATCCATCCATCCATTCACAAGCCATTCATTCTCCTTTGCTCCATCCACCGAAGAGAAATTTAAATTTCAAACATAGAAAAACGAACCATCAAAATAGAAAAACAGCAAAACTGAGATTCTCCTCTCCAAAAACTTCGGCATTTTCTATGCTTTTTCCGTTATACCAACTCATCAGACGTTAATTTTCCCGCGATCTAGCCAAGTACTCCATCAAATCCGTGAGTTCATTCTGGTGCATATTGAACTGTAGAATATCACTATTCGTTATGTGCACTTATTCATTCAGTGCCAACTCTATCCTGCATAGGAACTTGTACCGCAGGAGCATGTTCAGCAGCAGTATCTTTGAATGCCGCTTCTGCCTGTGGTACCGAGTCCGATTCACCAACCGTTGCATCCTTCTGATGAACGGCATCCCAGCTCCAGTTTCCCTTGACAGCTTCGGCTTCCGCCTTTCTCAACCACTGCTCCCATTTTACTGTTTTTGGTGCCGCTCCACTAGTCTTCACCCAGCCGATTTTCTTTGTCTCTCGGATCGCGTACCATAGTGTTCGTGTAAACGAAGGCTTTCCTTCAACATCGTTTTCATCCTGAGCTAAATGTGCTTCCCGTGCTGATCCCGGCGTAACGTCTTCCCATACATAACTCGACAGATCCCAGAATCTCCCCTTGTTCATGAGAGCTACGCCCCAGAATGCGCCATTGAGAACTATGTAGGATGCACCGATGGAAATTTGCATTTGGAAATCACAATTTCCGAGAAGCACGACTGATACCATGAGTAAGAAGGTACCAATGCCGACGAGTACTCGGTACGGGTCCGTATCGACGTAATATTGACATTCTTCAGTTCCGTTGTACAATTCCCGGGCAACCTCCTCATCACATCTGACTACGATAAAGGCGCCTTCCCTGGTTCGGATCACAACGTCACCCAGTGGAACTTTGCTATTGTTATTGCGATTCATGAGTGCAGGTGACCAGCATGATGCGTAACCTACAATAGATGAGGCAAGAGAGATGGTGAAAAGGGCAACGCAAGCAGTTCCGTCATGAGTTAATACTGCCCATATGAAAAGACCAATGGTCAAGAAAAATGATATAAGAGATAAGCAGTTGAGAGGGGACCAGAATTTAGCTGGTACATGAGGTTTCTTACCATCTAGGCTAGCTGCGCGATGAGTAATTCTGGCTGCGAGAGTGTCCCGTCGTCGAGGTTGAACTTTCGTCCCACTTTCTAGATGCGCAGTTTCAATACTACTTGAAGCCGAAACCTGTCTATCTTTGTTTGTAGATGTAGATGGAGACGCTAACTGCCTCGGGGAATTCCTATGCTTGATTTCGAAAACTTTGAACTGAAAAGGCTTGAGCTCTTCTATTGGATGTATAATATTCGGAAAAAAGTTTAGAGATTGTACGTAAACTCCATTATGAACACCGACAACAGCGGCGTTGACTTGTGGCATTCGAGAAGGACGGGAGGATTTGAGGAGGACTTGTGGTGCGGGGATGATTCGAGGAAGCATGCACATCCATGAGGACGTCATGGCTTGAGAGTGTTCAGCCATGGCAGATTCTCCTATGACTGCCAATAGCGACACGATATCTAATCTCCATCCATCACTTGGGTAATTATTAGTTTGTGGTCAATATATGAGCAGTATGTGAAAAATGATGTCGAACATACCGAACCTCCTTCCCGGTGGGAAACCATGAACCTCCCATCTCAAGTCCTGTGCCGCAGATATTGTCTGCCGACTATCGTCTCGAGTCTTCGGATCTTCAAGTAGAGTCCAACCATAAGTAAACGCACCTGCGTCCCTTTTCTCTTTTCCCGATTCTAGTGTCTTCACTCTCAGCAAGTAGGTACGCTTTCGATATCTTCTCCGTCTTATCCGTATCTTATCATTCCCTCTCCAGAAAGTTAAGCATCATATAATGATCATCCGTAGAAAAAAAGAGAAGCCTACAGAGCCTCAAGCAATCCTACCTATATATGACATACATTTTATTCATTCCATACCCCCTCCACTATATAAAACAAGCAAGTCCCCCCATTCTAGCATCGCGTCTGACAAGCCCATGGAGCTGAAAAGACGCGGATCGGGACGATCATTACAGGGGGCTTGCTAGTAGGCTGTGTCTATATTTACCTGGTGGTAAGAGTAAGCCTACAAGTATGCTTTTTCGTCTGAAATGTGCTATGAACTTTTGGTAAACATATAAGTAATCCAATATTGCGTATATTTTACTCTCAATTTTTTACATATTCAAAATTCCCTTCTATAGCTACTATATCCATCTTAGACAGTTCAGAAATTGTGATGAAAATGTAGCGTTAGAAACCTACCAAGCATTTAGCGTCCGTAGTGTTCAGACCATCCTAAAGCCCCTAATGACTCCCTCCCGTCCAAACCAAAAGCCCTATGAGGCCTACGAGTCTACGACAGCCCGCGCCAAGCCCTAAAAGTGGATACCTAGCACCCTAAGCACCTCGTTCTGTTCTCTTTTCCAATCACATGTCCATCTAATTTATGTTTCGTTAGTCGACTACCAGCCTCGAGTCTCCCAATTTGTTGACAATATAAATACGGTGTAAGATTACATATATTGGAATCCTTCGAGAATTTTGCGTCGGCGGCTATGCATGAAATGGGGAAGAGAGAGGTAAGAAGGAGGCACAGTGATGGGGCTCGAATGAAAGAAAACCGAGTTAACTCCAACCGTTTGGACTCTTCGGAACGCTGAATTTTTCGTTTGTTAATGAAGGGGTTTCGCGTGGCGTCTGCGGTTTGTGAAATATATTGGTGTTCTACGCATGATTACTTGGGTAAAGAGACACGAGTACAGTACAGCACCTACTCCATTTGATAAATCTGAATGGTGTGTTTATTATTCGACACTATTAGATTTGCACTGAAGTGTTTTAAGTAGGCGTGTGATAATCTATTGGATCACGAACGACATTCGATAGTGTCACAAGTGCCACAAATGCCATATGTCGAAAAGCATTCGATCATAGTACATGCATTCATTTGTAGTTGCCTATCCGCAGGGTACCTGGCTGCGCGTGATTGCATTGAGGCTGAGTAATAATAGTCATTTGTTTCTTACTCATGTCAGATACGTCTCAGTTTCGTACAACTACAACAATATATGGAAGGTGAAAATTGAGACGCGAGCCCCATTGATAATCGAAATCATGAAACCATATAAAAATATAAATTAGAGTAAAGGCATCAAATCATAAAAATAATACACCCTAAACCGTAGTCATCAATCGTCTCTCATTGTAAATTCTTGTGTCCAAATCTCATGCACCTCAACGCCAGGTATCGTCTCGTTCCACCCCATTTTCTTATTTCCGTCTCTCCCAGCCTACTCTCACTCGATGGCATTAGAAGACGGCCGTGAACTTGAAACGAAAGAGCCTAAACGAGGCACAGTGCGCGTTTGGTCGCGATGACCTCTCCCAACATCTAGGTCATTGATCAATGTCGACCAGGCGCTGGTGTCCAATCACTCACCCAACTATATTCATCAACAATCCATTGACAGTAACCCTCCCATCTCGTAGTCCACTCCTTCGTGACGTCTTTTCTTTCTTCAGCATCCATGCAGCTATGCTCTAAACTCCATTTTGCAAGTTGTTTCCAGCCGTAAAGGGACATTGATTCAGAGCCAGTCATTACTTGATAGAAGTCGTGGGATAAGGATGATCTGCTATTGATTAGTGAGATTCCAAATGGTAAACGTTGAGGAACATGCCTATAAAATGTAGCATTATCACTATTAATCGTACAAGGCACATCGTTTGCTAGCAATATTGGAAGGTTATGTCCTGCAATGTTGGGAGTGAGACCAAGGACCTCATTAGAAATAGGACAGGACTCGATGGCGATATTCTTCTCTTTGAATATCTGCATGAGAATAGGGTGTCTCGCAACTGCATAACCGTGCCCGATTCTTTTTGCATTAAGTAATATCGCATCGAAAAGATTGCCGTCGACTTTGTCGCCAACCGATAATGTCTCCCCGCAATGAAATAAAAATGGGATGTCTAGTTTTTGGTCTCGGCATTTTCGACGGAATGCAAGAAATTCGGGCACGAAATGCCGAAGCTCATTTCCCATTTCTTCATGGCCCACAAGATCGAAACCTATACTCCCATTAATGGATGTGGATGGACTCAAAATTTGACCTAAACTAACCACATAGTAGTTTTTGATACTTCTTCTTCAAATCAATGCATTCATCAAGTGCTACCTCGATCTGACCCCTGTCGAATGAGCGAGGTGTGCAGTAAATGACTTTCATACCTCCGAAATACTGCTTGTTATTTCGAATCTCCTGCATAGTCCTATGCAGTTCTTCATTGATGATATTCAAAATACCTTCGTTACCAATAGTTCTCGTGCCATCATCAGATTTTAGTGAATTTGTGGCCATGAAATTGGGTCTTATCTCAGCATACTGAATGTTGTCCCTGACGAAATCCTGAATGCACTCTCGGGTGTAGTTTCTGAATGCCGACTCGTAAGCAAAGAGCCCTTTCATCATCTGAGTCCTGTAATTGAATTTTTCCCAAATACTAGTACTGTTAGCTGTAATTGCCCGACTGAGTGTGCATACATACCCGTGGCCCGTTTGAGAACAATCATGGGCTTCCTCTTCCGAAATAAGCATTTTCCTCTCGAGCCATATTTCGGCACCAGTTGTACCGCTCAACTTTCGACCATTTTCATCCACAAAATTGAATTCCTTTCGGAAATTCTTGTACGGCATCCATCTATTGGAGACGTAGTCGCCACTCATAACATTCCCCAGGGGAACATAAATTTCTTTCTCTTCACTCTTCACGTGGGTCGCCTCATGAGGTGTCATCACCATGAAAGAGATGCGTGACGCAGCGTAATTCCCCGGCGATGTTAGAGGAAGAGTGCTCCGTATGTACATTGCATCAATAGTCCTGGCCTGTTGTATCAAAAACCGTGCTGGTAAGCATGAATTGAAATGGATGTGAAGATGGGCGCCTTTGGGCATTCGTTTCGCGATCCCCATCAACTTTGTACCATTGATGAGATCCACGTTTCCCAAGAAGTGTTCTCCTTGAGTCCTCTTACCAGTAGCAAGACCTTTCGCGTCGACTGGTCTTCCATAAGTCTTGTCCCAATCATAGTCTCTGATTCTTTGGACGATTCTTGCTGCCTTTTTCTCCATTTCTGAAGCCGACTCTTCAGCTTCAGCATCAAATGCGGTCCTCCGTTCAGCTAGCTGAAGAGACTGGAGAGCTTTATCGTAATCCTCTGGGGTGTCGAATTCTCTTTTCTCAATCGCAACACGCCAAGCTTCCTTTGCTCTTGTCCTTGGCTTTCCAGATTGAGGCATCTTTGAGATACTGGACCTTGGCTTCTCTCTCTGGGCCTCTTTGATTTCACTGACTGGCGCTTCCTCGCCGTCTTCAAGTCGTGAGCACAGAACGCCCATCCCATCCAGCCGTATTATTACGGAGTTCTATAAGTAATGCTGCCTGGCAAAATTTTAGAGCTAGAATGACGATATGATAGTATCCCTACCGACTGTCATCGCCAACTTGCCCACATATGTTGGAAATCTTATTAGCTGTGAAAATTATCACGAAGTCGCATGCTCGAGTGTCCTGTAAGAGCTCAGCCACCCTTTTAAGATTACTGGTTGTTTGCGCCGGCGCTTCTATTGGCTGCGAACCTCGTGCTTGTGTGATAAGAGCGCTAGAGCTGCGTTAAGTAGTATTTTGCTAGCGCAAGTTATGCAACGGAATTAAGGTAGGCTAGAAAAAGGAAATTTTGCTGATCAAATTTTAGTCATCCAGAAGCGAATTAGCAAAAGGAGAAACAATAACTTGTGGTTGTACTCTAGTGTATTTTCGAAAGGGTCGAAAGGGTTGTAAACAGACTTCGATGGTTGATAGTTGAAGGGATTCTAAGTCATCGAGATAAGCGTGCTTATCACCACCCGAGCTGGTGAGCCTGGCAAAAGTAAGGCTGATTACAAGGTAATTCTTGTGACCATTGCACCGCAACTCACTACATACATATACAAGCTATGCCTAAGGATGACGTGACCATTGACCATGTCAGTTAACGACGGCCGAGCTTCGCCTCTTACCGGTAAACTTTGAGGGTGATAATGGCATAGTTAGCTGTCCACGTGAGCTACAGTAGTTTGCCGAACACCCACCAGCACATGTACAGCACATAGGTACATATATATGACTACTGTAGCTCGTCTCTGAGAACATTGGGAAATTGGCGTCATAAACACTGGCCTGGGCACTTCAAAATCACCACCCAAGTGGAGAATACGCTCTGCTGTGAAAGACATTGAATCACCTGATAGAAGCCTGGAATTTAAGCCTCAAGATCTAGTGGATGGGATGTCACCCGGAACGTTCTTGGTGCATTCATACAGTGGAAGTTGGTGTGCGGAAGATGAATCGGGGAAATGTATTATGTGCAGAGGACAACTTTTGTATTATGAATATAGCGACGCTACTCTATCATGTGAATTTGCGCCAAACGCTCCTTTGCTACCCAGTCAATACTTGATCGCCTTCAAAGGCTTAAACCTCTCTCATGCTAAAACAAACATTGACAGCAATTAATTAACAGACTACCAAAACAGGAGGTAGATCTCTAGTCATCGAATTTAATGCCTTTTTTACCTTCTACGTCAATGTAACCACCTCTGTAACTTCCACGCTTCTTCTTGTTCTTCTCCTTGGTAAACCCTTTGCCTTTTGTAACGATCAAATCCTCATGAGCCTTCTGAGCGTAATCATATGGTACATATGCATTACTAGACAATCTCGGGTCGACTTTGGTGTCTTTGGGAATGCGAGAAAATGGTACGTTCTGTTTCCTAGGAAGCTTGGCAGCAGGCATTGGTGGCAATGGTGGATCTAATTCTTTCTCGTTTGGTGGACTCTTGCCTTCAGAAAGAGTCTCGCTTGTGTCTGAGCTAGTTGCTGTCTCCTTCTTTGCAGCTTCGTCGGAATCGCTTCCAGAATCCGAGTCGGAACTGGAACTGGAATCGGAAGGTGAATCAGAGTCAGAATCAGGTAATGGAATTTTCTTTGCGTTCGATTGTGTAGAAGAATCGGAATCGGAGTCGGAGTCTGAGCCGGAATCTGAGTCGGAGGAATCAGAAGAACTAGAGTTATCTTTAGTTTTCGCGGCTTTAGATTCGTCTTCTTCAGAGCTAGATTCGGATGAAGAGGTCGACGACTCTTTGGCAGCGGCAGCTGTTTTAGCCTTCTTGGCTTTGGGGGCATCTTCTCCTGAAGTTGAACTAGCATCGGATGAAGATGAATCAGAATCGGATGAAGATGAATCGCTATCTGAGGTAGCTTTGCGCTTCAAGACATTGACTTTTGGCTTCGGCGGTGGAGACTTAATGGCTGATGGCGCATCATCTTCGTCATCGGCATCGCTGTCGGAACTGCTGGAGGAGGACGAAGAGGATGATGAGGATGATGAGGATGATGAGGAAGATCTTCGGGCAGAATTCTTCTTGGCTGGAGGAGCATCTGCCATCTCAACATCACTTTCCTCTTCACTGCTGGAGTCGCTACTATTGCTGCTACTGCTGCTGCTGCTGCTGCTTGAGGAATCCGCAGATGAAGGCTTAGCTGCCTTGTGCTTTGAAGTTTCGTCCTTTTGAATGGCTGCAGCTTTCAGTGCTGCATTCTCCTCTTTCAATGTTTGCCATTCAGTGTAGATATATTCAAGAGAGAAAGAGGCAGTTTCAGCTCCTGCTTTTACCTCATCTCTGCTACGACGTTCAGTCTTCAAAGTGCGACTGGTTTGCATGAATTCGTGCTGTTCGAGGAATTTGCCGACAAGATCGAGTAAATGGGAAGGAATTCCTGACTTGGGAGGTTCGCCAGCATCGCGACGGTTGAGGAGATCTTGTGCGACTTGCTTGGCTTGTTTGTTCTTCGATCGTCCTTCATTGCCAGATTTGGTAGCTGAGGCTTTATTTGCATCAGTACCAGAGCCAGCAGGGAAGAGCCAATCTGGTTGTGGTTGACCCGAGGGATTCTTTCTCTTTCCCAATGCCTGCATATTGGCATTGTCTCCCATATTGCGTTTATTTTGCTTCGGCCTCATACTTGCTAATGTAAAAAGTTGAAAAATTGTCTATGTTTGGGTATTGATCAATCGCAAAATTTACAATTGTCACAGCTTATCTATCGGCAGAAAAAAAAAAGTTCCAAGGGAGAGTTGATAAAAACCCGCTTATCTAGAATAGGAATAGTGTCATTCACCTTGATACGGTGTGCGATTAGAGGATCCAAAGCCTTGAGGATGTGGTAGCTAGACAAGAAGAAAAAAGGCAACTTCGAGCTGTTTTAAACTTGTAATTTACAATTTTTTATACTGTAGCATTTCTTAAATCTGAAAAATCTGTTAAAGGGAGAAATCACCCAAAAATACTCATCATTTTCTGAGGCATCGGACCTTACATTTCCCGTCTCGAAGCCCTCGCTTATGTAATACTAGTGGTACTAGTGCTTGCTTGATGTCAGGGAACAGAACCTAGGAGCTGGAGTGTCAAACTGTAAGCACCAAATAACCTAACATTTAACCTGCACCTCATATGCTCTTTTACCTCTGTGGGTTATGCTGTGACTTTTGAATACTGTTTACCAACACCCAAAAATGATTCTCGAGCCAACTGCAGAACAACTTCCAGTCCGCCTTCGCGAATAAATGATTGAAAGGGATACACAGAAAAGTCGCCTTGATTTAAAGAACGTGCCTCTGCCTCATGGACGGCTCTTCACGAAATGGCTCTAGCGGGGTCAATGGCAGCGATAGGAGTGGTATGAGTAGAGCGGAAAGGTTCGAAGATGAGAAGAGACGAATTATTGAAAGCTGTTTTGGGAAGAAGGATCCGGACGGCTCTTGTGAGATTAGTTCACTTTGCGATAGAGGTATCAGCCTGTGCTAACCACTCGGGCATTTAGTATTGGAATCATATATCACACATATTAGAATTATTGAGGATGCGGCATATCCATCCTCTCCACCTCCCACGGACGCCAATCCGGATGCTAAGAAACCTCGTATTATAATCGTCGCCGTGCGCAAATCTGGACGGGTTCGGATGCACAAAGCTAGGGAGAATGCGAATGGGAGCTTTTCAATTGGCAAAACTTGGATGCTTGATGATCTATCTGCGGTAGAGTCTTTCAGTGGAGCAGTCCCTACGACTGCGGAGGAGGAACAGCGCAAACAATGGGCTGGGGGTACGGGATTTACTGTGACGATTGGAAAGCCCTATTATTGGCAGGCCAACACTCAAAAGGAAAAACAATTCTTCATCGCAAGCTTGGTCAAAATTTACACGAAATACACTGGTGGAAAAGCGCCGGAACTCATTGGTTTTGATCCCAGAGAAAGGGAACAATTGTCTGGTATTTCAACTTCCGCACGACCACAACAACCTCCTTCCCAAGAATCTCGGCGGCCTCCGCAGCCCCAACAACCACAGTCTTCTGCATCTTCTCCATATGAACAGAGCCAGAGTCGACCGTTCAAACGAGAGCCGTCCCGAGAGCCTGTGCTGCGTAGTCAACCTAGTCGAGATGCTGTACAACGCCCACCAGGCCAAATGCCGGCCAATGCTAGTCCAGCTTTTCCTCCACAAAATTCCCGACCTCCTATGCGGCCACAGCGTGATGCCTCGCCAGGTTCATCTGCTAAGCCATTGGGTGTTAAACCTCAACAGAGTCACACAAGTCTGCGTAGGTTGGAAACCGGTAATCAGAGCCAGGAATCTTTTGGACGCAGTGACGACAGCGGAAGCTTACCGCCTCGTTCACGCGGTGGCGCTAATGGTTTGCCTAATGCCCCTGGTCGCTTTCCTGATAGAAGCGTCACACCCATTTCCCAACGTGGCCCTCCTGAGTCCAGCTTTCCAAGTCCAAAACGGGACAGGTCGACGGACCCGCCGCCAATGCCTGCTCCACTAACAATCCCACCCGAACGACGTCGACCTCCGATGCCAAATATTGGCGATGCGGCTCGCTTACGTGGTACAGATCCAATGGATAACATTGTGCCAGCGCCATTGGCTAGTCCTGGTATGCGCAGAGACGATATGCGGCCTCCCACTCGTAGCAGTGAACGATCAATACCTCGCGAGCGAGATACTAATGGAGATGGCAGTATCGACGCCAAACTCACAGAGGCAGCATCATTGGAACTGCTTCGTGATAATTTGGGTGATACTGGTAAGGATGAGGTGCCGTCGGTTCCTGCATCTGCGCCAGCTATTACCTCTCCTGTCTCTCCGGTCGTTTCGCCGACTACTCCCATTTTGCCATCGACGGAGGAGCAAGAGGACGAGGAAATGCGCCCCGGTCTTGGACCCATGATAAAGAAGAAATCCAAGGGCGACATTGCCAGCACTTTCCTTAGGGCCGCACAAAATGCTAATGGTTTCAAGCCTCGTGCTGGTGGCGCAGCTGAACGTCTTAGAGAAGCAGCACTGGCAGCTAAATCTCCAAACGGCCCTGATGGTATCACTGGTGTGGTCCCAGCTCCTTCCTTAGTTCGGGCGTTCAGTAATGATAGCGCAACTACGTTCAATGCTCCTCTCGCCGTTGTACCAGCTGCTACACCCGAAGCCCCTTCTACTCCGGTCGAAGCTCCTCCAGAAAAGTCCCCTGCACGCAATGCCAATCCTGAAGTTATTCCGGAAGTCAAAATTACAGTCCCGGACAAGGACATACCGAGCACTGTTGAAAGTCTTTCAAAGGCATCAGATACTGGTTCACTTGACAAGCCAAAGGCTCGGGAACCTAAACGTCCAAAATCTGCTTCTGAGGCAATGCAAAAAGAGCTTGCATCTTTAGGTATTGATCCCAGCTTTTTGGATGGCCGAGGCTCTGATCTTGTCAATGCATGGGATGAATTTGGTTGGGTTGGGGAAAGTGTGCATACAAAAGTTATTGATGGATTAAAAGATGATGTTGAGCGAGAGCTCAACAAAGTTCAAGCAGGAGGCTGGCTTAACCGATTAGAGGAAGAGGACGAACGAGTTGAAGCGATTAAAAGAGGGCTGGATACATGTATGGACGAATGTGACGAACTTGATGGTTTGCTCACACTGTATCTTGTGGAGCTTGGCGTGAGTTGCTTCATTGGATACATTCTTGAAGAATTTTGTAGATTAACAAATCACTTTAGACACTCAACGAGGACATTGCATACATCGAAGCCCAATCACAAGGTCTGCAGGTGCAAACAGCCAATCAGAAGCTCTTACAAGCTGAACTTCAATCTCTACTGGACACGATATCAATTTCCTCATCACAGCTCGAGTCCTTAAAAACGGCATCATTGGAACGTCCTCATGATCTCGAGCTGGTTGAAAAGTCTTTGGTTGTTTTGTTCAAGGCTATGGTTACTATCGATCCTTCACTTAGTATTTCTGTTCCTAGAAGAAGTGAAGATGGTAGCGTCCATTCCGGGAGAACCGGAGGCTTCGGCAACAGCGAGATTGGAAGCATGCGGGTCTTACAGGAGAAAAAAGATGTCTACCGAGCTACGAGCGTTGAATTCCTTCAACGTTTGTATTCCTTTTTACAAATGAAATTCCGCTCTGCAATTGACGAAACAAGGAAAGCGTTAGACCGGGAAAAGGGTGGTAATATCGCCAGAACAGCTGGGAAGGGCAAACTTGACCCACGCCATCATGATCTCGCGAGGAATATACTTTGGAGATATAGCCCACTGATGTTGTTCTCTAGGGAAGTGGCTCCTGATGAATGGGAAAAGTTTTTGTTAGATTACGAGTCTGCGTGTAAACCTTTGTATCAGGATGAATTCAGGGACGCTGTCTTTGCCTGGAAGCGGATTGCTAAGAAAGCACACGGGGACGAGTCTGAAAACTTGTTCACATCACAAATTGAGAAACACACTGAAGGCCTTGCAACTACAACCGCTAGAAAGCTGACGGTAAAGCGAAGTCAAACGTTGGCAAAGATACGATCCCCAGCTGGCGACGGTGGCAATAAGTCTACCGCAGACAAGGCGGATGGTCGACTACCTCCACATGAAGTATTCACTGGAGCTCTTGATGAAATGGTTCCGATTATGAGCATGGAGCAGAACTTCATTGTTGAATTCTTTCATATAACGTCACTAGAACAACATGATTTTGCTGAGTCTGTCGCTGCTGCTCCCCCAGACTTGCGACGAGGCGGCGACTTAAGAAGGCCAAAAGTTATGGATCCTAATCGGATATTGGCAAAACGTGTCGTACAGACCATGGAAGAAATTTACGCTTTTTGGGCTGGTGATATGGAAGCACTGGTAGACTGGTCCCTCCAACCCGATCCATTGTAAGTACACCCATTTAAAACAAATCGAAGGAAACCACTAACTATTCGAATAGGCAAGGTGTCGGTATACTCGTTTCAATTGAGCGCAAGCTTGTTGACCTCGAGGAATCAAGCCAGGAGTACCTGGCACGTACTCTCCAAAAGTTGCATGCTCGTTTGCTTGGTCTATTTAACAAATTCCTGGATGAGCAGATTCGAGCCATAGAAGACACTAAAGTCAAAATCAAGAAGCGAAAGGGTGTTATTGGATTCATAAGGATATTTCCTTCATTCTCCTCTGCAATAGAAACGATGTTGATGTCTGCTGATGGCCTTGAGGTTCGACAAATCGTAAATAATGCATATTCTCGATTGAACAAAACCATGTTTGAGTCTCTCAAGGTTATTGCGAGGGAAAACCCAAGTGCTCACACTGCAGGTGCAGATCCAGAGGACAAAGAAGCCCTCAATTATCAGATTCTGCTCATCGAAAATATGAACCATTACCTGGAAGAAGTGGATGTCCGCTCCAACCCGGTACTTGAAGAATGGAGGGAGAATGCTAGCCAAGAAATGGACGAACATATGACTTTATATCTTGGTGCTGTTATTCGAAGACCCCTAGGAAAACTTCTCGATTTCTTGGAAAGTACAGAGAGTCTTATGCTTTCTCGACAACCTGGTGAATCGGCTTCGAAGATCTCATCAATGCCAAGTCACTCCAAATCAACCTTCAAAAAAATCCTTGCTGGGTATGACGCCAAAGAAATTAGGAAGGGCATTGAAACTCTTAAGAAGCGAGTTGAAAAGCACTTCGGCGATGCAGATGACCCAGGACTCAGTCGAGAACTTGTCAGCAAGGTGAATCAACAATGCGAGAGATTTTACGAAAACGTCGACGATAGAATTTTGACAATCAGCAGAGATGTGTATGATGGAGAAATTATTGCTGAATGGACAAGAGCCGATATTGCTACAGCCTTCAGAAAGTAGGTGCCGTCATGGAGAAAGCAGGGTCCTTGGATTCTGACTCCATTGAACACAATTTTCCTTTAAATGTAATATGAGTGGAAACGTATAATGAAATAGGCGTTACGAAGGAGGGTGCAAGTAGTCATTACAATGGCGTCATCAACCTTGTAATTTTAGGGGATATACCATGCATTTGAAGAATGGAAAACGAAGAAAGAACCAATTTCCGTACCCGACTAGTACCTTTACATGTCTTGCCAATCTATATGAACAATTCGAGTCTGAGCTACTGTGAGCATATCCCACTGTTCGTCTCCAATCCTTGGCATTGGTGCTATGTACGTATGTACTACTACAATAGCCGAGGATATTAGACGGGAATTGACGGATGAATACACCGGCTCCTGAAGAATTTCGAGGCCGATCCACTTGACAATGATATGGTAAGCACTAGTAAATATGTTCCGCTTGCCCTCGAAGAGTACGTGTGATTTTGTTGTTGTCGAAACGCCTTTGAGTCGTGCTGAACATTCAATATCCAAGGCAGACTTAGTGCTTCTTTTTACTTCACATTCATTCCCCATTCGTATACATATGTCAGTACATTTGGGCTCGATTAATCAAATTCAACTTATATTCAGAGGCTCTTGTCCGAAATCAATAGGCACATCGATGCATTTGTACGAGTATGGCGGCTGCAACAACCATTCATCCGATCTTGGATTTCTCAGATCATGGGAATAACGAGAGTCATGCAACGTACGAGTTGGCTTTGAATGAATCTCGGTCTCCTCAAAATACCTTTGAATTGCGGCCAATAACCCGCCAAAGACAAATCATAATTCTCATCTCAAGCTTTTTGACAATATGTATCACGATTGGTCTCAACCAGTCTTATGGCGTTTTTCAGAGCTACTACATCTCCCCAGCTCAAAACATGCTTCCAAAAACCACGGGTAATGAAGGTGCATTGGTAGCCTTTGTGGGCACACTCGGGTCTGGTCTTACTTGGGCCGGCAGCATTGTGGTAAATCCAATGATGACAAGACTAGGTGCAAAAGGTCCAAAACACATCTGTATAATGGGAGTTGTCTTCATAAGCCTAGGATTTGGATTGGCAAGCTTGTGTAAGGAAGTCAGTAAATCACAACCCACACTTCACTCACTCGCTGAACCGTTTCATTAGGTTTGGCAACTTCTGTTGACACAAGGATTACTGTACGGCATCGGTTCATCGTTGCTTTACTATCCTATTCTAAGTACAGCACCTGAATACTTCAACACACACCGTGGTTCAGCAATGGGATTCATTCTGTCGGGCGCGGGAATTGGAGGGCTTATTTTCTCGCCCTTGATCCGCTTTCTTTTGACATCAATTGGGCCCAGATGGACACTCCGTTTGATTTCTTTCCTCGTGCTAGTCATAGCCCTGCCCATTGCTGCTACTGCAGCTTCATCACGATTTGTTGGAAGGCGACAAACTCATGTAGATCTCAAGTTGGCCATGAAGCCCGCGTTTATCTTCAGCGTTGGAGCTGGTTTCTTACAAGCGGGAGGAAACGGACTACCGCTCACGTTCTTGGCTGAGTACTCGGTAGCTTTGGGATATACTTCGGCTTTTGGTGCCACCCTACTAGCTGTTTCGAGTGGAGTTAATTCCATTAGTCGAGTGATGACCGGATTCGCTGGAGATAGGTTTGGAAGACAGAATACGCTAATCCTGTCGGTTATCTTGTGTGTCGTATCAGTATATGGATTCTGGCTAGGAAGTACTACTGCAAATGGTAACAAGGCGTTATTTTTACTTTTTGTGATATTCTATGGAGTTGCTGGTGGTGGTTACAATGCTCTATTTCCAACGGTACGTCTCTTCATTCCTTCCTTACTACATCCCATTCTATGCAAACCGCTTACATGCAAGCTGAAGACTGTGGCGGAAGTATTTGGACTTCAAGCCTACGCTAGTGTAAATGGATTTATATATTTTGTGAGAGGCCTTGGGACCATGTTTGGCAGCCCAGTCGGTGGCAAAATACTGGGGGAGAGTAAACTAGGAAATTATCGCGGGGTAATCTTGTTTGATGCGGCGCTTTTGTCTGGTGCTACTTTCTGTGTTATTGCCGTGCGACTATTTGATTCTAGGGAAAAGAGATCTTGGAAGTGGAAAGCATAATCATTGAATCATTATATTCAACTGTTGGTATTTTGTTGATTGGTGAGAAATTTGTACAAGCTAGGCCGAGACTCTACATCATCCCGGCCTTCACTGATAGAAGTGTGTATGCATAAAACTTTTGCAACACAGCCTCTTTCCTTCTAGGAGGCCGTTCCAACATCCGGCCCCATAAACATTGATGTGACATAGTCCTGATATAATCGCGTGCAAATTTTAAATCAAGGCCAAGCTACCTTAGTATTACAAAAGACCATCATTATGTACTAACTGCTGCTCATTGCAGAACTACTAAGTAAAATTAATGGCATGTACCTGCTGGGTAGTAAGAATCCAACAATATCAAGCGCATAATACTATTCACTATATGATTGAGCTCATAATAATATTGAATAATGAGAGGCCAATCTAGAGTCCAGGTGGGTCTATAGGGCTGAACAGCTTTCTCAATATCGAAGATTCAATTTTTCTTAATTTGTCCTCGATCAGGTCCTCCAATATTGATCCGCATCGACGGTCCAGGCTGGGAATTCATTGAAAGAGCATAGATCATTTTAGTCATATGTCCAAGCTTGCGTTCTAATAGTCCAAGTATTTACTTTTGCTTGTATGTTATCAATATCCTTTTAATCCACAAAATATGGCAGCAATCAGTGCTCGGTCTAAATTGATTGCTCGTGATCATTTAGTAAACAGTTTCATCAATCCTCTACCGCAAAAAGACACCTTCATTCAAGACTACAGTGATAATCTTGATTTGAAAGAGGGTTCAACTATTGACTTAGTATGGATATCCAACTATACATCTATTGTCCTGAGTATCAGTCAAGTTTTAAAATGTCTTGGAGGAGAATTAGGCTGTAATTCGAATTCTACTCTTCTTCGTGAGAGTCCCCTTTCAATTGACAATTCAAAGTACTAACCTTACCTATACAATAGAAAGCATACCTAAATCCCCGAACATGACATCATGGACTATAGACTCTTCCCCTTACAATTTAACCGAGTCGAATATTTTCTACTTCTCTATACATAATGGAAATACAAGGAATAATATAGCTGCATTTACCTCGCGCTATTTTAACATTAGTACATCAAACGATATTCCTGCCGTAACTGATACAGCACCATCGCTCTCAGCTAAAAGACACGAAGTAGCAGATCCAGTCTCTACCATTGACCTTCCTGTCGGAGCTGAAATAGGCATTGGCCTTGGTATTGGCGTCGTTTCTTTTGTAGTGGTACTTGCTATTGCACTGATTTTCCGACATATCAGGAGAAGTCGGTGTCGAAGGCACGCTGCGAAGAATCCGCGAATAAGTATTGTAAATGCAGGAGATAATTTGCGGATTCGCCGTGAATCGTGGGTGCAAGCTCTTCAAAATACATTTTATAAAGAACATAGGGATGATTCATCACAGTATCGATGGGATAGTCCGGATGATGTAATGCCTAGATATGATTCTCCCGATCTGAGAGAAGAAAGGGGTGTATTTGATGAAGTTCGTTTAGAGAATTCAGAAGAATATATTGATAGCCAGAATAACCAGTATATTAATCGCAATTCGGATATCCATTTATCTCCGGGGGAAGGAGTAGCCAGCCCCTTCATTAACGTTTCATGCGGCTCCTGGTCGAATTCCTTGGATAATTCCTTGGCCGATATATTTCAAGTCCTTGGTGTCGCATCTTCCAACTATCAACAATACCAAAATTGCTCTGTCGCTCAAACAAATTCACAACCAAGACCTAGTCAATATTCTCGTCACCAACTAGAAAGATATATACCCAGAAAAACCTCCATTAAACTCCAACGCCCGATGCCAACCTACGCTCCATGGCATCAACATGAATTAATACACAGGTCAAACTCGATATGGAGTATCCAATAAACACCTACTCAATTTCAATTACGATCTCAAGCAAAAGTGAAGCAGGAAGTTAAGCCTAATGCGAATAGACAGGCGGCTGTAAAAGAAGGATATTCGACTAGCTATAGTACAGGTCATAAACTTTCTGTTAGTACAAAATCTTTCAGAATCAAGCAGAATCTGGAAACTACACCAAAGAGAAAATCAAAAGATCATACACCTTATCACACCCCGCAATTCGTGTCTCCATCTGTCTTCAAAACATTAGATCTACAACAAACCCCTTCCCTCCGAGCAGAGCCAGAATCCGAGATAACTCACGGAGCAACATATCAAAAGCAAGAAAAAAATCAACTACCCCATCCACTGAAATCACACCCTCAATATCAATATCAATCTCAATTTCGTCTTCCACCCCAAGCTCTCTCGCAAACTAAATCCCCAATCCAATACTCAACATTCATACTCCCTATAGCAGGACAATACCACTTAGAGCCAGGCACTCATTACCCTAGTATACCTGAACCCGAGACCTCTGAACTCGAAGCTTTGAATTCAACTTCAACTCCCACTCCAACTACAGCTTTAAAATCCAACTTCTGATGACTACCGATATCCCAGCGAGGAATCACGGAGAGAAAAATGGTGGGAAGTAATTAGAGAAGAGTATAAGATAGGAGATTATCTCCAAGGCCACCAATCCACGAAATCCCCGCAGAACTTTTATCTTCCATTTGAAATCTACACTACACATAAGAACACACACAGCAAAAAAGCTCCAGCCATGATAATCACTATTGATCATTTTGATCAAGTTCCCCAAAAATCTTACAAGCGAAGAAACAAATATGTAACCAGATAAAAACTAATAAATAAGGGTATCGAAAAGATGTCACAAGCTACCTACATACAGCCTATTGCCTATTGCCTATTGCCTGTTGCCTGTTGCCTATCGCCCACCACCAAAAAATCTGCATGATTTTGCCCCCGAGCTCCTCCAAAACGATTGTCTGTTCAAGAAAAGAAAAGACAAGAAAAGAAAATAAAGTGAATATATACATTGAAGAACCCCAAGATGAAATTAACTCCCCGTTTGCCGTCGTGAATGTTGTACGTGCATATAATGAATCTGTTCATATGATGACGTTTTGCATCATGTTCATACATAAATAAAGAGAGAAATATGAGAATTAGACGTTTCTTTCTTCGTTAATCCACTTCTTTTCACCTCACCATAATAGTGATTTATCCCATTGCCCCAACGCGTCCCCTTACGCCACTACACCTCATCATCCGGCGGTAATTCACCCCCAACACTCTTCAACCAGTTTAAGATCCTGCCCCTGGCCCCGTCCAACTCAGTGCCTAATCCACTCCTCCAAAGTTCCTCCACAACCTTAACTTTCTCCTTCAAATCATCCGTCAGTCTTCCCTCTTCCTCGCTCTTCACCGCCTCCAACTCCCTTTCTACTTCTTCTTTCGCTTCTCCTTGAGCTATTCGCTGCGTGCCCATTAATCTACAATTTGCTGCCGTTACTCCCACTTTGACTTCATGCAACAGACACAGTAAATTTGTCTGGCTCTCAATAAATTGATATGTTGATTTACCCGCGTGGACTATGAGGGTGTATAGATATTGCATGGGAAAATCATAATAGCTTGGATTTTCTTCGTATTCGTCTTTGGGGATCTGAATCATGAAGCCTTTCAAATCGCCGTCTTTGGGGATTTGTTCAATCAAGCGACTTAGAGAAGGAGCAATGTCCCAGAAAGCACCGAGTTGAACTTCCACGCCACGAACGACGTTTTCTTCAATGATATCCATGAATTCTTCGGTGCGTTTGAGAATCTCGGATTCGAATGCTTGTTTGCGTTTTTGAGCATCTTCTGCGAAGAAGGATTCGGCGCCGCGGACCTTTTCAACGTTGTTGGAGAGACGGTAGGGTGTGATTATCATTTCTTTGTAACGATCATTGCGATCCGAGAGTAATTCGTAGACCTCACGGTGAAGTTGTTCACGAGCTTCAAAAATCCATTTTAGAAGTGTTAATTTCTCAATGAGTTCTGGTTGTTCGTCACCTTCCTCCTGCGTAGAAGTAGGGTTGTGGTCTTGTGAATCGTTGAAGAGTTTACTTCTGAGTTGTTCAAAAAGATCAGTCGCTGATTGAATACGTGTCATGAGGAGCTCGTTGACGGGGAGGACGACTTGGGATTGAAAGAGTTCAAATATAGATTTGGCGGCTTCCTTGGATTTGATACATTCGCTAGTGACAGCATCTGCTTCGTAGGCCGCAGCATCAGCATATGATATGGTTCCAACCTCGATATCGCGCTGGATGCGGAGACGCAATGAAGCTCGTCGTTTGGAGGCTGCGGTCTTTTGATCTTCCTGCATCTGGGCACTATCCCGCACGAAACGTTCTTTAGTAGCAGTTACTTCGGCAATGTCGCTTAGCATACGAACAGTTGTACGGATACTCGTGAGGTCTGGATGATTATTGTTTACTGCTGGGTGATGACGAGGATACGGTGGAGGCAACGTCACTAATCTTGAAATATCAAGGTGGTCCGGGTTTGGTGTGAAGGGTGTCCGTGGAACGAGGGCTGGTGGAATTATGGGTTGAAATACGGGAGAGACTTGATTCGGTTCGTGAAAGCCAGTCTTCTCTCGGGGGTACTCATTCGGACCCAAGTGGGCAGGGTTACTTGGACCTCCAAACATATTCTCCATTGGCGATCCAGAAGGTGGATCTCCTTCTCCAAATTGTAAAGCCTCTCGCAATTCCTTTGGCATACCCATATACTTTGATTCCCGTTTTGATCTTTCAAATCTTGATGAAGGAACCCCATCTGATCCCTGTTGACTAACCTCCCACCATCTGCTTGAAGGCCTTCCTCTTGAACTTGCCCCATCGAGTGCCTCACTAACACTCATGCTAGGAATTGGAGATAAGGAGGGCATGTACCCAGGCTGACTCCACCATTGTGGATTTTGTTGTGCTGGCTCCGGAGATGGTGGACCTGCTGAATTGGCCCTGGATCCAGGCCTTGAATTCGACCTTGAGCTAGGCCTTGTAGGTTGCCTTGATGAAGATCCTGGTTCGGAATGCTGCGACCGTAGATTTTCTTTCATGGCTCCCACTAGCGAGCTCCTATGAGACCTTGGAGCGGCTGACGATTCGGGTGTGAAATCACTTCCATAAGACATCGTAGAGTCTCTACGAGCATTAGGTCGAAATAAATCTCGGGTCAGATCTAGAATTTCAGACCCCATTGCGTCAATCGCGGAAGCATAACGGTCTCGACGTATTCTGGATTCATTAACAATAAATTCTGCAAAAATCCGAACACGGTCTGTATCATTTGTAGCGCTGGCTTCTCTCTGAACAAATATTTCATGTCTTTCCGCAGCAGAGCGAGCGAAGTCATCAGCGGGTGTCATGTGGGACACTTGACTTGAGATTGATTTACCAGTGGCAGGTCGAGATGGAGTCGAAGCAGTAATGAATGCAAAATCATTCTTAGGGATGATCAACGAGGGTGGACGGCTATTGGGAGTTTTTTTAACCATTATTGATTGTGGCGGAGGTGTTGGTGAAGACTTTGGCGGAACCGATGGGGAATGGATTACTGTAGTTGCCTTGATGGACTCGGGGGAGAAAGGCGGAGTATGTGCCACTGGCCTAGGAGTTGAGCCCCTTGAGCCAGTAAGAAAACCATTTACGCGATCTGGAGTGGTCAAATTGTGTAGCGTTGATTGAGATGACCTTGGGGTTTCAGAATAATTAGACGATCTTCCACTTCTCGGGGTTGTCCTAGTCATAGTCTTGTGCCTCGCTAGGGGTACATTGATATCACTAGGAGTAATGGCTTCTGCCCACGGATTATTTGATTGCTCAATTGCCGATTCAGGGTAAGCTGTCCTGCCATTTCTACTTTCACTTCTTCTTTCACGGATAGTTTTCTCTCCACGGACAGCTCGTGACCTTGTCAAACTAGAAGAACTTGAGCCGGAAACAGAATCGGTTGCTGTACTAGAAGTAACGCTTGCAGTATCGACGTGTAGCGCAGGACTTTTTAAGCGGTCCCGAGGAGGTGATGCCGCGGGTGTCTCATTGGGCCAATTCGATGCTGCCGCAGACGCTTGAACTGGGGGCGAAAGCGGGGTAGGTGGGACTGGACCTAAAGAAGACGCGGGAAGTGGCCTTCGAGTTGGGGGAGAGGTTATTGCATCAGTGGCACGGGTCATACTTTGTGATCTTGGGGGTGGAGGACGGCCAGGTGGAGGTGGAGGTAAAGGCATCCCAGGCTGCCATCGAGTAGTAGACGGATCTCGCGAGTGGGCCGGAGATGCTGAACTGATAGCTCCTGTAGATGCAGCTCGACGTGACCCCGGAGGTAAAATATTGACTGGAACAGGGTCCACAGTCTCTGGGCGAGTTTGTTCCACAGCTCTTCTTGGAATGGGCGGCACTGGTGGTATTGGTTCCCTGTTTGAAGCTGGTGACATTCTGGGGTTCTCAGGATGATTAACCGATCTCCTAGAGAATGCCAAGACCCCGAGTGGCCTATCATTCGACCCAGCTCTCGATCGCCCACCAGGCGGAGGAGGATAATTCGGGTGTGGAGTACTTGGAGCTGCGGTATGAGGGGTATGTGGAGCCTCGGGGGAAGAACGATATGCCTGTGGTGGAGCAGAAGCAGACGACATAGGTTCATCTGATCCTCCTGTCGGTCTATTGCTTCGCGGTGGAGAGTATGGAGGTGGGGCTGGAATCACTACTGCAGTTTCTCATTAGCTTTTACTACCACGCGCATACTGTGCATACAATTCGAAAATTAAAAACAATTCTTGAAAGTAAGTACCATCTGGATCGTGAGATGGTCTGGCAGAAAAATGCGAACCATCTGAACCACCACTGACGTTGGGAGATGAAGTCCATTGTGAAGGATTGTACTGTCGCACAGAGCTCAAAGGTGTATTGTACTGTGAAGGATTGTATCCAAGCGATGAGCTCAAATTTCCAGAAATGGCATATCCAGGAGTCTGGTGATGAGGCGACGCGGTATGTAGAGATGTTGTAATGGGATTCAATTCCATTCTCCTCCGGATGCCATGTTCTCTATGAGGGTTCATTGTCGCGTCTTAAAGTCTCCCGATCCTATAAATAGTAACACGAAAGTACTATCACGACAAACAGGACTTTCCCTCCACAATCAAGCACTCAAGCACTCGAGCCCTGGCTTTCGTCTTATTTAGACGATTTGGCCTTTGAACTCATCTGAACATAAAAATGTATTTGAGGTGAGTGTGAGGTGAAGAAGTGTTCCAAATCGTGAAGGACCTCTCCTTTTTTTTACGGGATCGACCACCCCCTTAGGTCACGGTGGGATTTTTGTGATTCGAAGGGGCGAGAGGGCTGTTTTTGAAGCATGAGCGCATGAGCATGGATAAAAAAAGATGCTCCCATCCTTTACTTTTACAACACCACACCAACTCCAGGGTTCCAAATATGGTATGGCTCACGATTGGAGTCCGCGGAGTTGATGTGCATGTTGAATTCTTTGCGCGTTTTTCACAATGGGCCAATTAGATGGGAATATGGTGACAGTTAAACATGGATACAATCTGCTAGTCTCTTTTTGATAAGTTCAGCGCTTACAGTGATTCATGCGCAATACCTGTATCCGTGCCCTTAAAGGGTTGTATTGAGGGGCTCGACAGCATGGAAAGTAATAGAGTTCTCGATGATATGATATAGTATGTAACCTACATGCACCGTTGAGAGCAGGCAAAAGTGTTTACCCAGACTGGAATATGTATCTGTAGGTATACATACGACTGACTACATTACTGAACCACGAGATTCCTTCATATCGAGATCCTAACGATGTATCAAACCAACAATGTCTGACCGAATCTTATTGCTTGTGGGACCGAGACTACATATTTGGTAGAACTAAAAATAGTTATCTCTTCCCACCTTAACCAATTTAGCTTCTCACAATTGCGAGCTATCTCCTTACTTGCATACCTGTATGAAGTCACTAATTCGGTCAGATTTTATGTGATAACTCTGGGATGATTAATTTGGACACATTTATAGAATGAAAATATGCTGTATATTAGACAGGACCTTTAGCTTCAACTTGGTAGAGAGACATGAACCCATTAGAATCGGTATATAAATTTAGTAGTGGATCTCACTAAATAAATATGTACCTTACAGTGCGTCTGCAGAGTGGGCTTTTGGAAAGCTCCATATATTTTCACATTGCTTATCAAAACACAGGATGACAAGTCGCTGGAGCTCGAAGTACGGAGTAGTATCGGAATATTATTTGATACCGACAACTCGTCACCTCTTGGGTTTACTTCTTGGCGTAAGTTGATGTTATAAATATCATTCGTATCTATAAGCTGGACTACTGAATGGAGCCTGAATTTGCTTTACTTCCATCACCGATTCAAATCGTGTAGTGAACCTCATTTTTGGGCACGAACAGCCTCGTGATACTGCGTGAATAAATTCCAGCATTATCGAAACTGGTGACCCCTCGTCCATGTAGATGCGTCGAAGCAAAACAAAGATATCCTCAAAAAGGTGCCAGATTCCAGAGCTTCCGATAGAGGACTCCAATGATAGCCTCCTACCAATACTCGCGGTCAAAATTCGTAGGACCTCCGAGCAAGTTGTATATGCAATGATGCCGTTATAATCGCTAAAATTCTCATTGCACTTTGCCTCCAGTGCCCTTCTCCCCATACGAAAATTCTTCCGGCAAATCCATTCCTACCCTCCTAGCAGTCAAACGAATTCTTTCTTCATCATCCATATTCATTCCTGGATTGTATCTCTCAAGTAATGTAGCATACATCCTTTGTGCCTTGACATATTGAAGGAATTGCTCGGCTTGCTCGATTGGTGTGTTTGTTTCCGAGGCTATGGTTTTGCGAATGCGAGATTGTAGTGGAGAGCGGGAGTTTTGCGTGAAGGGGCGAGATGGAAGTTCGCGTAGGAACGAGCGATAGAGTGCCCGCAACTTTGTGGGTGTAGGAGAAGACATTTTTCTGGTTTCCAGCGCAGAAAATGAGGTCTGAGGAAAAGTTAATGAGCAGTGAGAAATTGACAGGCCCGTTGTCGGCATTAACAATCCCGACAGGTTTTCAGCCTTGTAACTCTTCACACACAGCCTTGTCACAACCTTCTAAATTTTTACATTTGAACATTGACGATTATTCAATGTCAACGTCTTTGAAGGTACAGTCATGGCCTCGTGTAGGTATAAAGCGATTCCAGGGATTCTGTGCGAAGGATGTTCTGAGAAGAATTACGACAAATTCTCCAACTCATGATCGTCCTACACCTCAACATATGAATTTTCCATCTACCAGACTTTGCTATCACTGGGACACTTTACCACCTACAGAAGCACAACTCGTCCATGCAAATACGTTTTTTACTAAAAAGCCTTTCAAGCACTTATGGTCTACTTCACAATTCTACTCCATGGCGTTTGGAGACAGCCCTGAGGTTTGCTTCTTAGGACGATCAAATGTAAGCATAATCAGCCCTCTATGTTATAATTGTGTTTGTTGCTTTTAGTTTTCGCATCATTCTTTGTGTTGCCCAGACTCTTTAGTAAGATTTGATCAACAAGCAATATTGCCTTTGCAAAGTATGTACTGACACTATCATATTTCAGGTTGGCAAATCATCTCTTCTCAATGCTTTGCTTAACAACAAGAATGCGGCATACACCAGTTCGAAAGTCGGGCGAACTCGGTGTATGAATGCATTTGCGATTGGAGGACATGAAGGGTCTGAAGATAATAGTGATCGATTAGTGGTACTGGATATGCCGGGATATGGGCATGGTGGGAGGTCGGAATGGGGAAAAGAAATCATTAAATATCTGGAGAAGAGGAAGCAGCTCAAACGAGCTTTCGTACTAATTGATGCCCAGCATGGGATCAAGGAGCTTGATAGGGTGATGTTGCAAATGTTGCGGTCCCGTAAAGTCCCCCATCAGGTAGTACTATCAAAGGTTGACAAGATTCTGTTCCCTTCGAATACGAAAGGAATCCCCGGAAGTGATGCGCTGGAGAACAGGATTACTGGCCTGGACAACTTCCTTCAAGAGGTTAAAGCAATGATCGAGGCAGTCCCAGAATCCGATGATGCTGATTCCTTGATCGGGGAAATACTAACATGTACATCTGAGAAACGTGCTGGGAGAAGATATGGCATTGATACCGTCAGATTTGCAATGCTGAGAGCTGCCGGCCTAGAAATCCAAGCAAAGGTCAAGCTAGCCGAGCCTGTTGACATTATTTCCCATGAAGAATTGTTTGGGATACGAAACATTGGGGACTGAGGAAGTACGTGATGTACAGATTTTGAACAAGCACATACCGAGGCATTGTTGGAATACTTTCTACCTTCATTGGTGACGGGCGACTAGTGATTTCGTCACGTCCCAAGTGGATGCTTTGCTAGAACCTTACTACAGGACTTACATATTGATCAACTAGATCATTGCCCTGTACAGGTACCAACAAGAACGATGTTTGACTGGGGATGGGGGCAAAAAGGTGGGATGGGTTCAAAGATGGGAAGCGGATCTCAAGAATTGATCTTTGATCAACATATTTGGTACACAGTAACCTTAGGAGAAGAAGGATTGCAGAAGACATGAAAACGAACTGATACTCCAAATCCCAAAACAGATATCTAAATCTATCTGACATCTATTGAAGCCCAGTGATCGATCGCTCAAAGGTACCTGTCATGAAATTTGAATACGTGTCACATGACTGTGTTATTGTGCCTGGTTATTGAATTGGAGACTTTTCATGAGCCATGGGTTTTGTTCCCGCTAATCGTCATAACTGTCTGTACCCGGTGTAGCCCGGACCTGGAACTTTCAACCTTTTTTTAGGTCACTGCACTCTTTGAAATTGTCGCAACTTTGACCCAGCACTACCTATGATCCCGTCTCGTATGCTTTAACTCTACATAATAATAATCATAATAATTTGAAATTACATAAACATAACAGAATCACCCTTATTTTACTGAACCTCAACTTCCGACCCTAAAGTAACAATCGCCATCTTCCATCTCCAATCAACGCTTTTTTTAACATTCAGACATTCATATTCATTCCCTTTGATCAAGAACTGGAAAGTGCGGGGCCAATCGAAGCACAGCCTAGCCTAGCCTAGCCTATCCTATCTACACAAATACAGCCCCGGGGTCTTCATTCATTAATATCGGAAATTACCATATCAAGCGAATTACATAGTGACTACTTACGACACCATATCTCCCTAACATCCATCATCATAACGCCGCCGCCATCTTCCATACAAAAGCGAATCACGATTGGCTTCCTTTGATTTCGCATCGTAGCTGGGGTAGCTACCGAATCTTTGATCTCATCTCAGACGTCACAATTCATTTGGTCTTGAACTCAGGAGAGATCAAGTCGCAAATATGTCGAAAGTCGTACGAAGCGTCAAGAACATTACGAAAGGATACAACAATGTGCAAATTAAAGTCCGGAATGGTATGACCTGTGTGCTAAACTCACAAATTATATGTTGACGGATTATAGCTACAAGCAATGATCCATGGGGTCCCGTTGGATCAGATATGGCTGAAATTGCCCAACTGACCTTTAATTCGTGCGTACTTTCATTACCTGCAGATATATACAGAACTAACTCAACAAATCCAGGGCGGAAACTTTTTATCAGATCATGGACATGCTCGACAAACGTTTGAATGACAAGGGCAAAAATTGGAGACATGTTTTGAAGGCTTTGAAAGTGTTAGATTACTGTCTACACGAAGGTTCCGAGTTGGTGGTGACATGGGCACGGAAGAATCTTTATATCATCAAGACTTTGAGAGAATTCCAGTATATCGATGAGGATGGAAGAGATGTTGGTCAAAATGGTCAGGACTGATATGATGAGAATACATGGAAGCTTGCTAACTATTTTCCTAGTCCGAGTTTCCGCCAAAGAACTAACATCTTTAATTTTGGATGAGGATAGACTTCGAGCTGAGCGAGCTGACCGCAAAAACTGGAAGTCTAGAGTTACTGGCCTGGATGAATTTTCCGAACCTTCAGATGCACAGCCACGCCGACAACGTCCACACCGAGCGCAGCGCGCCGATGAAGAGGACGCGGAATATCGATTGGCTATCGAGGCCAGTAAATACCAGGAAGAAGAAGATCGCAAGAAACGTGAGAGCAGGCAAGGGCGTGGCGAGCCAGACGACGAGGATCTTGCTAAAGCTCTTAAGCTTAGCCAAGAGGAAGAAGAGTTACGCAGACGTGAATTAGAGGAGCAAAATGCGCATTCGCTCTTTGATGATGATCCTATTCAGGTAGCACAACCCACCGGTTTTAACGGAGGATACCAGCAACAAGGAGCCGTCGATTGGTCGGGAAATCCGATTGACATACAGCCTACCGGATATTTGAACCCTTACACGAATTACCAGAATGCGCAACCTACCGGCTACCAAAATACAGGTTATCAAAATGGCTTCGCCGCCCAACCGACAGGTTTTGATCCTTATGCATCACAGCAACAGCAATCATTTCAACCACAATCTACTGGATTCAACCCCTATGGCCAATTTCAACAACAGCAGCCCCAGCCCCAGCAGCAGCATCTAGAACATATCGCTCCCGCCGGAACAAATAACCCTTGGGCGACAAACCAGAGCCAGCCACTCCAATCTTTACAACCGATGCCAACTGGATCCAACAATCCTTTTGCACAATCTTTTACCCGCCCGCACACCAGCTCGGCTGCATCCAAACCCACCCTTGCTACACTCCAAGAACAGAAGACCTTGGGCCAGTTCAGCAACACGCCATCTTTCAACAACACACCATCTTTCAATCCAAGCCCTTCATTCTCACCGCAACCACCCCAAAAAGAACTATCGGAACATGAAGCCAGGCTCAATGCGCTTCTGGCAAGTGGGGATGGAATGGACACTTTTGGAAATACCGGAAACCTTAGAATCCCAGCGCAACATACTGCACCAGGAACTTTTGTTAATAGTGCAGGCGCTGGCTTAGGACGTATCCACGAACAACAAACCGGTAACAATCCATTCCTCCAGACACAATACACGGGCATGCCACAAACGACGTACCAGAGTAACCCTCAAAATAATGCTGCTGGTGCGTTCGGCAACAGTCCATTTGGTCGCCAAGTCCCGGCCGCCACTGGACCGGCCGGTATGAATGGTGGCATGAACGGTTTTGGTCAATCGAGCAACCCCTTTGGTCTAAGACCACAACAGGGACAAAATGGCCAGGGCGGGGATTTGATTCAATTCTAGATGGCAGTTGGCAGGCAGGTAAAGAGGGTAAATGGTATTGTGGAAAGACCGGAAGCGGAAAGTACAAAGTTTTGCATTTTGACATGGAACTTGTTCGGGAGCCTTGGATTGGTTTATGCATCCCCCTTTGCTCAACAGGCGTGTGGTGGCTTTTTAAAATCTTCTTCTATTGTTATTATGCTTCTTGCAATTCAGAATTTTTTTCTTCCCCCAAAAGAATTCCAAGCGCATTGTGAGGTGAGATAACATGATATACAAATTGGACCGGGTATGGATCAAAGGCAGAGAGAGGATAATTTTTTGGGAGAGGCTCAAAGGTACTTTAAAGCATGGGCTTTTAGTAGGTGTAGTTAGAGAGTAAATTGGGTTTATGGAGTGTGAATATAAATGATTAATAGAAGAATGTTTTTAAATGATTAATTGAAGAATGTTGTTAGCCCATTCATGGAGAGAGAGGTCAAGTCATATTTTGAGGCGACTTCTATGCAGAATACTCGAAAGAAGGAATAATGTCTTTTTTGCGATGTCCATTATGGTATCCTGAAATTGTACTGTAATTACGCATACCTACATGAAAGTAGTTCCATACCTGCCTCTTTTCCCATTGTGTAACCCAAACCGACGCCTGCACTCCTTGCTTTACTCCTCGATGTGGTGGAATGACAATGTGGTATACACATGAAACTAAAAGACAAAAAAGTGATACGATAATCAAAACAGGGCTTTTTCTCCTGTCCTTATTCTCCAAGTGTACGAGTTTGGTGGTATAGTTTTGGGTGCGATGAAATGATGGAATAAAAGTCGCGTCGCTTCCAGAGTTTTGGAAAGGTTGTAATCCAACGGGTATGATGCTGATGGGATGAAATGAAAATGATAAAAAAATATGTGGTGAATTTATCCCATGCATATCTGGATAAATTCTTCCCTCCCCACTCCGCCTTTCCCTTCTAAATCAAACTCCTCGATCATAGCCCGCAGCTCATCTTCCTCTAGCCCCTCTCCCAGTTCATGCGCTACTCTCCTCAAATCCTCTAATGATATCATGCCCTTGTCATCTGTGTCGAATAAGGCGAAAGCCCTTAGTATTTCGTCGCGCGGATCGCGTTGCGCTATTAAGTTACCGGCGATGGATTGGAAGGAGGGGAGAGTGAGGAGTAGACGCCCAGGAGAAATATTGTGATCGCGTGCGCCGGGGCGGGCGTCGGGAGGAATACCGTGTGTGGTTAGGAGACTGAGAATTTCGGGTTTGGGGAGGTCGAAGCCGAGGGCTTTGAGAGCGACTTTGAATTCGTGGTAGTCGATCCTTTGGTCCTTGTCGTTGTCGAAGAGTACAAACTGTGGAATTGTCAGCGCATTGTTTTGGCGCGGCTTCAAATCAGAATTGAGGGAGGGGAGTTTATGCGATCTGCACATTGCAGGTTGGATATATCAAAACATACAGCTTCGTTGATCTCCTCCCTCTGTTCATCACTTAAGATATTCATTGGAGCAGTTCCCGGCGCGCCAGGCTGAGCCTGCACTTGACTATCCTTCGGTAACCCACGGTCGCGGTCCAATTGGGATTTCTGTCTTAAAGCTAGAGCTGGTTGTGATTGTGAACCAACAACCGAGCCAAAAGTAGTTGAGGGGGGGTTGCGAAGATTATTGTAGGGACGCGCGGGGAAGCCAGAATGCGGTTGACTTGTCGATGCCATCGAACAGAACACAAATCACTTTGCGCAAAGGTGGGAGCGAAGAAAAAGTGGCAAATTTAATGGTAAAATATCAAGTACTGTTCGCTCTGTCAGTGGCTGGGAAAACTACTATTATATTTGTTGAACAGGGTGTCGAGTGGGACGGAGCGATGGGAACGATTTTGATGGGTTGATGGGGGGGAATTTTTGAATTGACGCGTTAAGCTTTTTGAGAGATTGGACGCGTTGATGGGATGGGATGGGTTCTCGAAAACGGCTTAGGATTATTAGTCATCGATGTATGATCGGAAATAAGTTTGAGGCCGGAAACTAAAAACACAGGGGGCTGGGGCCCGAATCGTCGTACTCTGTACTAAAAAGATAAATAAGAGTCACGCGTGTTCAGTCATGTGATCACTCATACACACAATTGTACGTAGGTATTATACACGAAGAGAGCTCTTGGCTGCTAGTCCGTGAAACTCCAAGTATCAAATCATATTGAGGTATCCTTTGTCAAGTGGAAGAAAGAGTCATATCAAAGAAAGCCTAACATGGATTCTTATCTATTGTATGGACGGAGTAGGTGGTTAGCCACACAAATGCTGAATATATTTCCAGGCAGAGTCCAGATTCCAAGATGCATGAACAAGATACATAAATTTCTATTGCAAGATCTTATTCTTATAGTCATGTTACCTCATTAAAATATAGTACCATAACAATAAGATCACATATTCTCCAAGGCAGCGATTTCATGAAAAGTTATCTCCATCATTCACTGGTCAAAATCATGTTATCGTGAATTTGATTGGTTAAAAGAGCTCAAGGTCGTGTTGTTCCTAAATTCACCAAAGCTCTTGCCGCCTTTTTATGTACCGTTCCCTAGCCGAACTTTCTTCCAACCTACCATTACAATTGAAGCGCGTTCCTATACAAATTCTCTATCACCAAAACGATTTCAAAATTTCCCCAACTTCAATTCTTCATTCATACATCATACACCTACTTCGTCATTGATGGTTCTTTGGGCATCCGCTTTACGATTTCTAATGCATGCGACGCTTTCTCGATACTGAGCGCAATCTATCCATTTTTGCGCGTTCGCCTTTTTTTGCGACTGTGATTAGTCTAACCTCTGTATAAAGGAAGATACGACTTTTCATTTTCGCCATCTGCTAGATTTAGCAGCAACTCAAATATACTTAGTCTGCTGTCGATAACCAATCAATATGTCGTTCGGGGGAGGATTTGGCGGTGGCTTCGGCCAACAGAATAAACCTACTGCATTTGGGGGAGGCTTTGGTAGTACACCTGCGAACAATACTGGCTCAGGTAGGTCATCTCTTCGCTCTTTTTTTGTCTTTGATCCCATGGGTGTCTGGAAGGACTGGGAAGGTTCCGCGATCTCGTCGAACTCATCGCTTACTCGAATCGTCTGCTGCAACAGTTTTCGGTTCTGGTGCCACCAATAACACTGGCTTCGGTGCAAATAACAATACTGGTGGTGGTATGTTTGGAGGCGGCGGAACCTCTTCTGGTTTCGGCGGTAACACTGGTAACAGTACTGGTATGTGGATGCTCTGATGCTCTGACTTTCTGAATTGTTCCGCTTAGCTTGACAGCTCGTCGTACCTTGGATCGCATTCTTGTCGCATTCCCTCTTGCTCTCGAATCATCCATCATAAATCAATGACGAGCCATCTCAACTACGAAACCGAATTTCTTTTAAACCACGCGTTTCAACAATTTCTTTCGTCCCATTAGCGTCTTAGGTTGCTGGTGCTATACTGATATATTTCACAGGTTTCGGAGGATTTGGCGCAAAACCCGCAACTACAGCTTTTGGGAGTCCAGCCGCAACCACAGGTAGTAATATGTTTGGAAGTGGTGCTACGACAGGAACAACTGGTGCATTTGGTGGTGGATTCGGAAGCAGTGCTGCACCCACATCAGGATTCGGTACTACCAACACTGGAGGTGGGTTATTTGGGAACAAACCTGGTGGCTTCGGTTCTACTACTACTACGAACACGCCTTCAGCTTTCGGAGGAGGCTCCGGATTTGGCAGCACTGCAGGAACTGGATTTGGAGCTGCTGCTTCAAGTACCCAATGCGAAGGCACCCAGGCTGTCCCTTTCACAGCGTTTGTCGAGAAGGAGCCAAATTCATCCATGCAAAATGCCTACCAAAGCATATCCTTTCAACAACCCTACAAGAACTTCTCCCCGGAGGAGCTTCGATTGGCCGATTATTCCAAGGGTTTGAGATACAATCAGAACCAAGGTGGTGCATTTGGCACGAACACGAATTTTGGGGGATTCGGTAGCTCTAACCAAGCTACAACAGGAGGTTTTGGGTCTGCGAACAACGCTACAACAGGTTCAACAATATTTGGTGGTGGAGCAACAGGTACAGGTTTCGGTACAAGTCAACCAGCTAGCACAGGGTTTGGATCGAATACCGCTACAACCGGCGGTGGACTCTTTGGAGCCGCGAAACCCGCGACCGGTGGGCTATTTGGTGCTCAACCGCAAGCGCAAACCGGCGGAGGCTTGTTTGGATCGACTACCAATAGTGCAACTACCGGAGGATTTGGCTCGACAAATACTGGTTTTGGATCGGCCAATACCGGCACCGGAGGAGGTGGTCTCTTTGGTAACAATAGCGCTACGGCGGCAAAGCCTGCCTTCAGCTTCGGCAATACACAACCAGCAGCCACCACGGGAGGCTTTGGGTCATCAGGAACTGGATTTGGAACGGCTAATACCAATACTGGAGGAGGTCTCTTTGGAAACACTCAACAGCAGAGCACAACAACTGGATTTGGTGGCGCAGCTCAGCAACAGCCAGCATCGACCAATGCTTTTGGAGGCGGCTTTGGATCTAACAACACTAATACTGGTGGAGGTCTTTTCGGAAATACCCAACAAAAGCCAGCTACTACTGGCCTTTTTGGCGCGCAACCCGCTGCTTCAAACGCTGGAGGACTATTTGGTTCTCAACCAGCCGCTACAAACAACAGTCCATTTGGCGGTGCGAATAACACCAACACAGGAAGCAGCTTGTTTGGTGCCAAACCAGCTACTGCCGGTGGTCTTTTCGGCCAGCCAGCGGCTCAAACAAATACCGGCACAAACAGCTTATTTGGTGGTGGTTTCGGTGCTGCGAATCAAAACAACCAACCCCAGCAAAGCACTGGTCTTTTTGGTGCTAGTCTCGGAAATAATAGCAACCAGCAGAAACCTGGCGGCTTGTTTGGCCAGCCTCAGCAGCAAGGATCAAGCTTGTTTGGGAACTCTGGTACTCAACAACAGTCCAATTTATTTGGTTCATCTACAATTGGCCAACAGCAGCAACAACAACAACCTGCTCAGTCCCAGGGTTCCATCTTTGGAACAGGTTCCATCTTCACCCAATCACAACAGGGTGGGACGCCACAATCATTCAGCACTAGTCTCACTGATCCTGGAGCTTATGGCACGAGATCCATGTTTGCTGAGAACAACTCTCAGGAAAATCTCAAGAACCCTGGGCCTCTCGCAACCCCGCTGTCAAGTGCTAACAGGCAAAAGAAGACAGCTGCTCTTCCGTTGTACAAGCTAAATGCATCTGGTTCTTCACGATTCAATACTCCGAGCAAGTCACTTCGTGGGGGTTTTGGTTTGTCCTATACACCGGGAAGCGTTTCAACTGCAGGAAGTACTCCTTCGATGTTTAGCAGCAGCTTACTTAGTGGAAGCCGAGCATTAAGCAAGAGCATGTCCACTAATAGCCTGCGTCGGAGTTTCCACGGCGACGACAGTATTTTAGCACCTGGTGCATTTACGTCAAGCACCAGCACGAAATATGGAACCAATGGAAGTTTCAAGAAACTGATCATCAACCGCAATATTCGTTCAGACCTTTTCAAGAATCCAGTCACTCCGGATCATCCAGTCGAATCTCCTAACAAGTCCATAATCAAGAAGCAGGTAACTTTCGAGACACCAACACCGTCACCTAGCGCCACTATTAATGGCAATGTTAATGGTACCACTGATTTTGATGTCAATGGTACCGGTAATCCCAATGGAACTTCACCCACTGCCCCACTGCAATCGGTTACCAACAATTCCGTGAAAACTCCTTCAGTCACCTCACCCGAGATGACAGAAGTCAACAAGAACAAGCAACTCACTATCGTTAATGAGAATGGAGCCAAGTCACCTAAGTCTCCCCCCAACTTACCCACCGGCGCATATTGGATGACTCCTACAAGGGAAGAAATTGAAAAGATGACTCGCCAAGAACGTCAAAGGGTATCGGGCTTTACCGTCGGCCGCGAGGGCGTTGGTCAAATTGACTTTGATACTAGGGTCAATCTCGATGGCATCAATCTTGATGATATTTTTAATAAGATTGTTATTCTCGAACCTAGACGCGCGGAAGTTTATCCAGACGATCCATCTATTCAGAAACCTCAGGCTGGTCATGGGCTTAATGTCCCATCCACCATTACTCTGTTTAATTCATGGCCTCGCAATGCTTCTAAGAGAGGAAGCGACGATATACGCTTGAAGAAGCATATCAAAAAACTGCAGACCGTAGAAGATACCGAGTTCGTGAGTTACGACGCCGATAATGGTACCTGGGTATTCAAAGTTCCGCATTACACGGTATATGGGCTTGATTATGACGATGAGGAAGATGACGAGGAAGATGACATGGAGGTCGAAGAAGATGAGGGTGATTTTGGGAATAGTACTCTCACTGCTCCTCCGGACACGCCAACTCCACAATCACGTACACCTAAGGCGAATCCACAATACTTCAACCAATCCTTTGCATCTGATATGGATTTCACACAGACAGAGTCAGACCCTGAGGATACATTTGAATTTAGAAAGAGAAAGGTCCTTCCAGGTGCTTTTGATGACGAAGAGGTCTATTCAGAAGAAGAAGTTGATAATTCATTTGTTCAGGACCAGGAGTCTTTTTTAGATAATCGCTCCGTGGGTTCACAGTCAGAAAACGGCGTCGAGGAAGCAATTGACCAAGACGACGTCTATGAGGACGATGAATCTGTCAGTATCGTGGACCAAGAGATGGCGGGCTCTTATCCAGAAACTGGCAATACCGCGGAGCGAATGAACGACTCGCAAGACGAAGATGATACTATGGAATTTGGGACACCTGGTGCAATTGTGAAAGCTAGGGCAAGAGCACAAAAGCTAGATACACCATCCAAGCTCAGATTTCCAGCCGCAAATGACTGGGCCGCTACTTTGAGAGCAACTGCCAGTCCAAAAAAGCAGGATCGTGCTGTTCTAAAAAGCCTCATTGATGTTCATGGAGATGAGAAGCAGTCTGCCTTGGCACGAACTGAAGTTCCAACAACTAACGAGAACTTTTCGAAGTCGTATGGTTTTGCATCGGTCATGGATGTTCACAATGACTTGTTTGGGAAGGTCACGAGCCCTATCAAGGTTTCGAATTATAAGAGAGGTGACAATTTTGAGGTTGGTCTTCCTTGTTGAACTTTCTTGTGAAATTATTAATGGGGCCGTTCGTTGCGCCCCCTCATGTACCTAATAATTACGTAGTACAATGCTAAGAATTAATTTTCACAGAAACCTTTTAATAAGAAATCCAAAATTGGTGATGATGAATCAGAAATGCCGGAAGAGGACCGGGCGTTCCATGACTCTGTGAAGCCAAGTTGGGGTCCGGACGGAACCTTAGTCTACGCCGCATCTGCCGGTTCTAAACCTTTTACTAAATCGCGTCGAGCTCGTGAGAAGGATGGTCTACTCACAATTCAAAAGAGTGGCATTGCTGAGGCTAGTAACGTTAGATTCGCTAAGTTTTCTAATGAGTCTTCAGCGGATGCACTTAAAAAGCACCAATCCTTGACGGTCATCGAGGACTCTGAGGGTGTTCCTTATGCAACATTGCCAGACTCATTTTCCTTCCTAGACTTCTTCGACGAGCAAAATGCTCGAGATCCGTCAGTAGTGCATGAAAAGCTTGTGTGGGAACTAGCCAGCATTCTTTTTGATGCTATTGAGGTTCCGCAAGAACTAAATCACATTGAAAACGCGGTTGAGCGCCTTCGTAAAGACAAATTGTCTGTATTTTGGCAAAAGTTGGTTGTGCAAGCATCAGCTCAGCATGTTGCAATGGCTAGATCGAACGAAGAAAAAGCAATTGCATCATTATCTGGCCACAACATTCCAGAGGCTTGTGGACATCTCATCAATGGAAAGGACTTCCATTTAGCTACGCTTATTGCAATGATTGGTGGCAAGGAAAGTCTGAAGAGAGATATCCGCGAGCAATTATCACAGTGGCGAACCACAAAAGCCCTGTCTGAATTTAGTCAGCCCGTTCGAGCTCTCTACGAACTTCTTGCTGGTAATGTTTGTGTCTGTGATGGCAACAAAGCACCCCATATGGAAGATCGTATCGAGTCCTTCATCATTTCTAAACGCTTCGGGCTTGATTGGCGACAAGCATTTGGTATGAGACTGTGGTATGCAATCAAAGTAAATGAGGAGTTCGATAGCGCAGTCAAAATCTTCGACGAAGAAATGACACAAGACAAGGAGACCTCTCGGCCTCTGGCCTGGTACGTCGAACAGAAGATTCCTAAGTTATGGCAAGATGACCAGCTTAATGAGCGTGAGGATCTTCTCTGGGGCCTGTTGAAGTTGTACACCTACGATGATGCCGATCTCGAGGCAATCCTGCGACCTGAGAATTCGCAATTATCCCCCTTGGATATGCGCCTCTCTTGGCAATTGAGTCGAGCTTTGACTTCCTTTGGTGCCCTAGACTATCAGGAAGCTGCCGAGGAGAAGAAGGATCAGACTACCTTGGCTTTCGCTTCTCAGCTCAATAATGAAGGCCACTGGCTTGACGCAGTCTTCGTTCTACTTCACTTGTCTTCGACCAACGCTCGAGCAAAATCTATTCAAGACCATCTTGCTCGGCATGCCGGAAAAATTGGATCCGAAGATAGCCAGAGTTTTGTTACCTTGACACAAAACTACAAAATCCCTGCATCATGGATATGGGAGGCAAAGGCCTTGTACACTCGAAGTGTTAGGAAGGATCCACTAAGTGAAGTTGAATGTTTGACCAAAGCCGGAATGTTCGAAGAAGCTCATCGCACTTTTGCAAAGGAAGTTGCACCCAAGGCACTCATTGAATTCGACTACGCTACACTTCGCAATATCCTTGCAAGCTTTGAGGGCAAGGAGAATAGTATTTCAGAATGGCATCTTGGTGGTGAGATCTATCAAGATTTCCTTACTTTGGTCGAATGTCAAAAGAAGAACCAAGAACTCGATTTTGCTGTATTGGAAAGATTGTTGGTTGGATTACCGGCTGTAGTGGAAGAATCGCGCCACCCCGCCTTTATGGAGACGGTGGCAATCGAAACGATTAGTGGAGTAGTGGCGAAGGCCGTGGTGGATATGGAGAAGAAGGGCGAGGTAAGAAGATTCTGGCTGCCCCCTCTTTGGACTAGTACTAACCACATCAAACAGAATGTGGACTTACCGAAGGTTTTGAGATTACCCCTCACGGAGGATAGATACTTGAAGCATACAATTGATTTGAGTTTGGGATACTACAGGAGTGTAATGGCGGGTGGGAGATGATGAGCCTTGATACTTTAACACGAATTTGCATGGGAATATGTGAACAGTAAGGGATGGAGGATTGAGAGAGAAAGCCTTGAGAAACCAACTGTAGTATATCTTGTAATCAGCATAGCGAGTAGGTAGCATCTTTAGATAGGCACAACATCATTCATGAAATGGTATTTGATGTTCTACAAAGCAAGAAAGTCTCTTCATGTTACTCGTTCACTTGTATCTCCCGGGGAAAAGGGGCGGAAGTAATTTGTGATGTATCTTTAAAAGTTGTACTTGTCAATTTTCTATTCTTGTTTCGCCACATTTTATAAATAAATAATTCGATGGCTGGTTGAGGTAACATCTAAAAGTTCCAGTCCTCTCTTCCTGTCATAATAAAGCAAATTTCAAGTAAGGGACATTGAAGTTCTACACACCATCACTATCAGGTACCTAGGTAGAGAGGATACAATAAAGACAAGTGCTTTGATCGGCCGATCTCGTGTGAGTGATCCCGGCATGGATGTGGTGGTATCTCCATGTATTTCAGTCCGCACGGTGATTGGTTAATTTGTGGAGGTGAAGCAGGGAGGACATCATAAATGTGGGTTGGACGGCGTGGCTGGACCAATTGTTTGATGCGATTTTGCTGTGGGATAGATGGGCTAATGCGGGTGGTGGGGATGATTGGTTGTTGTGACTTGTGAGGGGAGGGATGGGAAGGGGAAGGGATGTGTGGTTGGTAGATTGATGGAGATGTAGAGACGGAGCGCTCAGGGTTAGGGATGAGATGGACACCACAGCATGATGGGGATTGGTGGATCGAGTTGCGAATTGTGGATTGGGGAATGAGGGGAGGGAGAGCAGAGGGGGAGAGGGAGATGGAATGTATGTACTAATGTAGATGGATGGATATGTTTGTCGACGAGTCTTTTCTTAATATGGTGATGTGCAGATGTGCAGATGGGGTAATATTAATGTGAATAAAGAATTAGGAGATGGAAAAGAATGTTGTATATATATTATTGGATTGTGGGAATGAGAATGGATGAGAATGGATGTAGAGGGATTGGTGTGTGTTGTGTATAGTTTACCTACCTATCTAGGTATTTACATCATACATCATATGATGAATATGAATGATGATTATAGACGAGACTTATACTTTGGACTAATTTTTATTAAGAGACCAATGAATAGAGAGATTAATTATCCTTGTTATAGGCATCAAAAGGAAGTATTCATTTACTAATTAATTACTGCAAGTAGTCTATATATTTTAGCTCTGTACTTTCTAGCTAGAGACCAATCAATGAAATGCCCTTGTCAATATCTCCCTAGTAAGTTCATCAGATGCATTTACTACTCTCTACCGATAGCTTGCTTGTAGCTTTTATACTTTGTATCATTTCCCCACCAGAGACCAATCACTCTAAACACAAATGCGCAACGGGCCTTTAAGTGCCAAAAGAACCCCACCAAAAATAACTGCCTACCACACACCCTTCCATCATCTCACTACCCGCTCTAACCTATTTCCTCTCTATCGTACACCCCAACCCACATCCATTCCCGCCCATTCACTTCTCCCACTTATCGATTATCGCTATCAGTCACTCACTCACTCCAGATAAAACCAACATAACTTCTGATTCATCATTTGCGCATTCATATATCCAAAAGAATAAGAGTCGCATACTTATATGAATTACACTCATACACTCGGCACGTTTACGCGACTGTAAACAATTACTCCAAGGCAGACCTGCGTTTGGATGGTCATGTCCATATTTACTATTCAAAATCAACTACATTTCACTCTGATCAACCTAAATATCGCTCCTAGTACTTTCTTGTTTGTCATAATCATATCATTCGGATATCTCTATTGTATACAAATCGGATCATTTCCTATACCAACTTGGAGCGCATCAACCACTGCAGTAGGGAAGCATAATAGGAATCATGGGTACAACGATAGAGGAGCTAGAAGGAATGTTCGACGACCACCCCTCTTTAAACGCATCTCTGCAGGACTTCGAGCAAGGAAGCATAGAGATAGATCCCAACCCACCTCGCCGCTTTGGTTATCCTTCCCAACATTCGGGCTTCCGCAGCGACACGGACTCGGAGGACGACCTAAGAGACTCGGTATCCAGAGGTGGTTACAGTCCGCCAGCATGGAGACGAGAGGACAACGGCAATCGAACCAGCGGCTTTTGGAATCGGCATAATAATATACTGGGGAAAAGGCACAGGGAACTTTCGAGAGAGAGTAGTCCGGAATATGAGAGTGCTGATGAGGGTGGTGGATCAGATCCGACTCTTGCCGCCGCGGTAAGGACAAGGTTACCAACTGGTTCGATATCGCCGGAGAAGAAGAGAAGTCCGTCGCCTGATCGATACACTTCGGGGAATGGTGATTTTGGGAAGGCATTTGGCGCAGTGATTAAACAGGAGAATGACCAAGAAGGTACACTAGTACCTTCGATGGAGAACCCGAACAACTGTATGAAACTTGGTGGAAATGTATTGGCTCACATGCTAATCTATCAATAGTTATTCGATTCGCATTCAAGACGGAATTACAACATCGTACAGAACCTTTCGAGGTTGCATTTTCATCCCTGAGTCAAAAGCTTGAGAAAATTATGAGTTCATGGGCTTCAATGTGCAGCGCCCTTGTGGTAGCCATAATTTCTATTTTAACACTACGAACACTATTTCAACCTTCACAATTACCACCAGTTCCAGATCTTATCAAGGTCGCAGGACTCGCAAGAGGCTTCGAACCTCTAATATTCTATTCCGAAAATGGAATTCAGCAAATCGGTGATATACAACAAACTGGTATTGCAGTCTGGGATCTTTGTGAGAGTGTACGTTCAACAAATATGACTTCTGCGCCAGTTATTGTTGCGGAACTCGACGAACTGAGTGAAACCCTTAAAACTTTGTCTCTTGAGTTAACCAGATTCTTTGCTAATGTGGATGGAGACGTGGATGGGTAATATTTTCTACTTCTGTGTTTTGGAATCATCTGACATATCTAGTATTTTGATTGTTATGGCTTGGGCGAAACGAGAACTTGCTCAACTAAACCATCTTCCACCTTCTCCTCTTAATTCAGCTTTTGATAATATACACACATTACTTAGTAGAGTGGGGGTTTTTGAGAATCCAACTGGTACGCCCACCAAAATTGGGGTCGTCGCAACAAACATATTTGGCATGTCATCGCCTCAAAGGACACGTCAAACCCTTCAGAGAACATTCAATGAATTTCTCTCGGTTCTCGAGGATGCTATCAGTTCCGAGCTCAATCATGCTCTCCATCTCTTTGCTATCTTCGAGAAAATCGATCATCAATTTAAAGCACTATCTCGGAGTGCTTCCCGTGAACTTGATACTCAAGAAATGGACGAAGATAAACTTCTCTCTTCACTTTGGACCAAACTTCTCGGTCCTTCTTCTAGTACTCTCCATAAATTTGAAAAGAATAAAAAACTCCTTGCCAGCATACGCTCAAAGACTATTCAAAATAAATCTGTCCTACTCGATCATAACGGCAAACTATTAACTTTGCGAGCAAACCTAGACTATCTAAGAAAAAAACTGGTCAGTCCTCTGGTAAGGACAAACAGTAGTACGATTCGAGTTGAAGAGCAAATCCAAGGTCTAGAGGATGCGAGTGGACATCTAGGAAAGGTCAGGGAAACGCAAAAGGGGAAGTTAATGGAAATGCTGTATGGAGCTGGGAGTGGTGGTGCGAGAAGAGTTGCGGGAGTTGCGGGAGTTGGAATTGAGGGAAGATGAGAATAATTTCGTTTGATTTCCTTTTCTTTCCTCTTTCCTACTTCTCTTCATCGCTCAGGAGTATAAATGAATGGTTGGAAACGATTCTATATGTGAAGGAGGTACCACTTGCATTGCTTGCTTGCTTGCTACTAGGACGGTGTTTTTGGTGCAGTAACTGGAAGTAGATAAAGGAAAGGGATGCATGGACCTATATCATTGGATAGGATTGGATTGGTGGCGCTGTCTTCATCGATTTGTATTCCTCTTCATGGTGCGGTTTTGCATGAAGGACTTGGGTGTTGGGGTATTCATTTTTTTGGAGGGGAAATTTGATTCATAAGGCGTGGCGTTTGTGGGGATGGGGTTCAGTGATTCAGTGACTTGTTTTGGTAGGCTCTTGGCATGTATTTACACCTCATGTATTCTTCTCTTCTCTCCTTTTGTTTTTTTCGGCGCATAAGTCTTTCTTTTTGGTGCTGCATGGTGGAGTTTTAGTTGGGTGGAGGGTATTGTTGGATAGGATGGGATGGGATGGGATGGGTTTATGATTGAGAGTATGATGGGTAGGAGGATTTGAAGGATGAGCGGAGCAGAGCGGGTTGGAATGGAATGGAATGGGAATTATGGAGTATATAGCTTTTAGGGTTGTGAATTGAGAATTGAGAAATATAATTATTATCTATCTATTTATTTATCTATCTCTGTGTGTATGTGTGTGTGTGTGTGTGTGTGTCTCGAGGTTAAAACTTGATTGGATTTCAAGTAATACCTACTGATATTATCCTTTAATTGTAGAAGTAAGAAAAGATTATTTAAGCGAGTAATAGTAATTATAGAGAGTAAACATAATATCTTGAAGTAGTTATTGAATAAATTATATTATTTATTTCAGTTTTTTATAGAAAAAGAATTAAAAGGGATAACAATAATGATAATGAAAATGAAAATTAAATACTAGGTATATAATCTTACATTGAGGTTTTTATTCATTTTTGGATTCAAATTCGAATTCAAATTTCCTCACATCAGTCTATTCTTCCCACTGTCACTGGACTCGGTAACTTATACTTTAACTCCTACTTCATCACCCATATCTGCATTATCAACTCAATACTAGGTACTAGGTAGGTATTCATATCTACTTCCCTAATTATCCAAATACTACCTTCTACTATGATTTCCGTTTAGTTTTTTAGTATCATCATCTTCTCCAACTTCGATTTGGACTTCGTCTTCAACTTCGACTGCAACTTCGACTTCAACTTCAACTTCAGCTTCGACTTCGTCTTCATCTTCAACATAATCATCCTCATTAACATCACCCGGTTTCAAAAGAGATTTCTGAAACGGCGCTTCGACTGACCAGTCGGTTATGCACTGTTGTGGGGGGTTTGTTTGTTAGTTGGGTAGGTGGATGGATGGGTAGGTGGGTATGGTATAGGGGGGAATTGGGAATTATGGAGGAGGTGGGTGAGGTTGTGAATAATGAGAATGATAATGAAATTAGATTGATTACCCACCTTGACGTCTAAATTAGGATATCTATCTTTATAGATTTCCCACTTTCTAGCCCAGTATTCTTTGACTTCTTTTTCGAATCTCTGGGGTGGTGGAGATTGTTAGTATTATTATTATTATTATTATTATTATTATTATTATTATTATTAGTGTGAGGGAGGGAAATATTGATCTGGAAGATTTATCTTTTTTATAAATAATCAAAGCGGACCGAACCAAATCAAAGCAAGCAAGAAATAATCTGAAAAAAAAGAAAAGAAAAATGCAACATACCTGCTCAACCGCCATCCTCAAAAGCTCCTTCATCTCCCCCTCTACCTCCTTAATCGTCATCAAAATCCTCCCCTCGACCTCCTCACCACGCACACCCCCAACCCTCTTCCCCACATAGCCCCTCATAACATCCCTCTTCCCCCTCATCTCCTCAAACAACCCCACTAAAACCTTAATCCAAGCACCCTCCATCATCTCCCTCCCAACTACACCCATCCTCCTCTCTCCCTCCCCCCTCCCTTCCCAATCATCTCCCCCACCCCCAAACCTCCCATCAACCACCCCACAAAACTCCAAAAACCTCCCCCTCCCCCGTGCAAACCCTATAAAATCACAACTCGCAGCCGGATACCACAGAGATATCTCCTCTAGGATAGAAGACGTATTGGTTCCCCAGAGACGTACCCAGGATCGATAGGTTAGTGTTGGACGGGCATAGATGGAGAGGAAAGAGGGGGGGGAATCGAGGGTTTTGTATTGCGTGGGGTGGATTGTCATGCCGGCGGAGAGGAGGAATTCTTGGTCTGTTGTGGGGTGCTGAATGGGGGGGGTGCTGGGTGGTGGACATTTTGGGGTTTGGGTGTGTGTTTTTTTTTGGAGGGGGATTGAAGATTGGTGGTTGCTGTGTTTGGTGTGTTTTGCTTAAGGTGTTGGTTTAGGGTTTGTGTCTTGATTCTTGTTTCTTCTATTCAAGTTTGAATTTGAGTTTGAGTTTGAGTTTGAGATAACATTGAATAAGTTTTTGAGGTTATGTACTTCCGCAGAGTTAGCAAATTCTTAAGCTATCGAGTTGGAGGGGAGGAAGAATCTTTGAGAAAACCTTTGTGGATCCCTGAGGTAGGAATTAAACAAGTGGTCTGTCTGGTCCTGAAATGGTGATTCATAGATTAAGAAATTAGATTGTGTGTTTGCTATTAGGTATTCACTTGAACTTGACGGGAGTATTTGGCACGGCTGGTGATGTTGAGTAAGGGGAGTGAGGATGTATATAGAATCAGGCTGTGTAATGGATATTCACTTTTACTTTTACTTTTACTTTTACTTTGAGATTCATATTTTGGAGATGATTGTTGATTATCTAGTCTGTATGTTATTGGTACTTAGAAAGTAATATGCTGTATGACATGCGTACAATCTACCTCATAAACTTTTATACACAACTGAGTGCAAGTAAATCCATCCATTCTACACATCTCCTCAGCTAACTACTCACTCACCAATATAACCTCATGCTCACAAGATTTTTCACCAAGAACAAAGTCAGATCGCTTACTGGTAAAACAAATGAGTCTTTCAAATCCCTCAAATTGGATTGCTGCTTACCGAGGAAGACTCGTTGATTGGAAACTTGATTTGTTTGGTTTGAATCATATCATGGTTTTTACCTCATTGCATTTGATTTTATGAGGGGTTTGGTTGAAAGGGAGGTCTTTGATTCTACGTCGATGGTTTTTGGGCTGGGGGGGAGGGAGATGAATAAAAAGGCAGGTGCTGTTTGAAGTGTTTTTATGGGATGTTCTAGGGAGGGGAGGGCAGTGAGTGAAGTGCTTTTGTGGAGTGATATGAAAAGGGCAGTGAAGTGAAGTATACATGGAAGCATAGTATATGAAAGCATGTATACTTTTGATATCATCTGTGTATCTTGGGTATTTGAAGAGAGTTCTCATGAAATAATTGATATTGAGACTGGAACGAGTATGGATTCAAGGTACATATGTTCTGGATGGTAGGAATATCATCAATACCATCTTATCACCTTCAATATTTCAGCCCATTAGGTGTCCAAGATATCGATATACATACTAGGTAAGCAACACCATCGCCCATTCACTGATATAGGTGATACCAAATGGCAATATCTTCACGTCTTTAAATTCCAGAAATACGCTGCTGTCATTACACTCCATAATTCATATCAAGATAGGAAACCCAGAGGTGTAAGGAATAATAGAATAGTGAAAGCATGAGGATTCGTATATAAGTAGATATCAATCATACTCAAGGGTTTTCAACACCTGCCAAATCATTTCCGAACAGTAACTTCCCATAATTACAGAGACAAAACAGAAAGAGGGAGTTGTGGCAGGTGTAAATTAGGTAAGATGTACTTGTCATTAACTCTAAGGAAGCACCAAATACTTCCTGTCTATATATATATAAATCCTTCCTAGAAGGAACTCCAAATTGGTATGGGAAGAACATCATACATATAAATTTACTAAATAAACATCCAGAAACCGGATTTGTAAAGATCTGAAAAACAGTATGCATAGGAAGTTGTTACGCCGGACTACACAACCACCATCACATGACCAAACACGTGATCATAAGTGATCAGTAGCGATCATGAAGGATCACCAAGGATCACGGTATAGGTGATCACTAGTGATCATGGAAGCATGAAGGTCTATATAACCAAGATGGATTTCTTTGTAAAGAGCTTCGTGCTCAAGATCAATCATTGAGTATACTCTACTATTAGTTACGAATTGCATATCATCATTGTTGTGACGGAAATCCCTGCTTCCCTCCCACCCTTATTATATAAGAAACCTCAGGTACATTAACCATGTCCACACATGATACGATTACTCGGGATTAGTATGCGATTTAGGTGACCTGAGGATCAGATCCGGACAAGTACTAGGTATCAATGGTTATCGGTAAAGTAAGACCATTGGAGGAATAAATATGACTTCTTTTTGCCTAGCCATTGCGGCTAGGCCATTCATTTGTGTATATATAGAGTAGCTATCCCCATCTACAGGTGCTCTTCACCTGTAGATTCTAAGTTAAATACAATTGCTGGTCTATAAACACCCTTTTGGTCACAAAGGCGAATAATAAAAATACTTTTAAAAAGTATTTGAATTACTTTAAACAGGATTTTAACTTTATAAAGTTCAAGTATAACTTGAAACTATTGAAAAGGTATTTCTAGATAAACTTAATCAATTTTGTACCCACTTATCCTTTCAAAAGGATCAAAATCAACGAGTAATACTTCTGGAAGTATTCTGTGCTTACTTAGGGTAAATCGCGCCTTCCCTAAGTACTGCCTTCTTCACTTTGGCTCTAGTAAAGGTTACTAACTAAACTAGGCTCCTACATCTTTTCGATCCTCCCACTTTCACTCTCACTTTCACTTTCCCAAATCTTTTCTTTCCAAAAACTTTCTTTCCAACATTAAAATAATCAAGATGGAGGTCAATCATGTTAGCAATCATGTTGGCAGTAAGTTGTCTTCTTTATCTTTGAATTGTTTTGCAGTCACTGATAATTTGGCAGGAAGAAACACACCTGAACCTGCAAAGGAAGAAGAAGTTGGGGTTCTGGTCAAGCAAACTGTCAAGACAAAAGAATTGACATTTCATCCATTTTTGGAGCTACCTAACGAGCTCCGTGATATGGTTTGGGGCTACGGCATTGATCTTACCACTTCACCATCAATTGTTCATATGGATGTCAAACATCCCAATTTTCCTCTTCTCACTCATGTCTGACGTGAAGCACGAGAAGTTTGCTTGAAGAGATATTCGGCTTTTAGAAATGCCTGGATGGTGTCGATGCTCAAGGAACATGGAGAGGAACCGACAAGTGAGAACTTAAAGTACTATGGGAGAGACTTGCAGTACATTACGTGGATCGATTTCGAGAGGGATATATTGTTCATGCATGTAGACATATTCCAAATGTGTAATGCCAGCGAAACAAGCCTCAAACAGCGTATTGGAAAGCTTCATAAGCATCAGCTGACATTAGCTAAGAATCTCGTTAGTATATCCTTCAAAGTACATGTGGAATTTCGCCATGATGCCAAGCACCGCTACTAACTCAACATAATAATCTAGACCATGAACATACTTGTTGCCGAAGATTTAGTGACCCGTCATTCTAAATTTTGGCAGAGCCTAGCTGTTCTCTGCCCAAAGCTTGTAGAAGTCACCATTTTTACAAATGACGACGAATTTTCGTATCCTTGTTACGATTTCACCACAGCGAGTCGTGACTTCAGTCGCATTACTAGGAAGACGATGAATGGGTCGTTGGGGTATTACAACAAGCTAAAGAGATCTCTAAATGATTGTGATGAGTTGAGCTATCAAGTTGTTTTTGCGCACCTGGAACTCGATGAGGTGCCGATGCCCGAAAGTCCCCTCAGTCCTGAGCCAAACCAAGAGGAGTTGGAATTAGAGCTCGAAAAAGAGATTTTAGATGAGGAGCTATTATCTCAGTGGATTCGCGATTGAAGAAATATAGCATGGCAATAATATCGATGAAGAACTCCGAGGATCAAATGTTTTCAGCTGGAGAAGAAATGTTCTTAGAATATTGATGTCGGTGGTTTTCACTATTGCAAGATGAAATAGCTTGATATTGTAGAGGGTGGTATCTGTGTATTAGCTCTAGGAATAAACATTGGCAGTTCATGAGCATATATACAACTAATCATAATGAAATCAGGATTCTATAACCCTCAATTCTTCACAGACTTGCGATTTAAGGCCTTTAGGTAAAACAGCAAGATTATGCTTCTCATCCAGCGTCTATGCAGCCATCTGATTGTGCCCATCGACGAGCCACTCAATACGCCATATACCACTTAATACATCAACGTCATATACCATATTCAACTCCATCCCCCTCTTTTCCAAAATCAAACTCCCCTACTAAACCAGCCCACCAATCCACCCCAGTAATCAACCCCACCCTACTTCTCAGCACACCACATCTTCTTATTATAAACCCACCTATCCCCCTCGACATCCTCCACCGTATCAGGATTAAACCAAAATTTCACCCCGTGCGCTCTGTACGTTACGCCGCGGAGTCCGACGCCTAGTTCTGCGGAGTAGGATCGATCCTGTGTGGGGTTGTTAGTTTGGAGATTTGGCGAGGTGATATGAGGATGATTTGGGGATGATATACCGTGGCATTATTTTTCATTTTGCCTTCCCATTGTTTTTTGGTGCAGGTGAAGGGCCATGGTTTCCACTGTTTTTGTTGGGCTTGGTTAGTCTTTTATTAATGAGGTTTGCGGTTCTTTGCTTGCTGTCTTTTGCTTGTTTTTATCCTTTTTGGTGGATACATATCTCCCTTCTCCCTACTACTACTCCTTCCACTTCCCCCTTCTCATAAAAATCTAACCCATACTCCAGACCTCCCCAACCAAATCCCAACCAAATCCCAACCCAAGAAAAAAACACACAAAAAAAAAGAATAATCAACTCACAACCCACTCCCTCCTCCCCCAATCCTTCTCATTTTCCATAGCCTGCCACTTCCAATGTTCATTATACGACATATTGATCCAGCAGGTTTCGACCCCATTATCAATAATCTTTCCTATAAATGGTTTGTCGTTGTCGAAGGGGAATTCGGCGTGGTAGGTGAGGCATGCTTGAGTGATGGGGAGGAGGGAGATGAGCGAGATGAGGGGGAAGGAGAGATGGAGGAGGGGGAGAAGGAGGTGCATGTTGGGTGTGTTGAAGTGGTCGGGCTGGGTTGGTTGGTTTGTATGGTGTGATATTTTATGATGATGTGAAATGTAAGATCAGAGTGTATGTATCTCAGTCACAATCCTTAGTCAAACGTATAATCCACGCCCAGCTCCAGGTCCAAGTCCTGTCCACAATCCCACAAGATTCTCTCTCCACGCTCAAATATCGAATATCACAACCCTCTCCTCAAAAGCCTCCTATCGTAAATATCGCGTAAATTCGTTTTCGCGTCGAGTTACCAGTTCTACTTCTAGAACAATAATATCCCCAAATAATCCGTCTCACACAATCGAGACTATTCAACTTTCCCAAGAAAAACAATCCTTAGTCCCACACAACGAACTTTATAAGCACTTTTCACACTTATAACCTTATAAACTTTCCAAATCCCACACAACAAAAAGAAACACACTTTTCCGAACAATTCTTGGCAGACCCATAAAAGAAAGTAACGTAAATTCATGCAAAGAGATAAATCATATCAAATTAAAGTTATCAAACTCAATCATAAAAAAAATAAAAATAAAATACCATGCATGATCCTCGTAGACATAGATAAGTATTCCCCTAATAAAAGGTATCCCTCCATACCTTTTCAAATTTTATCCCACTAGTTCCTTACAGCTCTTGGCGACTTCAGCCCTTTGGAGAGGGGAGCGAGAAAAAGAGAAACTTAATAACAGTACTACCTAGTAATTACTCATCTCCTCGATTCGTATTTCCATAACAAGTCCTCAAGTTATCAGAAAGAAATAAAAAGATCTTCCAAATCTCCAACCAGCTACCGATGTAATAAATCCTCTCTCCCCCAAAAATTATTCCTGCCTCTACCACGAATTCAAAATCAAAATACACATATAATCTCGCCACAAAAAAAAAGAATACAAAACCCTCAATCTCCAATCCTCAATCCTCACTTCCACATAGCTTTCCCTTCGAAAAAAAGGAAAAAAAAAGGGCGTTCCTCGCTTAACATCACTCGACAGATTACCCAAAAGAGTAAAAGGGTGGCTGAAACATACATATACACACTCCTCAGCATTCCCGTCCAAGACATGGACCGTTTTTTCCTTTTTCTTCTTTCTGAAACCGAGTAATATACCCTTGAGTGGTCTGTAACGAGATGGGTTGGATATCTCTTTGCAAACTCGGGATAAATCAATTAAATCTTTACAAAAATTTGAATTCCCATTCGAAATACAATCAATGGAGTGCTAGACTTCCAGCCCCTTAACACATGTAATATACGCGGTTCATCGGGATCACACATTGGCATATCAAGACAGAAAAGTTCATTTATTGAGGAGTGAAGTACAAATTCATTTCATATGGCCTAAGCTAAAGCTATAGCAATCAAAGTTGGAAAGATAAAGATGAACCAAGAAATTTGCTGCAATCCACGGATGCGTGAATAAAAACTGCTGTGATTCTCAAATGAGTTAATGGAAAAAAGGAAACAATCCTTCGCTCTTGATAAACCGCCACAATTGGAAAATGCCTGGACAAATGGAGGGGTAGGATTTCGTGTCTGCGTGCTGAGATTAAATGAGGAAAAAAACGGTATGCGGAAGGTATGACCAGGTTATTGAGGCAGAGCACAGGTGTTTTTGCCGGAACATTTCGTGATGCCTAGATCCAGAACATTGACTCTGCAATGTCAGCTTGTATTGTCACTCTATCTTGACCTACAGTCATCTGTGGTCCGGCTCCTGGTTGCGGTGTAGTATTACCTGTCGGAGGATCATACTGATCTGCGAGGTATGCTCTCATGCGCGTGCATAACAAATCCGCATAATATGCAGGTGGACACAGACTGACAGCCTTGGTTGCTCGCCCGAACAGATGGCACATGTTGTGCGTTAACTCCTCAAGGGAATCGGCCGAGGTCTGATGAGGAGCCTTCACCTTCTGGGACTTGAAGATTTCATCCAGGATGACAAAGTAGTGACATGGTCTTGCCGTCCCCATGAGACATTGATGAGGTTGGAGGAAAAAGTCCCAGTTGCGAGATTCAGTAACCCCGCGGTCGACGACGGTTCCAGCAGGACAGTTTGATTTAGAATCAGCGCTTTCAGCATCCTTTGGATAGAACCGTGTGTGATGACGTTTACCACAGACTATGATCGAGATTCTCGGGAGGTTTTTCTTGGTCAAATCAGCTGGGTACTTTTGACGACAAGCATTCCTAATCTTCGGTAATTCTTGGTCGAGCAAAATGTTGTATTGCCCTTCCGAAACACCATCTCTGTAAATTAGGATGTTTTCAGGCCATGCTTTGTTTTTCTTGCTCCAGATATCCAAGAGCCTCATGAACATTGATTCAAGATCTGACACCATCTCTTGTCGGGCTTGGTTCTGCAAGCGACAAATACCTGACCATTGGCCCAATAGTTTATCAGTGCTTGTTACCATGGCAGCAACACTAGGGGCTGTCTCTTTCGATCCAGGGGATGGATGTGTAACATCAATGCCGACAACCATCGTCTTCCCTTCATTGATAACGCCGAGTTTGTCGATTGTCTGATTAATACCACCCGCCTTGAGATTGAACTTCAACGCAACATTGCCAAAGTATTGTAGATCTCCCTTTACAAACTTCGAGTATTGTACGCAAACTGTATGTATACCAGCTCTGGTATCTGCATGTCTCTTTATCGTGTTATAAAGCATCACATCGTTGACCGGAAGGATACAGAGAACAAACTTGGGCTTTGGAAAGTTTTGGGATGTAGTGAGCTTCGTAAAGACAGTTGAAACATCGTGAGAGGTAGCCGCTTCATTTCCCTCTATGTGCTTGATAGAAGGTGCTGGCGTACCTATGTAACCTTGAACACCTATACCTGCACCATGAAGGTGTCTCCGGAATTGATCTACTGCATCTCTCACAAGCTGCTGGTCCACTCTACCACCAGCACGGCTTGTAGATTCAATTACCATGTAAGTCCATGAGCCTAGATCTCCACAAGTATGAAAGCGCGTGTCTCTCATATTCCAAGAACCATCCCTAGGCATCGTCGTCATTGCGCGAAGTTGTTTGTTCTTGTAGTTGATTGCGGGTGGCGGTAACACACGACCTTGAACAGTTATCAGGCTGTTACCAACCTGAACTCCGAATTTAGCTAAAAGGGGATTGTCCTGAGCATTTAGTCCCAAGACTTGTTTACCAGATGTGATAATGGACATAGCATTGGGCTCGGGCCTTCTGTTTGCAAAATCTAACATCGTTCGAGTTTGATCCCCTAGTAGAGCCTTTTTTACAACCTGACCCGGTTTTATAATGCAGACCTCCGCTGGTAGATAAGATGGTTTAAGGTTGCTACCAACGTTGACCACCGGAAAATCTGGGTTCAACTTAAAGCTCGGATATTTGGCTTTAAAGTAATCAAATACTGAGATGTACATATTGACTTTAAGGGCCGCGGCAGAAGCTTTTTTTGTTCCGGGCTTAGGTGGAGCATCGCCTTTCGTTGACGGTGCTTCAGCAGAAATGTAAAACTTGACGTTTTTTGGTCCAGCGCCATATCTTGCAACCTGTGGAGGGTGTTCCTCCGTGCTACCGTCACCTGGGCGAGCCAAGTCCCAAATGGATTTCTCCCGCGGAATGGTCGCACCGTTCTTAGACTTTTTTGCAGATAAGTGAGTCACTACGACACGCTTCCTTTTAATCTTATCTACAACACCATGACCATAGCCAAGTTTTTGGAATAAAGAAACCAGAGCACTAGGCTCAAGAAAGACGGAGTGAGTAACGTTCACGTTTAACAGTAGTCGACCAGTAGCTGGTCTAACACTCTGATAGAAGCCGCGTATAGCCTCCAGTCCCATACTGAGGGACGTAAAATTATGCTCGTTTCCCTCTCGAGCCGTAGAGAAGTGTCTGTTACCGGCAATGGAAACAGTTCTTTTATCAGTCTTTGCATAAAATCCGAGAAGTGTATTCATGGCTTGGATAGTCTCCTCTTTTTGTCCGTCTGATACATCAGTCGCAGATGTCTTGGATAAAAACTGAACAAAATCGGAGATGTTGAAAGAGGTGGGGGAGCTGATGCGAACGTGGTAAACTTGGGCATTTGGAAGTGGATCGTCCTCCCCTTCGTTTCGCCAAGGGATATCGAAAATACGCTCATCTGTGAAAGGCAACTTGTTTGGTGTAATAAGCATCGAAGCGTAATCCGTGGCAATAGGAATGTTTGCAATATCAGGCAACTCGAGTACGAGCCTAAAAAGCTGGGTTCGTTTCTTTTTGGCAGCGTCCATGTTTGGCGATATGTCTACCATATATCGACTCAAAGTGAAGTTGGGTCTGGTATTCAACGAGAATGAATTGGTGAAAAGCTGGACCGGTCGGCCACTAGTCCCGTACCCCGGACGAGCAGGATATCTCTGGCTGAGAGTCATCTTACTAAGAGCACCGATTTCCGACAAGCTCCGATGGTAGTCATTTTCCATCTTGGAGACATTCGCATCAGGGGCCTCCGCAGGGTATTTGGAGTCTCTGGAGAGTTCATTAGATCAACAGCAATAATAGTAAAGTGAAATCCTTACTTGAAGACGACTACCGGACCGCCACGGCCCCGGCCACCTCCTCCCCGGCCACCACGGTCCCCGCCACCGTAACCACCCCGCCCTCCACCTCGATCTCCGCTACCATAACCGCCCCCTCTTCCACCACGATCTCCACCACCCCTACCACCACGATCTCCACCACCCCTACCACCACGATCTCCACCACCCCTACCACCACGATCTCCACCACCCCTACCACCACGATCTCCACCACCACGGCCACCACGGCCACGTCCGCGTGCTGCTGGATCAAAAGACATGATGCACTTAAAAAATGCTTGTCGAATGTATCTGAGAATGAGTGTTAGGAAGCAAACCAAAAAGACGAAGTGTAGACAATCATGAAGATGATTTGATCCAATCTGAGAATTAGGGAGTAGAATAATGCGATATTAGTAGAAAGATATCCGTTTTAGGAAGCATGTGCCACTTGGCTAGTGAAACGGATTTGCTTTGTAAGTCAAAGAAACGCGATGTTTTGGTCAAACAGAATCCAAAAGTGCGAAACAACATGATGTCTTGTGAGGGTCATACAATGGAATGTGATGGATTGTGATTGCTAAAAGAAAGGTAATGAAAATGTGGTTGATGTCGATCAAGTACAATCTTCAAGATTAAACTGATAATAGGGCGGATAATTGTGCCACGAGGAAGCAGGCAAGCCATCCATGATTGGCATCATAAAGGGTAATGAAATAAAGTTGAAGCATACCCTTTGAAGATTGAGTAATCGATAGCTAAAATATCTAGGTATGGAGAGGGATACTGACAGTTGATGGGATAAAGCTAATTTCCAACTGGTGATAGTGGATCAAATTCTTTGAGCGATAAACTGATGGATTGTAGTAAATATTGAGATGGACGGATGGCGGTTTTTGTTCTTGAGGTGGAGCAAGATAAGTAGCCCAGGCGATTGTTAATAGGTGAGGAGTTGCTTTACTGCGGTGGATGTTCAGATTAGGAAAAGATCATATGGTAGCTAGGTGTTTGCTAGCAATTGGAAGGGATGCATGCATGAGCTATTACTATGCATGGAGCAGCAAGACTTGTTTGGCCACTTACACTGCACTGTAATCCTAGAGCTTATAGCAATAGAGCTGGAAGATAATATACAAAACGCTTGGGAATAAATATAATTCCAATAGACGGGATATATAATAAATCAGAAGAATATGATGTGTATTTGTGAGGTTGAGAGAAAGAGAAGGTTGAGAGAAAGAGAAGGGTGAGAAGAAAAAAAGAGGGAGAGAGAAGAGCGGGGGGAGAGGTTGCAGCGTCAGCTCAGCTCACTTTCGAGAACAATTGATAGAAGGAGCCACCTGCGATTGTTGCAAACCAATACTCGTATTTTGTCAATTACCCCACTTTCCCTTTGAGAGTGAGATGATGGGTTTTGTGACCAAGAAACAAAGAAGGATAAAAGAATATCAGAGTATTTGTTAAAAGGAATGACCTTACACAGGGAATAGTGGGAAACTGATAGGGCAGAACTGAGGTAATATTGGTCTAGTAGGTTAATCTCTCTTCTAAGTTCTACGGAAGTGCGAAGCTCTCTTACAGAGAGTTTCTCAATCTAGTCCTAATAGGACTAGTGCCATGTGCACGTGCTACGCAGGAACCATTCACTTTAACAGTATTTAATAAATATATGTAGAAATGGAAATTCTGAGCATATTTCAACTTCAAACCAGGTAAAAAAAGAAAATTAAAAATATTCACCATTCAACTCACAATTCACCAATCTTTCAAAAGGAGCGGGGCATCACCTGCGGAGTAGAAACACAGTGTGGATCTTTCTGTACGCGTGGTCACATGCTCTCAACTGAAAAGAGGTGAATTCCGAACTTCATCCATTCAATTATGTGATTTGTAGCATGTACACCACAATCGCTCAGGTGAATTGATTGATTTAATTAATAAGACAACATCTCAATGCGGTATCCTGCAATTCTGCATCTAGATTCTAGTGGAACCAGGGAACTTACTGCATTTTTCAAGCAAGGTAGGTAGAAAAACACGTCAAACGAAGAAAGAGTCATTTTTGGTTGTCAACGTAACTTTCTGCAGCCAGCTTAATCGGTCATGAAACTGAGTGAATGATGCTTAGCCTTGCTGAACACAGCATAGATGAGCTCCGTGTATTTATCGCTCAAGAACAATGCTGCTATTCACATGGTAGAACAATCAATTGAATTGGTACTGGACGAAATATTGGCTGTTACTTTCTAACTTCAAGTTCGAATCATTAGAAGCATACAACTATCTTCCCTTGATGGCGTTCGAACAAAAATTTCTACCTTTCGGTTGACTCATTTCAATTCTGTCAACAAACCAAAAGGAAATCATGATTATGTAAGAACCCATCAATTGGCTGTATCAGATATGCTGCAATATGGCTACCTAAACTGAAAGGTGCCGCACAAGAAAGGAAAATTTCTGGATAAATTTGATTCCTTCCATACCCCGACTATGGGGCAAATAGTTGGCTGAAGAATGCTATGCATAAGTTGTGGCTTTCATTGCTGGTTGCCGTGACGAATCAAAAGAGCTTTCAGATATGGAATGAATCATAAGGATGCAATAACAAAGAAATCAATCTATTGACAATAACCTCAATCAATGCTTTGCCTCAAGACTTTTTCATAGTCATTGAGTGAGTCAGCAAGTTAGTGATGCTGCTATTCTTTTTGAGTATTCTGCCTAGCAGACAGGCTTTGCTGTTTCCTCATTGAGACTAAAGTGTCTCTCTGAAACCCCAAAATTTGACTACCATTCAATTCATCAATTTTTCAAAGGAAATCCTCGTACACAAGATGTCAAAATCGATATCATCAACAGCAGACATGGATACCAGAGACAAGCCCGTAATGGGAACATCTAGGAACGAGGTTGATATATCCAACACATCGGATTCGGTATCCAAAGATAACATGCCAGAGGAATCCGTTCCAGCGGGCGCACCTCTACAGCAAGGATCAACTTTGAGTCCTGACGAGCTAGATGGCGAAGAGGCAGTTTATCCGCATGGTTTAAAATTGGTCATCATTCTGGCGGCGCTTTGCATCGCAGTGTTTTTAGTAGCTTTAGATCAGACTATTATCGCAACTGCCATACCGAAAATAACGGATCAGTTCAATAGCATACAAGATATTGGATGGTATGGCAGCGCATACCTCTTGACCACCACCGCTCTGCAACCGACATTTGGTAGGATATATACTATATTCAGTGTAAGCAAGAAAGTGTAAAGATACCAATATATCGCGCGGATACTTATAAAATTCTACAGATCAAACTCACCTTCATCGTGGCTATAATCATTTTCGAAATCGGGTAATGTGATATCACAAATATGTAGGCGGAACATAGGAATTAACAAATGGAATAGTTCCTTGGTTTGCGCCACTGCGCCGAATAGCACTGCGTTGATAGTGGGTAGAGCTATAGCTGGAATAGGAGTTGGAGGTTTATTTTCAGGAGCAATAGTTATTTTGGCATATTGTTGTAAGTGCACAGATTTTAGCTCGGTGGCGATTTAAATGGACGGCTTCAACCGAGTACATCGTTCGGTTTTAGCTTGTTTGTTTATTTTGGATGATCCTGACTCCACAAATAGTACCTTTACGAAAACGACCAGCTGCGTTTGGTTTGATGTAGGTGGACAAACTTTTGTAAAAAGAAATTGTAGTTGCCTGTTTTTGTTACAAGCACTAACATGAATACTGTTCAGTGGAGGGATGTGGGGAATTGCTTCTGTCGCAGGACCATTGCTTGGAGGTGTATTCGTGAGTCTAGTTCGGAATTTCACAGGGCAAACACTGATCAGGACAGACTGACAAAGTATCTTGGCGTTGGTGCTTCTATATTAATCTTCCTATAGGCGCTGTCGCTATAGCTGTTATTGCCGTTTACCTCAAGATCCACCGCGTCAACAACCCCGAGAACCTTTCCATTCTCGCTCGTATCAAAAAGCTCGATCTCATCGGCACAGCCATTCTTATCCCAGCCGTCATATGCCTTCTGCTCGCGCTTCAATGGGGTGGCACGACGCATCCATGGACTTCTGCTAAAATCATAGGTCTCCTCATCGGATCGATCTTGTTATTCATCTTATTCATTACCTCACAAATCATCCTCGGTGATAAAGGCATTCTCCCTCCCCGCTTCTTTAAAGATCGCAACACTATACTCGCATACGTATTCGCGTTCCTCTTTGGCGCCGGTTTCTTTTCTCTAATCTTCTACCTGGCAATTTACTTTCAATCCGTCAAAGGTTCCTCTGCCACCAAAGCCGGTATTGAGCTTCTTCCCCTTTTGATATCTACAGTTCTATCATCCATAGTAACCGGAGGGCTCATCACCGCAATCGGATATTACACTCCCGTGATGATTTTCTGTATGATATTATTCGCCGTCGGCTCCGGCCTTATCACCACCTTCTCCCTCACAACTCCCATGTCCCGATGGTTCGGCTTCCAAGTCATAACTGGTATTGGAATTGGCGTTGGTTTTCAAGGTGGTGTTCTGGTAGTTCAGACCGTTCTTCCACTCGTCGATGTACCCGTCGGTACAGCATGCGTGTCATTTTTCCAGTCCCTAGGTGGCGCCCTCTTTATATCCGTCTGTCAAACCCTTTTCCAAAATGGATTAAAATCTGGAATCGAAAAACATGCTCCCCAACTCGATCCTCAATTATTTTTACATAGCGGCGCAACAGAAATTCGACAATTGCTAGCACAGCTGCAACAAGAAGAATCTTTGAATGCGGTGTTGCAAGCTTACGTGGAAGGACTTACGCGTTGTTATTGGGTGACTACCGCTTGTGCGATTGGCAGCTTTATGGCAGCATGTGGGTTGGATTGGAGGAGTGTGAAGAAAGGACATGGACAAGAGAAGGAAATAGAGAAGAAAAAGGAGGAGAAAGATGGAATGGCGATTGATAGAGGAACCTCCCAACCTGAAAATTTGTAAGATATGGATGTGGTGTGCATATGACAGAGTAGACAATACCACACACTTGTAAATCTTGTATTATTAGCAGCTATAGTAGAACATCCACTCAATTTAGCATTAATTTTCATTTCTTTTCGACTCTTTTCTGCTATCATCCTTGAACTCCTTTTGACTGTCATCGTCAATCAAGCCCGAGACGCCGTTTGATCATCGAATTTAGGTTCAGAAATTGAAGAATATTACCAGGAATCCAAGCCCTAAAGATAAATCAACTAAGATTACATTGTAAGTTTACAACACAGATCGATCATACATACGAACCACCTCGACGACTACACCAAAGACCGTTCATATTCACATTAATCGTGAACATCAGTCAGTACTGTAAAAATCCAAAGAGAATACATACTAAAACCGCAAAATTCTAACAAACTCCATCGAAGGAAGTTCAGAGCCCAATTCCCCGAAGCCAGCACTCCTATTGGCGCAATAATGCTCAGCCGTTCCCCGCACTAATTTCAACAGGCTTCTTTCTAGAATCCCTGGGTAACCTAGGATCGACCACCCCAAACGGTTACATTTCCCCGCAAAACGCTAGGTCGATCCTTCTTTCTAATATTTCGAAAATTTTTTCACATGTTGAATTTGTGATTATATCGTAAGTCGCAAGTCGTGAGTCGAAGAAGCCAAAAATCGGCATTGAACATTCGACTACTGTGTGCAAAGCTTAAATATCTTTTATTTCCCGGCTGCTCCCCTTAGTTATTTAAGGTTTATGTGAAAGCTTGCATGCGGTGTATCATAATGTAGTAGAGTTTACCAAGACTTAAGGGGTGATTTTAGACTAGGTACCTATCTATAGGTAGCTTTTCTCCTTAATACTTATAGAATTTTTTGGTTTCCGGGTGGAAAGAAAAGAAAATCGTTCGTCCGAATTCTTATCCTGTCCATCGTACTCGCATTTCTTGAACCATGCTCGGGCCATGCAAACTATCATCGGTGTGTATTTAGATATCTGATACCTAGCAAACAAGCACTCAACTCTCCTGTGCAAGCTTTTCCAACAAGGGCATTCATGCTGTCCAAAAGTATGAAGCTCCGACGCTAGAGAACCAGGTAATGACATTCCTCTTGTAGGTTGCCATCTTGAGGTACGTGCCCCTAGCTTCGGAGTTAAATACTTTTTGACCGCACGAATATTTAACTTCACGCATGAAATCTTCAACGGCTTTCGGTCAGAAAATGATGATAATGCGGAGGTTTGTATGTATGTATAAGTCGGTGAGATAGGAGGGCATAGACATGGGTGTTGCATTATTCCGAAGTATCGGCAATCTGGAATCCACTTTCTAGATGCAGTTAGTAATACATACATCGAGCTCACTCGCATTTAGATATAAAGTGCCCTCCTTGGTTTTTCTTTTTGAAAGAGTTCCTGAATACCAATTGACATTTCTGTTTCCAATTGACCCTTCAGAAAGTCCATCAAAATGGTCCGCCCATTAGTACTTCTAGCTTCTCTCGCTCCTTTTGTCACAGCCAGTTGGAACATCAATAACCAGCAGAATAGACATGCCTGTCAAACACAAACACAAAACCCTTTGGATGGGTGTGATTTGAAAAGGACGAAATATGTAGGAAGTGGTTCCAATTTCAAGACGGTGCAGTCTGGTATGTACTCGGGTCTCCCATAAGAGCTGAAAGTGGGATGTGATAGAATTGCACAAGTTGAAGGTTGAATTAAGGCTAATTGTCAACGATACAGCCGTTGCGAGCTTACCAAACAATAATGATACATATATTATTCTTATTGCATCTGGCAACTACACGGAGCAGGTGAGAATACTGTTCAATTTGTCTTTTGCTCTCTGGCTTGTGTCATGATCGTTAACATCGGAGCGTAGGTCAACGTCACTCGTCCTGGTCCTACATATTTGCTTGGTGAAACCGCAAATCCTTACAATCAATCTGCAAATACAGTGAATATCATCTGGAGCGCGATTGCTGGCAAAGGGGATAACGCTTACACGTCCACTTTGACTGTTGCGCCTACTCTCAATGCGTCTTTCACTGGAAGTGGCCCGACCGGGTTTGCTGTCCCACCAGGAACGCCATTTGGATCCAAAGACTTCAGAACATATAACCTGAATTTCATCAATGATTTTGCGCCATACAGTAAGTTACGGGCTTTCCCAAGAGGATGAAGAGGGTGACAAAACAGTCGGGGACTTGGGCGGAGTATCGGAACAAACAAGATAACGTTCTAACAAAACAATAGCTGATGGACCTTCCCTCGCATTGAGCATAAGCTATGCAAACGGTGGTTTTTACTATACCGGCTTTTACAGCTACCAAGATACTGTATGCCATCCACCGATTGCCCATTTTTCTTCTCCCGCAAACTAACACAACCAAGGTCTATGTAGGCAAACTATCCAATTCGTACATGTCTCAATCTGTCGTCGCCGGTCAGACCGACTTCCTTTATGGTTTCGGGACTCTCTTCATTAACAACACGCTGCTCTCTCTCCGATCATGCGGAGGTAATTTCGTCCTTTTTCCTATTATCCACGTTCTTACTTTTATTAACTCGAATTGTTTCAGGCGGAATTACAGCTTGGAAGGGAACAAACACGACCTTTGAGAACAAATATGGAGTATACATTGTAGATTCATCAGTACAGAAAGCAAACAGTAGTTTGAGCATCAAAGGAGCCTGTCCACTTGGTAGACCTTGGGTATATTATCTCTATCCTTAAGCCATTTATGGAAATGATCTAACAATCGCCAAACAGAACGCACAAATGCGAGCAATCTTCGCCCGCACCTACCTCGATGATTCGATTCTTCCCACAGGATACATTGACTGGATTCCTGCTCGCTACAATGCCACCAATGGTAACTACAGCACTACTCAAGCTGAGTATAAGAATTATGGACCAGGTTACAACGCGACTGCGAGAGCCGCTTCGTTGTTTGATGTGCAGCTCAGCGACTCGCAATGGGCGCCATACAGTAGTCCCGCTAAAGTATTCCAAGATCCTTCAGGAACTTTCGGTGATGTAAGCTGGGTTGATTTCAGCGTTTAATTGTGTTTGCGGGGAATGATATTGGTTAAATGAGAAATGTATGTAATGTCTAGAAATGAAAAGTCTACCTGTTTGATTCCTTCTTGCCTCGTTCCGAGATGTGACGCCGTTTAAACGTGACATATTTTCCGTAACACACCAAAATCTCAATTAATATCTGTAAAGTTCATCGATATTTCGAGACTAATCAAAACATAATTCGAGTTCCCCAAGTACTAAATTAAATAAGAACAACGGCCGGAATCAAGTGAAGACACTAGTCGGTAGGTAAGTAGCATGTTCTTGGGTGTTTGTTCGAATCGGGAAGTGCAGTGTGCCATGACTAAGCGGCACCAGCTCCCTACCCAAATTCTTTGTTCTAGGCTTTCACTAACGTGGTTTATCAGCGAGTCGCCACTATCAGCGAGTCGCCACTTTTTCAATATCTTTTATCATTCAATTTCAAGACGCGATATTTCAACGAATTATTATGAAAATACAATCAAAAGAGGCCAGAATAATCTTAGCTATTGAAGCTATTCAAAAATCAAAAAATCTTACAATTGGAAAGGCTGCGAAAATCTACAAAGTCCCTCGAACTATATTACGAGATAGAATAAGCGATCGAATTCACAGAATGGAAACTTGAGCAAATAATCTTAATTTGACTGAAAAAGAAGAAGAGGTGCTTATTCAATATATTATCAATATAGATGAAAGAGGATTTGCATCTAAATTAAATAGTATAGAAGATATAGCGAATTATATTCTCGAATCAAGAGATGCGAAGAGAGTTGGAAAGCTCTGGGCTCATCGATTCGTAAAGCGTTGTACAAAATTAAAGATATGTTTTAATTGTGTTTATAACTTTCAAAGAGCTCTCTGCAAAGATCCCAAGTTTATTGAAGAGTAGTTTGGATTGGTATCGAATATGCAGGCGAAATATGGTATTCAAGATTGCGATTTCTACAACTTCGACGAAACCGGCTTTATGATGGGTATAATATACCTTGGAATAGTTGTAACTAGTTCTGAAAGAAATGGCAGAAACAAGGCAATACAATTAGACAATCGAGAATGGGCTACGGCAATTATATGTGGTAATGGAGAGGGTGAAACTACATCTCTATTTCTGATAGTTCAAGGATAAGTTCATCTTTCCAATTAATATACCGAAACCGATTTTCCTGTGGATTGGGTTATTAAACCTACTTCTAATGGATGGATAAATAATGAGATAGGTTTAGAATAATTAAAGCACTTCGATAAATATACTAATCAACGAAGAAAGGGCAAATATCGAATGTTAGTATTGGATAAGCATGAAAGTCATGAATCGATACCTTTCCAATCATATTACAAGTCAAATGATATTATATGTGTAAAGTTACTATCGCATTCAAGTCATTTAACTCAATCATTTGATGTTGGATGTTTTAGTGTATTCAAATGTTCATATAGTTGTTAAGTTGATGAGTTTATCAAGGCATATATTAATCATATTTCTAAGGTTGAATTCTTTATAGCTTTCAAAGCTGCATATCAACAATCGATTACAATTCAGAATATGAAAGCTAGCTTTCGAGGAGCAGGACTAATACCATTTGATCCTCAAGCTGTACTTTCGAAATTAGATATTCGAATTCGCACATTTACCCCTCCATCGATCCTTTTGGAATCTGCCAACTCTTGGGTCTCTCAAACACCTCACAATCCAACTGAAGCTCTTTTACAATCAACTTTAGTGAAATCTCGAATTGCTCGACATCAATCAAGCTCTCCTACACCTATATTCGAAACTGTAATTGTATTAATTAAGGGTATAGAATGATTAGCTTATGAGAATATACTTTTAAATACAGAGATTCGTATGCTTCGGAAGGCAAATGAGGCATTAAGCAAACGTCGATATATTAAAAAAACTCAATTACGTCAAGGAGGAGTACTTACTGGTCAGGAAACTACAGATATAATATCATAACAAGAGGTGGATATTCAGATTCGACGTGACGAGCGTCAAAATAGGGGAAATTCCAATAGGGAATCATCTACTAATCGATGCTGTAGTAAATGTGGAAAGACTGGTCACAATTCAAGAACTTGTTCTAATAATATAATAGACCCTAGATTATTAGATTCTTAATAGTTTAAATCAATTGATTCAATAATTGTTGATTAAAATAAGTTTAAAGTGGTTGAATAAGTGAAAAAGTGGCGACTCGCTGATAAACCACGTTAGTGCAATCAGTCAGAACACTTTACGCGACCTTCGATATCAAACGCGTTTCTTCGAACAAACAAGCATACTAGAGCCTCGTTTCAATTCACCATTATTCTACAAAATTTCAACGATATCGATACAGATCTCAAAATGGCTACTCGAAATGATGTCGCAGATGAAACCCCTCCTCGAATCAATCCATACGAAGTTCTCGGTCTTGAGAAATCTGCCTCTGAAGATGAGATCAAACGTGCATATCGTAAATGCGCTTTGAAGCACCACCCCGGTATGTCATAGTTTTTTTTACTTTGGTAGCCTGTGAGTTACATACGATTTCTCGACGGGGTTATCCCTTTCGAATTCATGACATATAATCACCTCACGTTAATCTACACGGCTGACCTTCTCCCAGACAAAGCTCCAGCACATCTCAAATCTGATTCCCATACCAAATTCCAAGAAATCGCTTTCGCATATGCCATCCTCTCCAATCCAAATCGTCGCAAACGCTATGATCGTACTGGATCTACCTCTGAATCTGTCGATGCTGATGGCTTCTCCTGGACCGATTTCTATTCCGAGCAATACAAAGATATTGTTACTGCCGATGCCATTAATGAATTTTCCAGTTACTACAAAGGTTCTGTTGAGGAGAAGGATGATTTGCTTAAAGCTTATACCGTGCACGAAGGAAGATGGGGAAAAATGTACCAGGTTATTATGTTAAGTGACCCAATTCAGGATGAAGAGCGATTCCGCGAGATTATCGAGGAAGCAATCAAGAAGGGTGAAGTTGAGGAATATGCTGTCTTTAGACAGGAAACCAAGGCTTCAAAGGCTAAGAGAATGAGGAAGGCTAGGGAGGAGGAGAAGGAAGCTGCAAAGGCCGCGAAACAGCTAGGTGCTGATAAATTATTGAAGGGATCTAGTGGAGATGGAGTGGAAAAAAGTAAGAAGCCAAAGAAACAGGTTCCTGGTCATATGGACGAGTTGGCTGCTATTATCCAGGCCAGGCAAGCCTCAAGAGGTAGTTTCCTTGATGCATTAGAGGCAAAATATGCGTCAGGTGGAAAGAAGTCGGCAAAGGATTCAAGTGGAATAGATGAAGAGGAGTTTCAGAGAATTCAAAACGGTTTAGGCTCGAGTAAGAGTAAAGGCAAAACCAAGGGCAAGGGGAAAAAAAGAGAAGCCGATTCCGAGGATGATATTGAAGAAGATAAAAAGCCAGCACCCAAGAAGAAGTTATCAAGGGGTAAGAAGAGAGAACCTGTGGTGGAGGAAGAAGTTGAAGATGAAGATGAAGATATAGAAGTGGATGATGGTGGTGATGATTATCAAGCAGAAGAAGCAGAGGAAGATGAAGAAGAGATCGAGGTCGAGGACGAGGACGAGAAACTAGCTCCGAAAAAGAGAGCGAAGAAGCTAGCTACTCGGCAATCTAAGCGCACTAGGACTGCTCGGGCATGATGACATGATATCTACATATGGGAACGGAGTTTTGCGGAGGGTTTGTTTTAGCACGGCCTGGATGTGACATGATAGCATAGAAGTAGGCGTTGATAACTACGATGAATTAATATGAGGCTTTATCCATTTTTAATACAACTCCTTCATAATCAAGAAATGCATTTCATTTGAGCTTTTTGACATCTTTTGTATTCTAGCAAGTGAGTAATATACTTTGATTATTCGAGACGAGCTACCTTGAATATTTTAAATCTTCAGCCCATACTTAACTCCCGTTCATGAAATCACGTGATAAACATCTCGGACGCGTGCACTTCGCGATTTCCCTCCGCCTCGGCCGCAAAACACCGAAACGCCCATTTCAACATATCATTTCGTTCATATCCATTTCAACAACAACCGGCTATTAGTACAGCTAAATCACCATTCACCCGACCAAAGCTCATTTTCAAAATCTGCTCTGCTCGTATAGCAATTGACAAGCAACAATTCCTCTCAACACCATGCTCCATGAGAAAATGACATGACAACCCCTTCATCGACATCTACATCGACATCTGCATCCACACTCGCACCACTCCTCCCGCTAAATTTATATCATCTCTCGCCTACTATTCAAAAATGGTGCGCTTTAAGGTGTGCGGATATCGCTACTTTGAAGGCTCGGGGTGTTTATTATGAAAGTTTGTTTTTTTCTCTTTCTTGTTTCTTTATCCTCTCCGTGTTGCTCTTCTCTTTCTTTCCATTAAGAGGGAATGCATTATTGTAATACCATTTCAGGTGGAATGGTAGAATGAACAGAATAGTTAGCTAACAGAACAACCGCAAGATAAACCAATTCATCATTACCTCAACCATCCAATTCGCTACATAAAACTTATCGGTCTCGTCGCCTCTATTGATGATTTTCTCCGTTGCCGCGTCTACACTATCGATGATTCAAGCGGAGTATGTATAGAGTGCGTGGCACTCTTACCTCCACCACCTCCACCATCCAAACCCTCTTCATCCACAACCACAACCACAATCTCAACCTCCACCGCCAATCCTCCCACCACCCAAATACAAGCTCCGAGCGAACCCTCAGTCAACCAGCCTCAAATTCCCTGGGACACCATCTCCGAATGTAAAATCGTACGAATTCTGGGAGTGATGGGAACATATATGACGATGCCGCGGCTGCAAATTGTGAAGATGGGAGTAGTAGAAAGTACAGATGTGGAAAGGAAATGGTGGGATGAATGTGCGAGGTTGAAGGATCCTTCCATGGGGATCTTGGGTATGGAATGGGTGGTGAGTGAGGAGGAGATTGAAAGGTGGAAGAGGAGAGAGAGGAGGAGGAAGGCTCGCGAGGTTGAAAGGGAAGGACAAGGAACCAAGAGGATTGACAAGAGAGAGGGTAGTAGGTTAAAAGATGGAAGTGGGAGAAAAGAAAACATCGATAGTATCAAGGAAGAACGGGAAAAACAACAACAAGAGAGGAAAAGAAAAGACAATCCACACCACCTCCCAACCATCGCCACCAAACCCGCCCACCCCCCACGCGAAACCTCCCCCAACAAAAGGAACCCCAAACCCCCTACCACAAAAAAAAGAATCCTCCCAATCGCCCTCTCCGACCTCTCCAAATACGATACTTTTGGTTTATAGCATCTCAGTACGTACATTACCGAGTTTGATTAATTAATTAGCTATAGTGTCTGTCTCTGTCTCTGTCTCCTCGAAATCCCAATTTTCAATTTTCAACATTCAAATTTCAACATTCAAATTTCAATTATGAATCTCTCTCGCGTGCGTGCATGCATGAGGAAGGGAGAAGTCTTATATTCGAGCTTGGACTTTGCAGAAAGGAAAGAAGAAAAAGGGAAAGAAGGATGCATGTATATATACTTCTAATCCCTAAATCACTGCCAGCGATTCACAATTTTGAATATAGGGCGTGAATACGTGGACGGGTAGATATTTGTGCTTGTGTTTCAATCATCATGGGTTTAGGTTACTAGGTATATATGGACGGATGGATGGGTTTGGAGATGGAGATGGAGATAGAGATATGCATTTGTCGTGTACGCTGCATAGGCGTTAATGGCGCATTAAGTTGTACTCATCCATTCGATTATGTAGTATAGGTGTAGTATACCTAGGAATATATAACTTTACAATACCCTCCCTTGTAAGTCTTGCATACAAACAAACACACGCGCTCTTCCACATCTTATCTGTCCAAATAAACTCAACGTATTGTATTACTCGCGAGGTATCATATACATACATACATATACACACAAACAGGTATTAGTTTCGCAGCCCCTCCTAACTATTTTTACAATTCATCCATCCATCCGTCCATCCATCCCATTTGCATTCCCAGCAACCCCTCTCATAAAATTTCCCCAAAAATCCCATAATGTTTTTGTTTTTGGTAATAACAAGCAATGTTAAAAGTGCCACCAACCTTGTCAATCTTCCCCCAGTATGAATTCTCAATATATGCCTTTCATATCCAGCGCTGAAACGCTTTTTGCCACAATTTGATACAATTAATATCAACCACGCATACCGCATCACAATCTCGGACTAATATCCTGCCAAAGCCTTGACTGATCTGACTACATTTTCTCCAATTTCTCCTGTCCCGGCAGGAGCGTCTGGGTATACCAAGAATGCGAGGCCAATTATGATGTAAAGACCAAGAAGCTATGTAAATGTTAGTGAAAAGGTGTTGAAAATTTGGACTTGATCAAGACTTACCATACAACCTTCCAAATAATTACTCTTGCCATCTTGAACAACATAAGTAACGACCAAGACGCTCAAGAAGAAAACCACAGTCTCGAATGTTTCAAAATGTAAAGTCATAGGCTTATCCATGATCCATCCCAGGATCACAAGGAACGGGGTGACGAAAAGTGCAATTTGCATACTCGATCCAATGGCTACGCCCATTGCAAGGTCCATCTTATCCTTGACGGCAACCACAATAGCTGTGACATGCTCGGCGGCATTACCAACGATGGGGAGTAGAATAAGACCAACGAACGTTTTGGAAATATGAGCACTCTCAACGATGGAGTCGATGGAATCAACCAAGTAATCAGCGCAAATAGATACGGCGACTGTGACAATCACGAGAACAGCGGCGGCAGCCCATGGGCTCATCTGTGGTGTTTCTTCCTCCTCACCTGCTGCTTGGCTTTCAGCATCGAATAGATTGGCATGTGTTCGAAGCTGGAAGAACAAATAGAGACAATACAGAATTAATAAAATGATTGCTGTTCCATGAGAGAGAATCAAAATGTTGGATTCAGTATCTGCTGATGATTTGGCGAGAACAGAATAAAGCTTTGAGGAAGTCAGCTACCGTTACAAACAGATGGGAGTTCAGCTTACGGTTGCAGGGATAATCAAAGCGCATGCAGCAAGAACCATAAGGGATGACATGGTTCCTGCAACAGTGTCGTTAAACTTCTGCTCGATGCCCATAGATGTGCCAGTTCGTGTATTGTGGATTCCACCAGCTATAAAGCAACATCCCAATACAAGTAGAGAGTTCGACAAGATACTACCCAACATACTCGATTGAACAATGCGGATTTGTCCCTGCTTCAATGCTATAATGCTGACCTACAAAATTCAATATTAGTCCATAACCGACAAAATGTGGTAACGGTACCTACAATAAGTTCCACGGCATTGCCGAATGTTGCGTTCAAGAGACCTCCGAGTGTTTCTCCCAACTTCATAGATATTTCTTCCGTTGCGAAAGAAAGGATGGAGGCCAGTGGGATAATAGCGAAGAAGTTGAGAGTGAAGATGACGACCGGATCCCAATGTGTGAGACCTGCGATTATACCCAATGGTACAAAGACCAGAAGGACGTTGACATAACTACTATACAATGTAACCTTCCCTACGTGCCATGTCGAAGCCGAGTAGCTAACAATGGCACTGTCGCTGTCCGTTCCTGGTGTATGCTTCCTGCTAAGAAAGAACTCATGAACGCTACTCTTGCGTCTGTCATTTCCATGTCCGTTGGCGCCCAACAGACTCGTGCTTTCATCTGCTCTAGTCGACATATTTCCTGAATCACTTTCAAAGGTCGGGCTCTGTTTGAGGGACCTTACACGAGCGAGTTCCCTTCGAAATTGTTGTTGTGCTACATATCAAGCAAGATATAAAGTTAGCCCAGCCACTCCATGTGATGTCCGATATTGAAATTGCAATGCGCGCGGCAGCCGAACTAAGCTTCCAGGAGGTCCCTTGGCAGTTTGCTGGCAGATTGACGGGTGGATCAAGTATATAACAGAAGGAAAGAGAACAAGAAATGTGGTGTAAATGGGATGCCAAAGGAATAATGCTTGGCTTCAAGATTTAGGTCCTTTAGACTCTAGGTAGCTGTCCTGTGATGAAGATGAAACAAAGGTCAAGTTGGATGTGTGGTACCATTCAGTGCAGGGCAAATGTGAGATGTAACAAAGAGATGGATCAAAAACCCAACAGTATGTTCCGACTTCTTACTTGTGATACAAAATTGGCGAATATCATCGGACTCTCCAACGGGAAATAATGATGTGAATTGAATTGATAGATGGAAGATCTTCAAAACAGGCAAACGAAAGCGTGAGGATAATTTGTTTACTTACAAACCATCTTAGCAAGATTCTCCCTTGGAAATGGGGGAGGAGAATGCTAAATGCCAAATACCAAATGCTAATATGAATTAAACCTCTGAATTTCGGCGCAAGTAGGACGAAAAGGGCAGTGGGTTGAAGAAAAAACAATAATAGGTTGGGATCATGAAGGTTGTTGTGCGCGTGGTTATTAGAATCTCGGGCACAATTTGGTAGAGGTAGCTTTGATGTGCGGGAGAAGAGATTTCCAAGTGCTGGGTGCTGGGTGCTGCGCCTCCTTTTCAGTGGAGGTGGTCTCCTGTTGATGATGAGGATGATGCAGGTGTGTTGATCAAGCGCATCGAAATGTGATGAATGGTGCGTTTCAAGAATTTAATCGAGTGTGCTTTGCTTTGATTGATGAAATTGAAGAGAGCTTCACAATCAAGTGAAAAACTTGAAAGGAAAGAAAGTCGATGTGATATGTAGGAGAGAGAGAAGAGGGACATAAATTCAAATGGAATGGCTGGAATGGCAGAATGATACGATAATAGAAAGGGTGAGTGAGGTTCTCTTACCTAGGTAGTTTAAGTTTGGGTGTACCTGTGTTGGCGATTGAAAGGAACGATGTTATTGTCGTGAAGCTCTCCAGCTAGGTAGGTATGATGATTGTTACTTCTTTTTTGAGATGTTGCATGTACCAAGATGCGATATCAACAACTAATAAGGATATAGATATGTTGAAACTTTTATCTGCCAAGTAGCTTCTGATGTTTTGACGCCACTATAGCTCCAGCCGTAGCAGATAAATAGTTGAATCTGTTCCTTGATTGCAGTTGACCGAAAAACAGATGTTGTGTTCTGTGTTCAGTATTCAGTGTTCCATGTTGTGTTTGGACCTCACCCAAAGAAAGGAAAAAGAAGCTTAAAACCCTGAATAAACAACAACAATATTATTCATAACCAAAACTCACCAATCATCATCACATAACAATCATTCCCTTCTACAATTTCACATCTAGACTCACCAACTCTCACTGTGATCATCAATACCAAGAAATCAGATTATCCCGACAAACCAAATACCGACATTCAGTACACACACCCACCAATACCATACCTTTCTCTTTTCCAGCAGATTAATCAGGTACCAGGTAGGTAGGTACCCCATTCCCGTGCGTCGCGAATCGTGATAGACCCATACAAGTGCATGGCATATCGCATTGTACCTACGGAATATACGGTACTCGGTCTTCATGAAAGTTGGAACCATCAATTTTTGATATAATGAATCAATGTAAATATTTTTGTATAAATCACAATTCCTTTTAGTATATCAAAACTATCTCGTTCAGACTTCAATGCATTCAGTGCTTAAGACGCGCATCAACAGCCCAACACCCAAGCCTCGAGCTATCCATCAAGCCACAATTTCCAATTTCCAACTGAGCAAGTAAATGAATTAAACAAAAAAAATGCCAAGGGGGGCTGTGCAAACCTCGAGCGAACTTTCCATTTCAATTTCCATTTTCCATCTCCATCAAAAACAACCCGACCATCACATACGTTAATTAGTGGCGTCATTCTAATCGTGTAGTGAGTGACACTGTGATAGCAAGGGTAAATACGTACGTCAGTGAGTTGCACTTTTTTTGCTCCCAAATGCAGTGCAACTCTGACCCGTACCATGGTACATGGAATTACCATACAATTATTAATTTATTATGCTTGTAAGATGTTTATTACCTATGATATGATATGTGGCCATAGCTTCAACCTTGAAATGGTAGGTAGATACCTACCTAATTGAAGATGGGTTTATCGCGGTGCTGATTAATATCCCATCAAATTATAACCTTATATGCCCTACCTAGTATCTGAATGTGCCTGGAGATATCCCGTCATAACTTCCAAGTTATTAAACCAACTAACTACCTAATCACTAGTTGACAGATTCAAAAATGCCTCAAATATTCTAATATCGATTCATATCCCCTTTACAATCCAAAGTTCATACCCCTACACATCTTACATTACCGCATGTAGTGGTTTCGTTAGAGTTCTATTATGGACTTCTACCATACAATGATAATATAACACAAACGACGTATACGTAGGTAGATAGCGCTCGGTGGTTAAACAGAAACAGATAGCATGCTAAGTTTTGATGAAAAATTGGTGGAGATTAATGATTGTGCTATACTGTATGCTAATGAGGGGAAGCACTACAGATACATATTGGAATAATTCAGCAAAAGCATTTTCGATAATGAGGAAATCGACTTCAAAATTGTTTCAATGACGCATCAAAAACGGCACAACGTGGATAAACGTGACATGATTTTCATTCCGCGGAGGGAGCCGAAAGATATCCATCTACAGTGGTATTTCCCTCCTGAACGCCCACGCTACGCCCGGCTAACAATATCCCATCCCATCCGTGTCAACCCGCTTTGTCTACACTATGTGTGACCTTCCCCTCAAATTACCCAACCCAGTGACTTTTAGATTTCTTCTTTCTCTAGACCCGTTTCCTTTCTTCATCTTCACTACTATACGCCGCATTTTCTTCTTCCCTTGTTGCCTCACTCTGTCTCCGTCTCGTTTGCCCTCTCTCCTTCATCGCTCCACGAATCTTCATACTAACCTCATCAAAACTTGCTTTCCCATCTAACGCACTAAAGCTCTTCAATGGAAATCCTGCTGACCCTACTGCACCACCACTACTGCTACTGCGACTACGACTCCTGGAAGGTGGTCGCGTTGCGAAGAGTGCGATGTTACCTAGATTTCCGAATGACTCGTTACGCGGAAGATGGCCATTCATACTTGAGCCACCTCCAATAGATGCACCTGCAGTATTACTTCTGTGAAGAACACGTGGTGGTGACTCATCCGAGATACCAGATTGATTGCTATTGCGACGTAAATCACTTTGACGAGGCGAAGTCGGAGTCTTGAGACCATCACGGTTGAAAGGATCAGCTACTATTCTGGAAGCATCGAAATCAGGGAACATCTCTGGGCCAAGAGTATTGATAACGTCCGTAACCTGTGAGCTGAGTTGTGCTCTGCGCTCACGGAGGTTGAACATAACGTTACTAGATGCTGGGTTAAGAGCGACTATTAGAGGTCGTAACGATTTGGCAATGTCCATGCCCACTTCTCCGAAACGAAGAGCTGCAAAGGTAATAGCTGGAAAGATAATGTATCCAAAAACGAAGATTGCCCACAATGGGACCCATTCAGATACATACCCTTGAACTCTATTTCTGTAAGTCCAATATGCAAGACTGATGGTGTAAAAGTTGTATAGAATCGGTGCAAAGGCAAGGGCAACCAATAGTTTCCATGTTGCCATAACATCTCGACCTTGAAGTTTGACTGTAGATGCAGCTAAAGCTTCTTTTGACTTCTTGATGCTGATTATTTTTGAAGCTATGAAAACTGGTGCAAATAAGAAAAGTCCTGGAATAACGCCAATAGACAAAACAGCTAGCTTTCCTAGGCGGTAAAACAGAAGAAATACAGCTCTTGGAACAGAGAACTTAGCGTATTCGACCTGATGATCTCTAAGATTCATGTAGCGTAGTTGTCTGTTATAATCCAATACAGATTTTTTGAGTTGCACAATCCGTGGATCATCTTTATAATGTGTATAGCCTTTAACCAGTCTCCGATTCAATTCAACTACCATTGGAAGTGGAAGTTTCTTTCCGGTTGGATTATACAGTCTCCGAGCGGCTTGAATAAGCATGAGGGTATCATAATCAGGGCTTGTGACAGTGACAGCAACAAGAGCTTGGTATACAATATCCAGCAATTGACTGACTGCTCCCCTTCGGTCTCCACTTTTGTAGAGCTCAACAAGCTCTTTTGGGACTTCGATAGGATTACCAAACTCAATTACGGCTCTTGAACGGAACTTATGGGCGTGGAAATAGTTCATACCACATGGTACAATTTGAAGGCCACTATCAGGATTAGCGGCCAATGATCCAAGTGCCATAATAGCCACACCAGCTTTAAGGGGAAGTAGTTCGGTCCTGTCGTGGCTACCACCTTCAGGGAAGATTCCAACAGCTCCACCACCACTAAGGCGATCAAAAACGGCATCATACACTTGGGTTTGATCAACTTTCGGAGCGGTCTTGTATTTCGATCCTCTAAAACCTTCCTTGGTACCCTTGACAGACTCATTGGCAAACTTGCCATTTTCGTCAACATCGTCTCGCCCGGTGAGCTGTATCATAGCATTTCGGCCTTTGAAAGGTTTCTTCAATCTCAACTCCTCGGCACTAATTACTTCCGCTATTTCGGTATTGGCAGCGGTTCCCTCCATGGTAGGCAAAACTAATAATCCTCCGACTTGTACTTCTTTCCCATCAAATTTTGTACCAACTCCACGTATGAGAAGTGGGTCATTGATAGGGTCTGGTAGATATATTGTACCAGATCCAGGCTTCACCATATCTAGAGCTCTTCCGACCGGAACCGCACCTACTTTACGCGCAAACCAACCCACGATAAATCGACCCATAGATTTGGCGGCGATAAGGAAAGCGGCGCGACGATGGCATTCATTTCGGAGCGTGCGCATTAGGATAAGAGGGTCGACAAACTAAACGAACTAGTCAATCAAGAGCTTCAAAGCTGAAGAAGAAGCATGCTGCCGCATACCTGGTTTGCATGAGGAGCTGCTACAAAGATAACAGGCCCGCGTCTTGGAACTTTCCATGATCCTCTCGGATGGACTTCACGAAAGAAGAGGTCGACGAGTATTGAAAATGTCCACAGAAATACATCATATATCCAATTTGTCATAGGAAATTGTTCCTTGTGCTTGGCCTTTTGAGGCATGTGTTCATGAACCTGCTCCTCGTTGGCCATGATGATGGGTGAGTGTAGATTAAACAACCAATGCAAACAAACAAGAGATGTTCTCAGTGAGTGCCGGGTTAATCCGAGTTATTTATCTCGTGTACTTGTTAAACAAGATAGGACTGTATTAGTCTGTATCGAATTCATTCGGGTACTAGAGACGGAGTTTTTTCGGAAGGTGGTGGATGAGTTTGGATTTCTCTCAGGTATTCGTCTTCGTAGGCCTGATAAGTCGTGAAGATCCAAAAGTCATATCGACCGGAGAATGAAAGAGATTAATAGTAATATTTATTAATTGGAAGGAAGAAGTAATGCAACGGCGATGCAGTGAGCATGAGAATGAGAATGGGTTGATTTCTTTCTTGATTTAATGAGACTGCATTTTAGCTTTTTCACGGAACCGGGTTAAATTGCATGCCCGCTCCATGTGCCCGATGACAGCCGCGCATCATAAGCGGCTAAGCGACAAACATTAGAGTTCTTCGAATTTCGATGGAAAAATCCATGTTAGACCATGATGGATAATAGATATATATATCAACCAATTTATCAATCATGGTATTTCTCCAGCCTTACGGTAGGATAATTGTTTCCTCTTGACCATTGAAAGATTCGTGTCCCATTACTATTAGATGGTCTACAAATACCAACAATCCTACCTTCAAACTATGATCGATCTCCAAACCACAATTCCATTCTCAAGAGATTTTAAATCACGTGTATCAGATGCAAGAACATGGAAAGGACGTAAAATATCAGCGAGCGTTTTCAACCTTCAGCCAACGTAGGAACATCAATATGAAGTAAATCACAATGAAGGATTATGTACTTCCTTCAAATATATTCCTGCAATTGTGGATTCAAATTGACCTCAGCTCTTCCCGTCTTGTGGAACGAGGCGCTTATGTTGGCTATGACTTAGTTTGTTTATTTTAAGGAGGGAGCAACAACCATATGCAAGTTACTTCCCAGTATTCCATCATCTTCAACATAAAGTCATCAATTGATTCCCAAAAATATATAAAATGGGATTACCGCCGTGGGAGACAAGTGAGAGTCAAACTTTTGCCTTAATAACAGGCGCAAACAGGTATTAACACCCCGAAGTGTCCACATTATTCACAATGGGCTTCAGGGTTCTCGATCTAATTATTGACAAATTTCTAGTGGTTTAGGCTTTGCAATTGCTTCTAGATTAATTGATGAATTTCTAACTTCATCCGACACTCCTCCTACAAAACATCTCATTCTTATCCTCTGCACGCGTACTCCGCTGAAGACACGATTCACAATCTCGCGCCTGCGTGCCCATCTACGGAAACTCGTCGACTACTCTCAATTTGCAAGCTCGCAACGAACGAAGGCTAAAGCACAAGGAAATGTATATAAATGGCAGGATATGGTGGCTCGGGTCCATTTCCTTGGAGTTGAACTCGATCTATGCGACCTAAAAAGTGTATACGCGGTCACCGACAAGCTGGTGAATGGGACTGTTGGTAGCCCAGATGCTACTACAATGGATGGTCTGAGTTTACCTGCTGGGTCTCCTGGAACCGCCTCGTATTCCGCGGGTATCCAGCAAGATAGATGGGCATTGAGTCAGAAAGAAGGATCTGATGGGCAACAGAGGTCTTGGGGATGGGGGTTAAGCGGAGTTCGCGTACCCAGACTGGATGTCGTAATTCTGAATGCAGGTATAGGAGGATGGTCAGGAATCAATTGGCCAAAAGCTATATGGACTGTCATGACAGATATGACAGAAGCTGTAACATGGCCAACTTACAAGCTTGCGGAAGTTGGAGCTGTGACAAAACCGCAACTATCCTCTACTAAACCAAAAGAAGCGAAAACATCCGATGATGAATCCACACAACCTTTACTTAACGGCGACAGTCCACAGGAGCCACCTCTTGGCTCGACATTCTGTTCTAACGTATTTGGACACTATATTCTCGCACATGAACTGATGCCTCTACTATCACGATCTGCTTCCCCTTCAGCCACTACCAGCGGAAGAATTATATGGGTATCCAGCATAGAGGCGCAACCACAGCACTTCAATATTGATGATCTACAAGGTTTGAACAACCACGCACCATACGAAAGCTCAAAGCGTCTTACGGATGTCCTCGTCCTTTCAAGAAAACTTCGAGCAGCTGGAAAGATCTCTTCTTCATGGTTCGACTGTTCAGACGTTCGCGTGAAGGAACATGAAATAGAAGAAGGAGAAAACGCTGAAGATCGGTCACCAACACAGTTGATAAGACCCAAAATGTATGTGGTGCAGCCAGGAATATTTGTCTCGGAAATCATGCCCTTAAATTTCATCTTGGTATTTTTCTATAGGATGATTTTCTACCTCGTAAGATGGATGGGTAGCCAATGGCATACCATCGAACCTTACACCGCCGCTGTAGCACCAGTCTGGCTAGCATTGTCTCAAGATGAGATTCTAGACACTATGGACGCACCAGCTTCAAAATGGGGATCGGCCACAGACTCAAGTGGAAAAGAACGTGTCATCCGTACGGAAGTTCCTGGTTGGGGATGGGAAGGTAAAACTCCAAAGACTATTGATACGGGAGAGAGAAGGAAGGGGAGAAAGAGAGATGCGGTACCATTGACGAGAGAAGCAAGAGAGGATTTTGAGGTCATGGGTGTTAAGTGTTGGACAGAAATGGAGAAATTGAGGAAGGAGTGGGAGGAACTTTTGGGGGTTAAGAAGTAAAGCGTTTTGGTGATTTTTTAAGGAGAGATTGCATGTAGATTGATAAACTATAATTGGCTCTAATTACATCATGTATAAGTATATATGACTAATAAACACTTTTTTTCTACCCAGGTCTTTTGCATGCATTACATCATCTGTCTCTCGATAGCGCTAAAAGAGTGTACGAAAATGTTGTATAGACAGTACACATTCTCATGAATATGCAGAGACAAATCTAGTCATTTGGATAATCGAGCAAATTTGGAAAAACGAGTTGCAAATCCAAATTCAAATTCAACGCGCAATCCGCAAGCTCATATCCTGCTTCTCGTCTTCAAACCATCCATTCCCTTTATACATATATAATAGATATAAAACTTATATAAGTCTATCCTAAAACACACCATAGTTGTCGCGAATGCATATAGAATAAAGAGTTATCATCCAGCGGGTTAGGTGTTTCGAATTTTGTATCAACTGTGGTGGTTCATGTAAAATGCATTATATACGAGGATATTTTTATGTTTTAGGTCTGTAGAGGTTTTTGCGGATCATTGTGGGTTTAGTAGCTATAGGGGGAGACGGGAAATTTCTTTATTGTTGGGCTAGATTTGAATTTGGAATTTCTGGGGAGGGGGAGGGTTTTTTTAGTTTTGAGGGGAAGAGGAGGGAGGATTGCGGATGAAGGACGAACTGTGTAGGTTTTAGGTTATGATTATTTGAGTGAAGAGAAGTGAAGTGAAAATGAAGAGCAAGAGATAGGTGTTAATGGTATTATCTACTATATCTCCATTTATTTTCTTCTTCATTAACTAATTATCTAAATAGTTGAAGAAATATGATATCTTCATTCTACAAGTAGTTCAGTGGTTTATGATACAGTGGCCGAACTCGCAATGTTTAGTTTAATCAGTTTTATATAATCTAGTGCGTCACATGCATCAAGCAGTTAGATTGTAGTATTGCAAGACTCATAGTGTTAGTAAGAAATCAAGAAGGGGACAGACGGCTTTACAGGAGGTTAATATGTATTCTGCGGTTCGTGTGATAGGATGAACAGCTCTCTCCATGATATACAGTGAAAGTAGTCGAATCTTTAGGAAAGTCATGACTCAGATGGTCTATATATCGGTATTTGCATCTGAGCTTTATGATGTCTGAGTAGCATATAGATATGCGATAAAGCTATTACAGAATGTATTGCATCCAGGTCAGAAGATGTATGGAAGATAGTATAGGAGTCGTATTATACGAACTGGCCAGCTAGGTATTCACCTCAAGCTTGTAAGTAAACGATGAAAGGATGTGGATGTGTATTACGGTAATGAGAAATATGGATATCAGCAGAGAAATATAAGATCAAGTTGTCTGCAAATAGCAAAGAGTGTTTTGATAGAATATTGAGGGATTTCAAATTATCAATAAGACAATACAAAGTCAAGTTGTCTAGATTTAATCTGCGGATCTATTACCTCTTATTCTGACCTCGTCTTTTCTAGTTTTCCTTTATTTCTTCTCTACTTTATTTTACATTCTCGCAGTTAGTTGAGCTCTGGAATTTCGGTACTTATATATACATGCACCCTAATTATATATGTCTTTCTCCTGCATTCATTGCAGTAATCTCGTATATATCCCGCCGACTGAAATAACGAACCGAACCCCCTATCATTACATCATTCAAAATAAAAATACACATCATTTCACATCACTATATTCTCCAAATCATCAAGCAAGAAAGCAACACTTTCCTATTCAACCACAATTCAGATACGGGCCGGGATCACTTCTCTCTCACCTTCATTGATCACGGAAATCCTATACATCAATTTTCCATACAACCCACACTAGGTATCTATCTCCAATACTCCGCAACCCTAGCCCTACACAGTGTGTCCAATAGTCCGAACTGCAGGACGAACTAGATGTTTTGAGCTAAACAGTCAAACTTCAATCCATTGATATATTAAACAATCCATCTTGAATATTAAGATCCCCCAACAAATCGGATCACAATCCAGCCCATCTAGACTTTTAGACTATTTAATAATTAAATTGTACAATATAGGATTATTTTTTGCTATAATTATCAGATTTTGAACACATATTTTTCTATATTAAGCATAATATGAAATTAATCAATCCAAAAGTTTGGATAACAATCTGAACTTTTTAATATTAGACTATCTAATCCAAAAATTTTATATAAGAACTCCCCCAATAATTTATCAAATTCAATAAAATCATAGATTAGCCATCCGGACGACTGTCCGGACTGAATACGGACAGATTATTGGACACCCTGGCCCTACAATCCACAAACTCCTCATCCCCGCAGCTCCTTCCAGATTTCATCAATTTACGGCCGCAAACACTTTCCCCAATTAACATAACAAATAGTAGCGTTCGAATTCAAAGCACACACATACCTAAATAATTTCTACTTAAACTTCGCATCCTATATTAGGCGCAACTTAATTATCGCTTCCCGTCTGATATGCATATACACACATATGCACGTATGCATGTAATATATACCAGAGCGGGAAGTCGCGTTGTTGCCTTGTGTGGCGATATATGTAAGATTTAGGTCCTATACCTAGGGATTTAAATATTACTGTATAGTTTCGAATTTCGAACTTAAGCTACCTACCGCTTGTGCTCCTGGGTGTAGGGAGATATTTAGCAAGGAAGACAAATATATAGATCGATCACGAAATTAAACTGGTATTTTACCATCTTTCTTGGGGCATTTCATACACAACGTTAACATATAAATTTCTGCGCATGTAAGATTAATTACTTCCACGGATTTAAGAAATTAACCTGCAATTTATATCCTCGTACGTGTTGTGGTATTGTGGTGTTAGATAAGAGAAATGGCTAGCTGAGCTCGCTGGAGTTCGGAACGTTACTATTTATATATCCTGTGTAACTAATGGCTTTTGTGCTACTTATAAGGCAGGGAAAATATCTTTCTCTACGGTGGACATAGATAGTTTTGATTGATATGTCAGATGTGACGGATATGTATGTTTAACTTATAAGATGAAATAAGTATATTTACTCCAAGCACTTGAAGAAATATTTAACCTTACCATAGATATACAGCAGGCTTTACTTTTACTTTATGTATCGTTGAGTACCTACCTAGCTATTCAACAATATTTATTCCGGATAAATATTTGTAAGATTTATATTATGTATAATTACTACGAAACCTCATAACCACCGTCATCATCATCAACAAAGACACTCCCTTCATTCCCTCCTTTTTTACCTTCCTTACCTATCTACTCACTCACTTCCATACTCCGCATTTCAAACCATAACCCGCAACTCCGAAGTATATATGCATATATGCATACATACATAACAACAGCCACTAGTACTTGAGCTTGCAAACTCCATCACACCACCACACCAAAGCAACCCTTAAACTCCGGACTGTGTAATTCCAGAATTTTCATATTGAAATATTGTAGTGAAGTGTTATAAAGGTAGATGTGTTAGGTGTTAGGTTCTATGTATATTATTATATTATGTACGTATAGAAGATGTGTGGAGGTGTATTTATAATTTGTACATATATCTATACAACACCTGCCGCCTCTGTAAACATCATCTGAAAAGATATAATTCCATAAATCTACAAATCTACAAATCTACAAATCTACAATATCACTAACACAAACAACACATCTATAAAAAACAACCCAGATACACACCAAAAAAAATAAAACAAAATATACTATAACATAATAATCGAATAAAATAATTAAAAAAAATAAGATGCAAGTCCTCGGATATGGCTTATGTGGCGCGGGAACTTCGTTTTATGTTGTTAGTTTTGTGTGATGTGATGTGAAGGGTGGTTTGTGGTGGGATGGAAGCTAAAAGGAGGATGAGGTGAGGAAGAGAAGTGAAGGTGATTACTCATTATCAGAGGGATTTGAGGGGTGTGGTTTAGTTAGTGGTTTAATTAGTGTGTTAGTGTATAGGGGAATGGATGGAGTGGGATTTATAATGAGGAGCTTATGGGTATTGGATTTAGGGTATTTTGTGAGTATATGCGTATATTGAGTTTATGGTTAGTTACTACTTGTGTAGTTCTTTTCGGAGGGGGATCGAGAAATGGAATATTCAATAGGTACTCTAAGGTTGCTTTTGTGTCAAAGTAAAGTGAGGAGTAATGAGGTGTGTTGGTTGGAGTTAAAACCATGCTTGAGTGATATGGTCACATGATTTATACTTCGATAGATTGAGATCATGAGCATAAGTACGGTTATTAGTGATAATGATGATGGCTGAGAACAGGCTAATGTTAGAATAGGATAAAAAGAGGGTGGATGGAAGGGATATCTACTGTGATGGGATTTAAAGTGCTCAATTTTGAGTGGAATAAATGGGATTGTTGAAATATTGAGACAATACAGGAGCAAGTTTCTAGATTAATCTACAGCTATTTTCTCTCTCTTTAGAAAAAGCGAGATGAAATCATTGCCGACATGTAAAACTGAAATATTGGTCTTTGCTTGTATGGTAATGAAATAGAATATGACAGATACTTGCGGTGAAATGTCCAATGAGTAGGTACTGGAACAAATCAGTAGCTCTACATTTGACATCACATTCCTACGCTACTTCCTCTTTCCCCACAAAATGTGTTTAGACCACGATGGATGATAATTAGTGCAAACAATGGAATGCGGGGAGATTATTAACAATTACACGTCAATCTCAAGGACTACTCTATTGATATGTACTTGTTATTACCTTCACTATCTTTCTATCTTCGCTTAAGACTTTACGTATAATAAGCTACAGATGTTATATAAAGATAACTAAAGATGATCGTCATTGCAAATCATCCCTTTATCACTACTGTGCCACTTCCTTCACCTGTCATATGGTTACTGTTGTAGAGAAGGATGCTGTCACGCTATGATTAAGCAAATCAAAACCCCGAAGGAAGTGGCTGAACAAATATGGGGGCACTGACCAAGATCGTAACATGGTCATATCACCAGAACTTTATACCTACTGATGAACTGAAATCTGCGTACAAGTCGCTTACGTGGGGAAGGAAGAGGCAAGAACTTTAATACTAGCGAAATTAATACCCGAAGTTTTGAGATTGGATATTTGGAAATAGATCGTGTTGGGGCAATGGAAGAGACAATCGTTTAGCAACGATACGGTAGTAGCCGATGATGCAATGAACTTATGGGTTGAAAACTTTTTTTATATGAGGCGAGCTAGGTAAAAAACGAATGTAATGGGAGAATGGAGAGAATAATGGTTCAATATTGTTCGTTGTTATATTTCTCACTTTCTGTGAAAACACCTAAATACGTGTTAACCAATTGATCTTAAAATAACTGACTAACACGCTGTTATCAGATTCACAGACATACATACTTTAAAAACATATTTGCGAAGAGTCATCAATTTTTACCATTGAAACTAGAACCCTTGTGACTGCACTGTTCCTTTCTAATCGCCGACATGTCTGACTGGAATGGCCGATGAATAACTGACCTATACCAGTAGATGTTTCAAATGTTCAGATCAACCAAATGAAACTTGCTACTAACTATCCGATTACTGTCCATGTAGGAACACGTGAATATATGGAAAGGAAGTGGCGTGATGAAGGAGTATCAGGCATCTGACTTTGACATCCAATATTGCAATCCTTAATAATATGCAAAAGCGCTTGATAATCGGTCCACTTATTGAGTACGAAACCCAATGTTTCAACGCAAAAACCACTTAGTTTGTTGATCATTGGAGTAACAGTATTTTCCGAATTGCCTTCATATCCTTTTCTGAAGCTGCGCGATGATAATGCATGAAACAATAGACGTGCAAGAGAATCAAGAGAACGAATGCGTAAGAATATACGGTTCGTTGTTTTAAGCAAAATCAAATATCGCCAAATTAAAGTAAGATTTTAATAAAAATAGATTCGGGCGCTTGATGGGACAGCTAGTTAATTTCAAGAGCTAAATAAAGCCACTTCCGCGCGTTGCATATATTCAGTAGCCGCCAGTCCCATTTTCATGAGACCTTAGAACGGACCCGTAACGCTTCAGAAAATGTTGTAACATGCTCTTCGTTATTTTTGTGAGATTATAATAATAACCAAGAGAAGACGAAATCGTTGAGTAACATCCATAAACCAAAAGCCAAGAGAAATCTTGCGCAATTGAAGAAAATCGTCCAAAGCGCTGAAAGAAAAAGGCCCGGCATGGTCGCATGATTAATGTAAGACATCTCCGAGAGTAATGCACAATTTGGGATGTTGATGATTTGAAGATTTGAGATCTTTTTCAAGTTTTATCGCACTGCCACACCCTTTGAAGCTTCTAAAATGTGGAATTACCTTCTCGTGACATATGGAAAGTCTGGATGTGGGATCGTCTGATAATTTAATTGGTGCATCCATGGAATTTGACGGTGTCAACGGTGTCGAAGGTGTGTGAGTTCGAATGAACACGAGGGAACTAGTGACTTGCTTTAAATCATCTTATCGATGAATATAACATCTCATAGGCTAAGGTTACTGTACATCATGGCCTGGATCTACAGTACAGCCCGTTATCCGGGATGTCAAGTTATCGCAACAACTCCGGGGAGAAGGAGATAGAGGATGATATGATGATTTTTTCGGAGGATAAGGTGGCAGTGGAAGGAATACGGAGTATGGATATTTGAAAAGGGTGCATGTTTCAGGCGAAGCCATTTGTTTCAACCAATACAAATCGAGAGTATGGATTTCTACAGTAGGGACTCCAACATCCGAAATTCATAAGCTGTAGTCCGACAATATCAAATGTGAAGTTTTGAAAAGTTTGTCATGAAGAAGTCTTTCGATCGGCCTCGACTTTCTGCCTTTCAAATCGCCCTGGCCGACGTTGTCGGTACGCATAATAATGTATGTAATTAGTAGATAGTTGGTATTCATGATGCTTCTCGTTAACAAAGGGGCTGGGGTAGTAAGTAGGTTATTATTAATAAGCTCTATATGCGATTTCTGCCCCCAAACGAAGATCTGGGAAATCTGGATCTAATTGGATCTACACGCCATTGTTAAATTCGGCTGAAGTTACTTTAGAAGCAATATCGAATAAACTTTTAGTCCCCATAACCCCATCACTTGGCTTTTCGTATCTCACCAATCTCGTCGATAATCTATCACCTATCATGATAGAGCATGAATCTTTTTATCGTCACTGTCGTCATTGCCATCATGGACATTGGACATTTGTATCAAACTGAGCCTTGCCTTGTAATCTTTCACGAACACAAGCGTGCATTACTCTCGGTATTACCAATGGTTAGTAGGTCTTGTTTGGAGCCGTACGCATAAGGGGGCATTACTCATTACTTAATTCATATAACCTTACCTCAGCCATCTCTCAGCCACACAAACTTTGCAAGTACTGCGATTTCGGTGAAGAAATGCATACTTTTCCTGCTCCGTCGACATCTATGATATGGTCTCCGCATGTATGATTCTTGTTAGATTTTTCTTTTCAAGAGGTTGGTATATGGTACGGTTGGGCTGTAGATATATGGGTATCTGGGCATCATGTCAACGGGAAAAGTCCGTCATTCCAGTATTGCGCATGATGTGTTCAGTGCCCAGGTGGAGGTAACAAGCATTATCCAACTTTCAAGCATTGATTGATGAATGATCAACCATCCACAAATTCCAAAATTTCTATACTTCAGACTCATTTTTTATATCTACAGGGTATATTGGTTGTGTGATCGTTGCCAAATCATGGGATATCCACTGAAGTGTCACATTCACCGCTTGCAATAGAAGGGTCGACACGTATATGTTGATCCATTAATATACCGACGTTGACCATTACTCGCAATTCGCGATGCGGAGTAAGTTGAGAAAGTTACTAACCAGTCATAATTGCGACGTTTGCGATATATTCGAATCATATTGATGCTTTTCCAACATTTCCCCAATTTATCATCGTCAATAAATCTTTCTCCTTCAGTACATCTCCCCTCACGCCTCATTTCCAATAAACAATTATTGGTGTTTAGTTGAATATCTTCAGGAAAATCGAATTCTTCCGTGGTTTCAGGGTACTCAACTTTTATCTCTACAGCCTTACTTCAGCCCTTTGATCGACAGTCGATTAGAGGAATTCAGAGTAACGAAACAGCCCGCGCATCGAAAAATTGACAAACAACGAAATCTGGAAAACGGACGAGAAGGATAGAGCTAGATACACGGGAAAAGAACTGCAATCCTAGAGGTCCTGATACCGCATAGCGACCAGTGAAATTGCATATGCATATGCTTATGCTCCAGCTCACATACACACATCTTAGCTCGTTGCCTACACTTATTAACTACTTCATTTATACATTCCTCCTATATGGGAAGTATAGATTCGCATCTCGACTCCTGTTTAGTTCTTGGTACATCGTGGTACTGCATCTTTGTACTTTCTTCCCTTGGAATTTGTCCGACAGCAGCTCTGAAGCATCACGGACAAATCATTCATCGTTACCGTGGAGGTATTCTGGTTTCAATTTAGCCCTTGTATCTCTAACTTCCAGGTGTGGTTGTCTCGCCTGCCATCTTCCTCGGGCGCAAGGTTGCTGAACCACTCGCTACTCCGTACATCTGAAACCTTTTCGAAAAAAGACCCGCTGCATTTCGTCTGCATTGGTCCATCCCACGCCTGCACACCTGCACGCCTGCACGCCACCGAGCCTGACCCTTTGCTCAATCATCGCCTATCCTTTCGCAATCCCCTCTACCAATAATCTCCCTGCTAGTTGTTATAGTTATTATAGCTTAAAGTAACCCTTGTCATCGCTGAACGATTAACCATTTCGACACCATTGAGCCACTTTGCATCCTTGGTTCCTTGGTTCCTTGATTCCATTTTGAGAACGAGGGGCATCAATCCCAAGCATTCCTTTCCCAGCGCCTAGGGCTCTATTTAGTATTTTCATACTGTCCCCGTTCAATCTGGTCCAATTATTGCACGACAAGCTTGACATTTCCTTACTGGACTGAAAATACTGTGCTTCTGGCAAGGAAGATTCGGAGACTATAGGGAGAAAGGTATTGGAGTGTGTGGAAGACAATTAAACCCTCCTGAAAAAGAAATAAAAAATTATTATACATATCTCCCTCCAGCCTTGGGATCGACGGAGGATATTTACATATATCGTCCACAATCCCATACATCATTTACATTTCTCATCGGAAACTTCGACATTCTTGCTTTTATAGACTTTTTAAAGTTCTCAATACCCTCAACCCTCAACCATCAATAAGACTTTGGATCAACCCTTGACAGAACGTACCAACCATCCCAACCCGGCACTTTGACCGATCGATTCACTGGGGTCAAATCGTCAATTAACCTTACCATCACCACTCTTTTGAGGACGACACGGGAATACTTTACGAGTACGACTAATACGGCCTTGACGAAACTAAAACGAAACGTAACAAAGCGGCAGTACTTCAATTTAGATTCAGTTGAACTATCGACTGATTGGATTGAAAGAAGACACAATCATACCGTTTCACCAGTCGCCCATATAAATAAACAACGTGGTTACTTACTTTTGATTTGCTTTGACCCATTCGCTGACCATCTCACCTCTCACGAGAATCCTCCGCGCCTATCTGCATATCATCATCATCAGCATCAGCATCAGCATCCATCTTTATTCTTTCGAACCTTTTGGCCCAATCTTCAGCCACCCTTACCCCAACCCCAAAGACAAAACCCCCCTGCTTCTTTGGTCCACCCTAAGAACGCCTTTGTCAGGCTTGAGGTCAAGGCAATTCCGGAATTTATATAGCCATCTGATCCTCTCAGTGCCTCCACGCATAGTAACCAGCTGCGCCAACTTTACTCCTCTATAGGATTCCGCTGGTCGGATTTTTCTCACTCATTCGCGAAATTTAGATTCAATATTACGAGCCCGTGGTCGTCATTATTTTTCTTAATTTCTTTTGAAATTTTCTTGAAATTTCTCGAAAGATTTCATTCACTTTTATCGTGGATTTTCCTCCGACAATTTCCTTTGCCTATTGTCCTCGACAGCCGAGCCGTATTTTTAAACCTCAGCCAACATACCACAATAGGATTGAAGCCTGGAGACAATAGAAACGGTCACGATATCTTTTAATACAACGAATACCATTCAGGACAATAACGACTTTCCTTTTTATGACCTTATAGCTTGGTGTATCTTTATTTTTATCTTTCTGTTACAAGATCATTCCAGTTCTCGATATCAAACGTTGATCAAGTCTCGATCTACAACATCTCGACATACAAGTCAACCACATCGAAGTACAACGACTACAACAATTACTACATCACACACCACACCATGTCGCTCAATTCAAACCTTCCTAGAACCTCCAATGAGGTGGCTTTAGATCACTTTGTTTTCCAATCAGTTACTCAAGATATGATCAACTACCTTGCCCAAAAGGCGAGAGAAGTCATTCAGTGCGAACCCACGCAGGTATCCTCAAGTCAAGGTCCCTCGCCGCCTCGAACTCCTCCTCAAGAGAAAAGATCACCATCAGATTTACCGTCATTAGAGAGATTCATCGCTTCGTTAATAAACAGATCCAACGTTCAAGTCCCTACACTTATGACCAGTTTGGTCTACCTGGCTAGACTGAAGAAGAGACTACCACCAGTTGCAAAAGGTTTAAGATGTACTGTCCATAGAATTTTTCTTGCAACATTGATCTTATCGGCCAAGTTCCTTAACGATTCATCGCCGAAGAATAAGCACTGGGCCGAATACTCGAACGTTCGGGGTTACAATGACTTTTCATTTACCAGGACAGAAGTCAACCTTATGGAGAAGCAATTACTTCAGCTACTCAACTGGGATTTGATTGTCAGCCAGGATGATCTCTACATTCATTTGGAACCTTTCCTCACACCAATCCGGTTTGAATTAGATCGAAAGCAAGAACAACTTCGTCTCCACGAAGCACACCAACAAGCCATCCGAGAACAAGAGGCTCTTGCCATGCAAAACATGTCCTTCGACCCAACCGGAAGATACTGGATGCCAGCAGCCGAAGACAAGTACATGTCATACTACGGTGAACAACAATCGCTCTTCTCAGCCAACGATGCATACGACTACAATTCGCCACCTTCCTCCTCAGAAGTTCCCGGTCTTACCCGCAGCGGTACTGCTGACACCCTCGACGCCATGTCATCTTCCGCCTCATCTTACATCTCCGAATTATCTCGCTCGGGTACACCTCTATCATCCGTCAGCAGCTACCCCGACGAAAATGATGCTATGCAATGCGATACCTACTCCCCATCAGGTGTCGTCCGCGACGTTGTCACGGTCCAAGTTGCTGGTGCTGATGGAAAGCTCAGGCCTATGCTCCCATACGAAATTGACAACATGGCTCATCACGACAACATGGTAATGGCAGAGGAAAAGCGTCGCACAGCTAAGAAATCAAAAGGCAACTTCCTAACAAGATACTTTGGTCAAAAGAACTTTTCCGCTGCGTGAGATGCTTTTGAGGTTCTCATTCTGGTCCCTGCGTGGAGAGCTTACTGGATGAAACACTGGTGGAAGGATGAAAATGGCTTGTGTGGATTACGAATTTCTTTGTATCAATTGATGAAACTTTCCTCATTTTTTTCAAACCTGAGAATGGGGTCTCTCAAGAGTCTGCATTATATCAGATCAAGCATTGCAAGGAGTTTATTGGGCGTTCAGATTGGATTGGAATCGCATTACATCAAGGATGGGAATGTGGAAAGAGGTGTCAAAAAGATGGTCTTAATCTTTAGGATGAGAAAAAAATCTGGATTTCTTTTGCCATCTGGATAAGATGTCTTTTTGATAGGATCGGGATAGAACGAATTTGGGCTTGGTTTGGGAATACCCTGACGCATTAGGGATGGCGAAGAAACAAATGATAGCTTTACATTACATAGCATGGAATTGGTAGCATAGCATATGGGTTTGCGGTCTGGTTTGGACATGATCGGATTTGATCTGATCAACGGCATTCACAAGGGAATACAAAGAGAGGTGGATTTTAATCATTAATATGTTACACTACTATATATTCTACCTGTCCTTCTTTTCATGCGTGAACTCCTGATGAAATTGCGAATCACCAGTGAATTTAAATCGCTGTACTTGAGGTTGCAGATTTTATGGTTCTATTGCCTTGATTCATTTCGTCCGAAAAGTGTGGTGGTGCTGCTGCCTAGACAGTGACCACGTGATATCACAAGATCCATTCTAACTATTATCCATCAAGACCATTCATTCGCAATATCCACCAAAAAAAGACCAGCAAACCCCTATCCCCATCACTACCGTCAACCCCAGAAACCCCCTCCCCAAAATGCCACGCAAACCCACCTCTCCACCCTGTACACACCCCCACCTCCTCACCACATCCCACTCCTCCACCTCCTCAACCTTCTCCCGTGCTTCCCCATCCCGTCGTGCAGCCGCTGCGTCAGAATCAGGTATCCATAAACCAGAAATTACAGATACAAATTTTCATCGTTTTGTGTCGGATAGGGAGTGTGCTTCTACGTTTCCCGGGCCGTTGGTGTTGGATGGTGATGATTTGGAGAGGGAGCCGAGACAGATGGGTCAGAGTTTTAGGGCGTGGGAGAGGGCGAGGTGGAGGAATTTTGTGGGGAAGGAGTGGGAGGGAAAGGGGAAGGTAGGTGAGTTTAGGAGGACTATTTATGTGGTGGCTCCGCCGGGGGTTGATGGGGAGGGGGTGGAGGGGTTTATGAGGGGGTGGTGTGAGGTTGAAGGTGTAGGAGAGGATGGTGGGAAGGGGAAGGGGAAGAGGAAGAGAGGAGATGCTATCGAGAATGGAGGGGAAGGGGCGGAATGGGAGACGGGTAATTGGGTATCAGATATCATCTCATATCTCCAAGCCTTCTACCACGGTCTCCCAGTCAAACAAATGGACCCGACGCACCTACACTTCACACCCTGGGAAGAAGACACGCCCCCAAACCCATCCCAAGCGCGATCCAACTCCAGAAGAAAAAAGAACAAAAATCCCCCCTCTATCAGTCTCCACACCTCCTCCTCCAACACCAAAACCCGTATTCGCTACCGAGCTACCCCCTCCTCACCATTTTCCCACCAGCTAAATCTCTCCGATCTCCTCGATTCCGCTATCGATATGTTACCTTCCGATGCATACGCATTGTTAATACTTGTAAATCATGATTTGTACGAAGATGACGATGATGAGTTTATTTGCGGTAGAGCTTA